AGTATAATATAAGTATTAAAGATTGCCTATAATAAAGGTTAGTTAGCTATAAAGGTAGCTAAACTATATAGTATAAGACTTATAGTTTCCTTATCTTTAAAAAGATTTTTCTTTAAGATATAAGTTAAAGGCTTAATTATATTAAGACTATTTTTAAATTAGCTAGCTACTAAAATTAATTATTATAAGGTATATATATAGGATTATAAGTATAACTATTACTTTTATAAAGGGTATAGTATTTTATATAATAATCTAAATTAACCTTATAATACTTAAGTTTACTTTTATTAATAATATAAAAGTAAATATAACTAAGGCAAGGAAGCTTATAATAGTTATTAGTAAAGACTATAATAAGGAGTAAATTAGTATTATTAATCTCTAAATAATTATTATAGTTATAAGGAGGTAAATACTTTTTCTTTTAATCTTTATAATTAGCCTTATAAAGATTATCCTATATAAGTTAAAGCTTATTAAAGGGTAAAAGAAAAAGGTATACTTACCTAAACTTATTATCTAGTGTAATAATAAATAAGTTTTTTCTTTTTAAAAGCAGAGGGAAGGGCTTTATAAGTATACTTAGCCTTAAAAAGAGCAGACCTTTACCCCTTACTAGCTAATAATATAGCTATAGTAAAGAACTTACCCCTATAAAGGGGGCTAGATAAAGTTTAAGTTTAGGCCTAATATTAATTAAGTTAAATATAAGTATAAAAAAGGGTAATATATAATAAAAAGGATTATATAAAAGGGGGTTAGGTATTAATATAGGTATTAGGAAATAGAGGTAAGGGTACTTAAAAACTATATTAAGAAATAACCTACTATTTTAATAAAAAGATAAAAAAAAAAGGTCTTACTTTATAAGATAAAAGGGAGGTATTTATACTTTTTTAAGAGTACTTTAAAGGCTATAAAGGTTCCTATACTTATTTTTTACTACTAAGCACTATAATAGTATTTTTAATATTTATTTTACATTTTACTATATATAATATAATTACTTAAAGCCCTTTTTAAATATTATAGCTTTAACTAGGGGATATAAAAATAGGGTAACCCTAATCGGTTTAGCTTACCTAATAAGGATCAGAGCTCCTTATAAGTATAAGTAATATAGCTTCCTCCCTTTCTATATAAGAGAATTTAAGGCTCTTTTAACCCTTATATATGCCCCTCTGCTATATGCACTACAGAAAAGATTTACTTTTTTTAAGCTATATTATATAAACTACCCTATTTTGCTAACTAATCTAGTTATATAGATAATTAAAGATATATTTGTTTTTTTTTAGCTATACGTGACTTTTACACGTAAATTTTGGTGGTCTCGGTCGTATCAGCCTTTTGTGACTGTATCGCACTTTTGTGCCCAACTAAGCTTGCTTAGTTAGCCCCCCCCCCCCCCCACCCCCCCCACGGGTAGATTGGGGAGGCCAGGTATTCCAATCTATCAGTGTAAAAGTGGAATGTTAAAGCTATAATCCCTAACATAAGCAAACCCAAATTGCCAAGATACCTCTTCCAGACGCTGGCCATAGAACTAGATCAGGGATTATACTAGAATAATCTCCCTGACATCCTCCAAGTCCTTTTCATCTAGCCACTCGTCTGCATGGTACTGCAAAAGTCCAAAACGACGATACATCCCTTCTCCTTCACCAGGCACCTCATACACCAACAACCCTGGAACATATGGATACAAAGTATGATCTCGACCTACAGGAAACCATAATACGTCAAAGCCTTGTCCCCATTCTCCGTCATCGGCAGGACTCTGGGGCATGTTCTGCATGACCTCACGATTTTCGTCCAGAAAGTACCAACATGAAGAACGCCGTGTAGCCTAAATACTCATTCTTCCACAAATATCCCACCTTGCGTCTCCCAATAGTGAGGCGGAAAATGGGGGCTCTGATATATAGCCTTGAGGCGGTGCTCTCAACTACACTCAATGCCTCGAAATGCGTGGGGAATTTTAGAGGTCGCTCTGGGTGGTCGTCTTTGACGTAAATAGGTTCCTCCTGGATTTCTAGATAGGAAACAGGACAGGCTGATGCCCAGCACCAAGAAGGTAGCTGCGCGTCCTTTGGTCTCTCGAATTCTTCAAGCCGATTCGAATCATGGTACCATAAAAGACCCTGGGCGAGACTCGGTCGGAAGATGCCGTTGAAGTATTCAGTCTTGAGACGCCGTATAAGCATAGACGCAAGCCCATGAATGGCGTACAGCCGATCTCTTTCGTAAGTAAGTTTTGTTTTTGAAAAGACCGATAAAAGATGATACCATCCACCTGCAAGAACAATGTCTTCGTCAGGCTTCGTCATTATGTCTCGTGGCGAGAAGTGTCCACAGCCAGACTGATACACGAAAGGGGTATTGTAATCTTCAGATAACTTAGTAGTTTGACATTGGAGATAAAGTCCTTGTAGAGTCCAGTGAAGTATCCGCTTTGGGAGTGCCGTCTCTTGCAAGCACCATCCGCGCTTCGCCAGCGGGGAGCCATGGATATTTGATACTAGAGAATGGTCGTCGCACCTGTCTTTGAATATGGTATATCCTGTATCGTGGTTGGCAATCGTGATGGCAATATCGTCCATGGGAAATCTTGCGAGCGGGCGTTCAGTCAGAAAGCCTTCTCGGCTATCTTTAGCAAGCGATGCCGAGATACAGCAAGCAGCATTTGAATAGTAATCACCCATTCTAGGCGACTCTGATCGAAAGTCACCAGTTGGTCCCTGGATAATACATATCGCATCGACCCATAGGTATCGGAAACCCATCAGTCTTGTCAGCAAGATGGCGTCTTGGATCGTTTTGGAAAGATCCGACACGGGGAAGCCACGTAGCCGGATGTCGAGATTGGTCTCTGTCGTTTTGGACTTTTCGTTTCCACTGCCCCAGCAGTAGCTGAGGATGAGGTAGTCCACGCTCTGGAGGGTTGTTCCGCTCTTGACCTCCACAAGTTTAACCAAAAGGTCATTTGTCTCACCAACATCAACTAGTCGAGTCGGTAGACCTGATGATGCGTATTTTGCACCACAGAATCCATGGTCTACATGTTGTTTGCGGCAATTTTCCATCCAAGGTTGAATCTGGTACTTGACGAGGTCTGCGAGCTCCTCTTGAACGTTTCCCCCAAGGAAGGCTACACTTCCATATCAGCGCCGAATACTTTGCAGATCATTCATAGGGGATACCTTTGATTTGTCGGCTCTTCATATCTCTGAGCAGCTCTTTGCCGCTGGACTCAGCAGGTACATAGTAAGCCCCTGCACCGGAAAGGAATGATTCGCCCTCTTGCTCCATCTTTGGTGTCATTTGCAAGATCCCGCGGCCTATGAAAAGCTTTATCAGAATTGATACTTGTATCAATCCTTTCGTCAGCTTCTCCAAAACCTCTGTGGTCATTTCACGATTGTTGACCAAGGATAGCCACACATAGCGACAAAATACGCAACCTTGATCAGCCGATTCTTGGATAGAGCTAAACGATTCGTGTAATGGTAATTCGTAAGACTCATACCAGTCCTTCGGGGTTGGTGGCCACGGGAAGGATATACAGCGGCAGCAAAGTCGCGGGGAAGCATGTATAATCGCACCAATGCAGGCTTCCCCAGATTCAGCTGGACCTAAGTCCGACGCCATTTTGAATCGAGTGAAATATAATGGTCAGTATGCGCGTGTTTAAGGAAGATATGAGACCTTTGGGAATTGGATAATAGCTAAGACAAAAACTCCATAATAAGAGATAGAGCTTTAGCGTATAGACAAGCCTGTCTTTGAGTCATGCAGCAGAATCATCAATTGCTATGACAAGTATAAAAATTGAGTTATAAGGAAGAAGACGACATACTTATTGGAATAGATTAAGAGAGTAATATCCACAATTTGCTGACCTCTTTCTTCCACTTACTTGTCTTGGCCATTCTACTGTTACATCGGAGGCATCTCAGCCCCGACTCAGCCACATTATGCGCCAGCATCGTGGAGCAGCGCCAAAGCAGACTTAAGTTTATGGTGATGACAAGGCACATTTAAATGGTGTATACGGCTTTAGTTAAGTCCCATCATAAGACTAAATTGTAGCATTATAGTTTCGTCAATATATATTGTGCCGTGTCTAAAGTATGCAGAACGCTTCTTAAGCCTGTATAACTTGCCTTATCTTAAGATCTTATGTTACTAAAGATGCCATTTTGTCTCAAGTCTCCAACATACAACCAGCGGCCAAAATACTACATAGATCATTTCTTCCGCTCAAGGCATGTCCCTCAGAGCCTCCATTTCCTGATTTGGTGTTTGCGCAGGGACTAACGCCTCTTCCTCGTCTGTCCCAGGAGGTGCCTCAGCACTAATGTAATGCTTATTTGTTCGTCGCTGGTTCACGTATAAACCGTTCTCTAACAACTCATATTAGTTTCTGACCTCTCCAAGACAAGACCGAAGAGATAAAGTAAAACTTACTGAAAAGAATTACAATTGCCTCCTCCACGACAGGAACCCAAGTCGCAAGCGCCAAAATCTGCCCAAACCCCCAAGATCCCTCTGATTCCTGCACTCCCCCACCATTTACACTCGCAATGTCTGCCCTAAGGGTGAAAAGGCTTCCAAGAGCAGTCCACATAAAGATGAAACAGAAGACCGAACTCAAAATTCTCCACGGTACACGGAAGAATAGCCAGCCTAGCACGGGTACTTTTTCCGCCGAGCTCTTGGTGCACTTCCCGACAAGGTACGTCAAACCGGCTAGCATCGCAGTCGCCGCTGGAATAAAGTGGAAGGCGAATAGTGCACTACTGGCTTTGAACGATGCCTTTGAATCCCAACAGTTCGCCTCAAAGGGCACTCTACCATGTAATCTAGCTGCAGTTTCAGCAGTAGAACTCAAACCCATCACTACCGTAAAGAGTAACCATATAACAAACCCCATGAAGCATCCAGAAATGCTCTTCCTCTTAATGTCGAGGTAAATTGGAAGAGTGAGGAAGTAAGATGCTGTTAAAACAGCACAGGCGAGTCGTGACATGTTAATGTCGTACACGCTCTCCTTCCGACCACAGATGAAGAGAGTAGCGAGGAGGACTGAAGCTGCCAATAGGCCTAAACCAGTGTGGAACGTACCGAGGCTATTGTAAAACATGCTGCGGATGTTGTCCCAAAAGGTTTGTTCCTTCGACGGTGTTCGAGTTTTGAAGGTGGTGTAGTCATTCTCGACATACATGCTGCTCAAGAATGATGCGACGTAGAGGCTTGCAAGGATAGCGCCCATCAAATAAACAAACATCATCTACCAGTATCAGCACCAATCTCACATCGCAAGCGATAGCCTTACCCCAATGCCGACAATGTCCGCATTACCATCCCACTCCCAAACCTCGCACATTTCATCCTTACATATACTCATGGGCTTGTGGATCAACCACTCGTTCATCTCCCTGTTAGCACACTCCTTTGCGCAGAAGAACCAGTTCATCGCTTTGTACTCGGGAACGTCCGTGCCGCCAAAAGGACTGGAGATAGGTCACGAGATCAGTCATGTTGACGGTTTTGTGGTCGACCCATGGTACGAGGAATGCAGCAGCTGCTTTGCAGTTCGTCCAGGGCTGGTAGTTCTTGATACCGATGTCAATGCCTTTGCATGAGAAGGCGCATATGTCAAGAGCGGCCATGGCGATTAGGTAGGTCCGGAATTTCTAACGGGAGCTGATGATTGGCAGCGATCTAATTTCCCTAGGCAGGAAGAGCCTTTCTTTTACCCATTGCTGTGAGGTGTGCGCTGGGCAGTCGGGAACTAACTATAAATATTGCTAGCTAATTGGCTTTATCTCTCGTTATTGTCAATCTCCTTTTTTGAACGGAGCCGATTACTTTTAAAAGCAAAGTGAAGCATAGCCTCGTGATAAACAGGGTATAATTCCAGGAGATGGCTTGAAACTATCGACGCCACCATGCATGTTCTGTCGATTCTGTACTTGTGACTTGAACAATTCCCTGCACGGTTGAGAGGGAAAGCCAGGCAGAAAAGAGAGAATGATCAAGAATATAGAGTTAAAACATAAGAGTACCATAAGCGTACATGACATGGGGAAATGAGGCTTTGATGAATGTTTTGCTATAGTGATGCATAAATAGTGGCAGAGGGAATGACGGTTTAGCATACGAAAGTCGCCTGAGCTGGGAACACCATTGGGCGCATACAATAAATACTGAAATGTGGTAGAAAGCATGGTGAGATCCCAATTATTCATTTAGTACAGATTATTATCTCATCTGAGCCCGGACTTGTCTTACGATCGGCTTCATCATAATTGGGCTCATCTTAAGATCGATTTCGTTTTAAGACCAGCCCCATCTTTAGATCCGTCTCAATTGGTCTTATCTTAAGATCGTATCTTATCTCAACTTGCGTCTTACCCACTTATCTCATCGCTCTTATCGTTGATTTCCGCCGAGGCCGCTCTTCAGCCGAAGTAACCGACACCATCAGCAACGGAATAATCGGAACCATTTCCGTTCCGCACCCCGCGTTAGCCCCGGCATTTCACCCCGCTAAGTCGGCTTGCGGCGGCTCCATCACCAGCATGTAATACAAAATAAAACTGACGTCGACATCTACAACCCTACACAAACCTCCTCATCTTCACTGTATTCATTCAAAATGTCGTGGCTTTCTATCCCCGCCGAGTCTCACTTCTCCATCGTCAACATCCCCTTTGGCATCATCTCTACTTCATCAAATACTACGCCCCGACCTGCTGTTGCTATCGGCGATCATGTTCTAGACCTTGATGCTTTTGCAAAAGGTGATGGATTCTCGGGTAACTCTGAGGTTCAGAAGCACGTTGGTGTGTTTTCTCAACAGTCGTTGAATGCCTTTGCTGCGCTTGGTCGTCCGTTTCATCGCGCGACGAGGAGTTATCTCCAGGATGTCTTTGCGAAAGACACCAAGAACCCAGTGTTGAAGGACAACCAGAAACTCCAAGACGCAGCTCTACTGAAGCGCTCTGATGTGAAGAACCATCTCCCCTTGACCATTGGTGATTATACAGACTTTTACGCTGGCAAGAACCACGCCTTCAACGTCGGCTGTCTTTTCCGTGGTCCCGATAACGCTCTTCAGCCAAATTACACCCATCTCCCCGTCGCTTACCACGGAAGGGCCAGCAGCGTTGTCGTATCAGGCACGCCGATCCGACGACCCTGGGGACAAATCCTCCGTCCTGGTAACAAGGTTCCTGACCTCGCGCCATGTGAGAGGCTTGACATTGAGCTCGAGATGGGAATGTTTATTTGTCGTGAGAACGACATGGGAACCCCTGTACCTATTGACGAAGCTGATGAGCATATCTTTGGTTATGTTCTGATGAATGACTGGAGCGCACGAGACATCCAGGCTTGGGAATATATCCCTCTTGGTCCTTTCACGGCCAAGAACTTGGGTACCAGTATTAGTGCCTGGGTCGTCCTGGCTGATGCTCTCGAGGGAGCTAAGGCAGCTGGCATCAAGAACGATAATGAGATTCTGCCTTACCTGAAGGAGAAGACGGACAAGAATGTCTTGGACATTGACCTCGAGGTCGAAATCATCAGTGAGTTCATCGCCTCTCTTACGATACAGTGACTAACCGCGTGCAGCCGCCGCTGGTAACAAGAATCACCTTAGCAAGACAACCTCACGCAACCTGCTCTGGTCGTGGCCTCAGATGATCGCCCATCACACCATCACAGGCTGCAACCTTCGACCTGGTGATCTTCTTGGATCAGGTACCATCTCCGGTACTGAGTCTGGCACTGAGGGTAGCATGCTGGAACAGACCAAGGGCGGCAAGGTGCCCATTCAATTGAAAGACGGAGAGGAGCGCAAGTTCATTCAGAACGGTGATACTCTCATCATTCGTGGTGCTTATGGAAGTGGTGATAAGAAGGTTGGCTTTGGCGAGGTGTCGGGACAGATCCTTGAGCCTCTTCCTCTGTTCAAGTAAAGCAAGTTTGGGGAAACGTATAGGTAGTATGAAAAGCTCAATAGATTTTACTTGCATCATTTCGTTTGTCATCTTGATGTACGTTCTAATTATTACCTACATTACGAGTTGGTCTTTATTAACACGCAATATATTGTGGGCTTAGTATGCTACGTGGTATCACATGTTAAGAATAGGTATAAATTTCACAGTTTGAGTCTATGATTGAGAGAGAGAAAGAAATCGCGATTTGTATTCAGCGATCCAATTCTGTACTGCATGACTTGCTTCATGCCACTTCTGATCCGAATAAAGTGTCAAGAAGGGCAGACTCCATAAATCCAACGCTGATAAAAAAGATGCGAAACCACTGCTGAACCAATGAAAACAATACCGTTGAAGATGACTGAGTGAAGGTGATGAGATTTCGAGAGCATTAAATGACAGAGACTTGCTGATGCGGTTGAGAGTAATGACTGTTCAAAGAAAATGATAACAAGCTGAGTTGCTCAATCGCTAGCAGTAACCAACTCCGCTCATGACATTATAGCCAGACGTATAAGACTGATCTGTGCTTCAAGAAAACAACAAAGACTGACCGCGGATAACTCCATTGTAGCCCATAACTGGTGGGTACATGTAACTGGCCATTAGGCTCTGTTGCTGCAATGCAAATTGTTGTTGCTGCTGCTGCGCCATCAAGGCAAACGCTTGCTCAGGTGTAATCGGGATCAACCCTTGAGATGCCCCGTAAAAGCCTGTACTAGCAGGCGGAGAGAAAGAGAGAAGAGGAGATGGCGAGAAAGGAAGAGATGGTGATGGGAGAGGTGAAGATGGGGGTGAGGGTATAGTCGGCATAGCCGTACATCCAGAGATCTTTGCTCTGTACCCTTTAGGTCGGTACTTCGCCTGAAGAAATCTCCCATCACGCTTGGTGGGATGATAAATAACGTCATGTCCATCAGGGACAGACGGATTAATAATGACTCGTGCTGGTCCTGGCTCCATGCACTGTCTGTATTGGCCTTTAAGGCAGAGAGGATACTCGATCCACGGGCCGGCTACCTTGAGCGGTAGTGCCTCGTTGTTGTAGAAGGTATGAGGGTATGTAGAGAGATGGCTGAACTCAGGGACCTGCTCGCTTTGCTTTCGGACCTCATGTGCAGGGATCTTCTTGAAGGAGATGTCCTCTACGTCTGAAAGAGAGTAGTAGGAACATGTTGACGAGTTGTCATCCATGTCATCATCCGACCTGCTCATGTGGTCCATGACTCCCAAATCCGCAAGAGAATGCATTGTCGCTGATAAAAGGTTGCGAGAGAGTAGAGTGTTAGAGTAATAAGACTTCAATTGAAATGTAAAAAAAGAGTGTGTCTGTGAGTCGGTAAAGTGCACCAGGTAATGTAATTGTATTTATCGTTCTCCAGCTGAAAAGCGTCGAACAAGACTATTGTACAGCTGTAACCAGAAAGTATAGCAAGGTCGTCAAAATGGTACAAAATAAGTAATCACCAGACGCCAGTGTGAAAGAGAGATAACCGGTAAGACAGGCTGAACGTGCAAGAAATCAGGTGACCAAAGGCAAGAGTGCTGCAAGCAAAGTGGCTGAAAGCTGAAGACGTGCAAGACAGACAGTGATAGAAAAGGATGAAGAAGCGAAAGGGAAACAGAGGGAGGGAAAGCCTTTACTTATAGACGAAGGGTAGAGAGAGTTTGAGATGAGAGTTATGCTGCTATTGATTAAGTTCAATGACATTCTGTCAGTATGAAAGTCAAAGGTGAATACCCTTCTGTCGATATGAAAGTTAAAGTGGAAGTGTGCAATCTGCGATAGGACAAGAACCTTAATGTTCAAGTCTCTGGGAAGGTTGTCATGAGGCTATCCGGGTTTAGCCAGTAACAGAGTCAATACGCACTCGAATGACAATCTAGCTTTGCACTACTACTCATTCAGACTCAGCGTCGACTTGCCAGTGGTCTTGAAATAAGCACAATAAACATGAGGAGATGTGGAAAGCTTAGTTATTAGGTCAAGGTTTAGACCGTGACTTGTCCAAAAGTTAACAGCTGCAAAGGTTATTTATCAGCCAATCAAAACTGACGCACCCTGACTCTGTTCTCCTTTGACATAGCACTACTAGTGTGGGTTCTTCAAAAAGATTCCTGAGGCTAGTTACTGTCCGTAAGACTAAACGTTACTCTGCTAAGACGTGTGATGTGCAGTCGCCTTGGTAGTTCAAATCGCCAGTGAGAACCTTGATGCCTCGTTCTTGAACCTTATGTCGATTTAGGCTACAAATCAACAATCTCCATGCTGTTATGAAACTCTCAGATCTGTTTGCCCAATCAAGCGTGGGCGACATTGACGATTGCATTGACAGTGAGGGGACAAGCCAACAGAAGGATTGTATGGTTAAACGCTTCCAGAAATCTCTGCGCATCGCGCTCACAGATAAGGGGCACTTTGGTCACGGGTCTAGTGGTGGCAATGGAAGCCTTGCTTTGCGATCAGGGAACGACGACACAGCTTTGTCTCACCCTCAGACACCAGGGTTCGAGTATCTGGAAGGCATAGGTGACAAGAGCGGAGTTAATCATCTGCAATGGAGAGATTCTTTAGTATCTTTGACGTTTCTCGTCAACGACCGCCAAGTGTCAATACAAGGAACTAGCAACAGTTCAGACTATCATCCTTGAGTATCAGTTTGATCTTTACTGAGAACCCGTACCATAAGCCATCTCCATTTGAATCACCCTTCACTGTGCCACGGTGTTGGGATTTTGGTATGCTACCTGAACTGTATTCATGATGGTGATATTGCTATGATGCTTCTATCGTGCGCCATAGATCTGATCTATCATAGTGCCGATGACTCTCCTTTTACTAAACTCTGTGATTAACAAGGTTTCGTGTAGGTCTTGCAAGAGGTTTCTTCAGGATTCGACGAGAATCTGCAGCAGCAGCAATCAAGATCAGTGGACGCCACCCCATTGCTTTATCCTTCCGTGTAAAGTTAATCAAGCTTCCTGAGGACTTCAAAAGACCTCATCGGATCCTGCGTAAGCTTGACTCCTCTGAGGCAGATGCCTCGATGCATGGCCTCTCGATACCGCACCCACGGTCTTCATCGTGAACAAGCCATCCTCACGAAATCCCCTCACCACAAAAAACAACTTGCGCAAAGGAAAGGCCTGTCTTTTACTTCATCGCTAGGTTCGCTACGACGGTATTTTTCTTTTTCGACTACCATGACTATTCAGAATTGCATATCAGTTCTGTCCCTATCATGCCTTGAGATTATCAGGCGTATCAGGCTGATTCTGCCAATGCGCCTTCACAACAGCAGGATGATCCTTCAAACCATCCACAATCTTGCCAATCGTCGGAAACAGCGTCAAATCAACCCCAAACCTCTCAGCATTCCACATCGCAGGTAAAAGACAGGCATCCGCCAGCGTCAGTTCATCACCAACGCTACACTTCCCCGCCAAGTCCTTCACGACCTCCTCATAAGCCTTGAGTCCATCAGTCATGAGCTGCTTATTCCACTCCTCTGCATTTCCACCGAGTTCTCTGACACGACGCATAATGCGCAGGTTCGTAACAGGCTGGATATCTGCGCAGACGATGTTGACGAGGGTTCGCACTGTTGCGCGGGCTTCTGGGTTGGAGGGGAGGAGAGGATGGGAAGGATGCTTTTCTTCGAGGTATTCTAGGGCTGCGACGGATTGACCGATGCGGAAAGGTTTGTCGCCTGACGCATTTGAGACGAGAACTGGGACGGAAGCTGATGGATTGAGAGTTTTATGAGAGTCGGAGAGATGCTCATTTTTGAGAAGATTGATGAATGCCAGCTCATAGGGAATTCCTTTTGCGTTGAGAGCGATACGAATACGCGCTGAGCACGAAGATCGGAAGTAAGAGTAGAGAGTATACTGAGATTCAGACATATCGAATGATGCAATTGGTCAAGTTACTACTGTAGTTGAGAGCAGTTCAATTGAAGAGAAGCAAAGAACATCCTCACCATGACCCGACCCCAAGGCCACGCCCTTCTTATGTCATGAGGATGATTTGTGCTGTCATTGTGTAAAGTGTTACCCGTCGCTAGCCTGGTAGTGCCGAACTCTGAAGTCGTAGGAGTCGGAAGAATTCCGGTGGAATGCGGGGTGAGTGCGACAATCCGGGGTAGTTCGGGAGAATGACGGCAATCTTGTTACGCATGGGAGAGTAATTCCGCTCATGATAGCCGGCTGAGTCAGATTTCTCTGGCTGTAGGAAGATCAAGGAGGGCAAGAACACTCAAACCTAAATAGAGGGCCCCAAAAAGAAGCTCAGCGAATGATATCCTCAACCTAAGTCTTTTAATCATTTAGGATCAAGGTCCTGTATTTTCTTTCCTCCTTTAGGTAGGTATAGTGAGCGCCAGATAACAGTTAACTTATCTTGTGTAAATGTGCGCGAGACGAACTGATTGATATTCAAGACTTCCTATCTCAATGGAATAAGATTCGCGAGGTCAGTGTCATTTATCAAGCTTCACTACGATTAATGATTAACTCTGGACGCACAACCGGCTGTGCGGGTATGAGTCGCCTGGACTCATGATGGAGATTACTATAGTTTGCGTTCTGTTGAGTTGACAGGCCACATGATTAATAGCTACGCCGGACACCTCCTCTTGCATGACAGGCAAGGACACTCAGTGACATGTAAAACTTTGAATCACCTGCACAGCAAATACCGAGCGTGAATGGCATTCGAACATCTCTTGCCAAAGTCTATCCTCTACAAAATTAACTTGCTGATCGTCGTGACAAGGCAGCTACTTCAAAGATGATAGTCATCCTGTCGCGTAACTCTCTGCCCCCTCCTCTCCCAGACCCCCTCAATATTCATATCCCTCGATCCACTGCCAAAGTCAGTATCTAAAAATGCCAAAGGAAACGGTAGACTTACTCGTCTCTCCAGATGATGGTAGGTTCAGTCTGGCCCTTTCCGGGGTTTCTAAACACCATATTCTTTTTCTATGCATCTGTTAGCCACTATAATTCCGCATGCGCGGGCAGTACGTACCAATCCAAGGGATAAATGAATAGCGGGAGGATCAACAGTGATGTTCTGCTCAGGTCGTCCACCGTTCACCATAGCAGCGATGTTCTGCGCTACGACCTGCGCTTGTCCAGCTCCTGGGCGTGCGGCCTTGTGAGCTCCGCTGTCGGCGATGTCACCGCATGCGTACAAATTCGAGTACTCGGGGTCAGCGAACTGCAGCGTCGGCGCGACTCGGATAAAGCCGTTGGCGGGATTGATGATCTCATAGCCAGAGGTCGGCTGAAGATCCTTGAGGAACTGATTATTCGGCGTTTGGCCTGTTGCCGGAATGACGAGGTCTGTTTCTATTTTTCGACCGTCCTTGAGTTCAAGTTCAAATGTTGATCCATCTGTTGGGAAGCCCTTGGATGGGATCACAGCTCGTGTGCCGGTGATAACACTGCTCTGTTAGTACTTGTCTCCCCATCACAGAAAGGCTGACTTACTCAACACCAAGCTCTTGTAATCTATCCCTTAGAATAGCATCCATCTTCTCATGATAAAGCTGCATAAGCCTATCCCTCGAATGAACCAAAGTGACCTTCTTCTCCGGATATACCTCTCCCAAGTCCGTCGCCATCTGCACACCAACCGCACCACCGCCAACAATCACAATAGACTTTGCATTCTTGATGCCCTGCTGATAAGACCTAAAGTACTCAACAGAAGGTTTCTTGTCGTCGTGCTGCATGTTACTAGGTGCTTGGAGTCGTGTCCCGGATGTAACGACAGCATACTCGAAAGGGATCTCTGTTGAGCCTTGCCATGGTCTGTCGAGGGTGAGCTGATTCTTCTGGAGAGATACTGCACGGGCGCGGACGATGGTGTGGTTGGGGGCGTTGGGGAGGGAGGAGAAGAAGCCGGTGTAGGGGATGAAGGCTTTGTGTTCGTGGTCTGGAACGATGGCGAATCGGGGCTGAGGCGGTTAATTTGAGTAGATACGCTATGGGAGGGACTTACGAAGGCGAAGAGATGGTGGAAATGGCTGTGAGGCTCTATTAAGAGGACCTACGATATGTTAGCCATTGACTCTTGAGGAGCGACGTGGTGCTCATACACGGTGAGTAACTGGTAGAAGCGTAGCAAGCTCCTTCACAGCAGCCTAGATTATGTTAGTTAAACCCATCACCTTTCTAGAATAGACTTACAAGCCCAACATACGAGCCGCCAATAACAATAACGTTCTTCAAACCTGCAGTCATAATGTCTCTATCTCTATAGTTTGAAGAATAAAAAAATCGGACACGAAAATGAAAGAGATCTCGGCTCTTTTTATCGACGCCATCTTATCAATCTACGGGGTCCCCGCCTCCGGATGTACGCTTTGCCGGTTATCCGAATTTAATTCCGAAATCGGCTTTTTTCATCGGCATTTTAGGGGGTTCTTGCACCAAAAATGCGAGAGCACGAGTCAGCGCTAGAGAAAAGCCATGATTTTAGTACGCGGCTTGGAAATACGGCTTTTGGACCTGCATGTGAAGGTGACGAGTTACTCAATTTGGTTGGGGTTTCTTGGCTTGCGTTGCAGGGATGGGATCTTGGATGTAACGGTAGAAGTCATACGGATCTATTGTTCGGCCGAGTCTAGCTTGGGTTACTGAACTCTATAGACGGATCTTCATAAAGATTGGTGAGATGATGGATTGTGGGATGCCGATGGATGACTTGTAACGCGCGGCTCGGCTCGGCTCGGCGCTTAATAATCTTCAGCGGGATGAGATGACGAGGCCGATGACTAGGGAAGCGAAATAACGTCCAGGTCTAGACATTAAACATTCGTGGTAGCGTGCCATTAACGGATTTGTAGACCTCAGTGACTCACGCAGCATGACGATCGCTGTTCTTTAGAGTTCACTTTGGGCCCGTCAGATTGAAGATGTTGAAGTGGGTCCTGTTCTAGGGTATCATGGGACGGCATATTGCGCATTGGATGATTGAGATGTACGAGGCAGTGCTGCCCTGCATGAAGGATATCTAAACGGAAGTCTGTGATGTTTAAGTGGATTGAAACAGCTATATTCGCCATGAGAAACTACAACTAACACGAGGCGAAGATACAGTTGCCTGTTAGTTATCACAACGACTGCTGTTCGAATAGTACCTATTCACAGAAACAAATCACTGTAACCACTATCATAACACAAACAAATAATGAACCCTTGTGTGACTCTATAGATCTTGGTATATACCCTTTTTCTGGCATCATGGCGCATCTTCGACAGATTGGCTCAGCCTGACGCTCAGCATCAGTGTTGGTGTTCGAGAATCGTATATATCTACGGCCCGTCAAATGCTTACATCAAAACAACCGCAAGATCTTGCTCCATCTGTTCCAAATGAATATCCTAAATCATCTGTCCCAAGTCAAGAAACCGCTGTAGCACCCATTCCAAGAATATCCGCTCTAAACGCCAACCAATATCTAGTTCGTATCCAATACTCTAAATACTGCAACGCAAGAAGAATTTTAAAGATTCCCTGGCGAGTGCGCGTAGTCCCGATAGGAAGCCTGTGAAACGTGACAGCCTTACCATCGCGCTGTATCGTAGCGACGAAATTCCAATCATGGCCTTGCACTATAATACCAGGTAGGAACTCGATGTGCGACAACTCTCGCGTTGGGCCTTGGGGCGTGTAGCATAGGCTACGCAGCTGTGCAGAGTGCCATGTCGCCATCTGATTGATGGCGCTCGTGTAGTCCTCGCCCTCCCTCTTTGTCTCCACTGACATTGCGATCGGATGCTTATTCAACAAACCGGAATCGACGTGGTTGATGCTTTTTGAGGGCCGATCGCGATATCGTATCTTGTCGATAGCTGCCTGCTCAGCTGACTCTCGTCCGGGCTGCATGTAGATACAGTAGTCGACTAGTTTAGATTTGGATTTGTTGGGCTTATACATGCTTGAGATTTGCGTCGAGGTGCTTTGCGTGTTAGCATGAATATGCAGTAGAAAGAACAGTCTCAGCATACCAGTACATGTAATCTAGGAATTGAGGTTCAAGTTCCTCGTTACGGAAGACCCAAGATAGAATTGGAGCATGGATATCAGCGTTCCAGCCCGCTTCTGCTTCATTCTCTTCCAAGTAATCCGCAGCGCGATCAAAAATCCTATCAACCCATGACATGCCCGGCCATCGCCAGTCTACACCAGATGGGAGGTTGCTCTCGGATGCCGCATCGAAGAAAGACATTTCTGGAAATCTCGTTCTTTGAAACTTTTATTTATTAGCTTACGGACTTGGTACAAGGAAGAAAAAAACCTATCACTTTACCTCATCCTTACGGCTAGCAGGAACAATCCTATTGCCGCGGTCGATGTCCTCAAGGACCTTACGCACTTCCTTGAGAGACTCAGGTTGCCAATCCTCATAGCGCTCGATGCTAACTACCCGATAACCCGTGTCTTCCCCAGCCGCGTCACGTTGTTGCTTCGAAGGCGAGGAGGCTTTGGAGGTTGAGGAGCGCCCTGATCTTGACGAAACATCCGAGGCAGAGCTTATGTCGTGATAGAGCCTACCGCGCCTCTTAGGGGCCTTGGGCGTCACATCATCTTCGACGAAGGATTGGGAAAGGCCATCGCTGCCGTCGTCCGACACAGACCGTGGCCGTTTGTTAGGCGATGACATCGTATCGTGAGGCGGCGTTGGCAGCCGCCCACGCGAGGGTTCGTGGCTTGTCTTAAGTCGCTTGGCTTTAGGCTCGCTAGTGCTAGGGCGATGAAATGGGATGTTATCAAGCCATGTAAGAATGTTGCAGCTCCCCATAGCTGTTTAATGTTACGATGGTGCGCCGTGTATTCGATGATGATGATGATGATGATGTAGACGGAAAGTAATGTTATTATTTCCAGAGGCGCAACGATAAGTCGAGATAAGATAAGATAATCGTCTCAGCGACCAAGTGGGCCTTCCCGCGTAGATGGAGCTAGTTCTAACCAATAGACTAGTAAATCGCTCTCTCTTAAGGATGCATTGTCTTATGGCTATATTAATAATTATTTAATACTGTATTATTATAAATAAAACCAAGATTGTTATAGAATAAAGAATTTGTATATAGATCGGAAGGCTTAAATCATACTGACGTTAATCGAAGCTTTTGTTAAAAGGTTTCATGATGACCATAAGATGAGGGGAACATAGACTAACCAATAAGTAAGGATATACCTTTTACACTTAACCACATTTATTTTCGCTCTACAACCCTTAGTTTATAGATATTATCTGCATGAACCTATCCTGGTCCACTCGTTCCGTCTATCCGCTCGACAACTTTCCGCTAATTATTCCCAATCATGGAGCTCATCTTCTTGAAATACTCCCTCCCGCCCTCAACGATCCTTCTATTCAAAACAACAAACTCATCCTTCTCACTCCCCTCAACAGCCAAATATGTAAAAAACGCACCCAACTCTTCATTCTTGATAACATAATCATCACCTAGCAACACCTGGGCCAAATATCCAGGGACTCTCATCCTCTGGGTAATCACGCCTCCAGGCCTTAACATCCAAGCCTTCCAAACATCTGCATGCTCTTTCGCAACGTCTAGTGAGCGAATCTCATACAAGCCCTGAATCTGTCAGTAGTGGTGAGATAAAATGGGAGGGGACGTACTTTGAGTTTGCGAGGGTATTCATTCACCCATAACTTTGCATCTTGTTCCTGAACAACCCACTTCCCACTGAGATGAATGAACCGAAATGGTTGTCTTTTAGGTTGTTTCTCGAGAAGAGTCGCAAAGGCAGTTTGGAAAGCGAGGGGGTATTCCATATCGACATTCACATTTCCTCTATACGACCCCATGGCACTATTATCATCAGCCCAGAACTCTCTCACAGTAGCCATACAACGTACCAAATCATAGCAGCAGCATCAACATGCGGTAGAAGAATATCGTCAGACCATTTCAAAAAGTCTTTTATCATGACGGTTTGGAGTTTCGGATGATCTGATGGGAGGGCGCGACGCACGAATGCGACTACGGATGTGATTTTAGGATGGGAGAGACATTGGCGGAGGGCTTCGCTGCCGATGGAGCCTGACGCGCCGAGGAAGAGGACTTTCATGATTAGTCGCGACTATTGTGTTGAAGTTTGGGTTGTGAGAGGGTAATGAGGCTCAAGCGACATTTATAATGGGAGCGGGAATGGTTTGTTGGAAGTGCTGGTTGCGGACTTTCAAGGATGTCGATCCTAAAGTCCGCTGGCGTCGATCAGCCATCTGTCTTGGCGCGTTTAATTACTTATATGTGCAGTTGGTAACGATAAGGAATGCCACAGTGCTAGTTTTAAAAGCTTGGCTTATGGTTTGGCTTATTTTGCAGGCCGATACGCCATACGATAATGGCGTGGGCTGGTGTGGTGGCTTGCTTCAGCCAAAGCCTTCCTTTGCGTGTCGTTGTGTTGAGGCGCCATTTCGTAATAATGGTATCGGATGACCTAATAAACACTGGCATATTTTTTGACACGAAATAACAATGTCCAACTTGACGTTTCAGCAGTTGTGGTGTTGTTAGGCAATGAATCGCTCTGCGCGTCTTCAAGGTCGTCAGGTGAGTACCGGGTAGGTTACTTCTCACTGACAGTTGACTCACCGAACCGGCCAGGTCTTCAATGAAGACTACCTAGCTATTCACTTAAGAATAAATGTCAATTGAGTCTTATCTTTGCATTGTCTCCTGTATCAATTGTACCATCTGAATACTCCTCTAACGTGAGCGCGACATCATGACCAAGAAAATGACCGACCCTTCGTTCAACTCGTCAGACCTCATGCTCACCCGCACCCGAGCCAATGATACACCCTCAATTCAATCCATGGTCAACGCAGCATACGAGAAATACATACCCCGAATTGGCAAACCGCCAGCTCCAATGACAGCAGACTATGCATCTCTGCTCACAACCCACGATATCTTCATCATGCGCACCACTCAATTCCCCATCGGCGCGCTCGTTCTCCACCACGAACCAGACTCTTATGTCCTAGAGATCGAGAACTTGGTAGTCGACCCAGGCGCACAAGGTCGTGGCTACGGAAAGGTATTGATGCGCTATGCAGAAGACTTTGCACGGTCGTGAGGCTGCAATGCCTTGGAGCTGTACACGAATGTCAAGATGTTTGAGAACCTGGGGCTGTATCTTAAGATGGGATTCGTGGAGACTGGGCGAAGAGAAGAGGATGGCTTTGAACGTGTGTATTTCCGTAAAGAATTGAGATAATATGTAAATGATAACTTTTATTTATTGCGATGCATCAATTGATCGTCATGTACAGATAGCGGCGCGCCGAAGAGACCCGCTCCATCGCGTGCGCCAATTGATCGCCACTCTAACGCGACCATCCCCATCATCACAGATGCGCAGACCAGTATATGTGTATACGTCGGGTATCTCCATCACGCCAATGACCCCTTCAGCCTCTCAAAGCTAAAATTCCATACCTCCGCCCTTCGCGGCCCATCACTCGACTCAACCAGCCCAACGTGCTGCAAAACACTCGGATCAAGCGCCCACTTGCTCAACCCGTTATCCCGCGCGTAATCCTCCATGATCATATCCCCCGGGAACTGAAACGGCGGCTCGCGCAGGAAATCCTGCAGATTCTGCAGGTGATGGTTCGGAAACACCAGGCCTTGCGCACAGCACCCGTAGCGTGGCATTTCGCGCACCGTGGGGAAGCGTGTGAATAGTCGGTGGAGGGTTATGCGACCTGTTACGAAGGCGAGCGCTAGACAGGCGGGGATCCAGAGACCGAGGAGGAGAGCGACGGTTTGCGCAAAGTCTTTGGTTGCGAAGGACCCGGCGTGGCGGCGCTGTCTGCAGCGTAGGGCGAGGAGAAGACAGGCTATTAGGGCGGTGTAGCCTAGGATGACGACCTTGAGATAGTCAAAGATCTCTTCGTTGTTCCAGCCCATGAAGATCTCGGAGTAGAAGAGGCGCAAGTACATCCAGTCTTTGTGCGCATCGGTCGCTTTTTGCTCAACTTCGATGACGCCCTTTTTGAACCGTGTGAACCAATCGGGCGTGGCTATTATATCGTCTTCGATGAGGGCGAAATACGTCGGATCGCGTCGTCGACACGCTTCGAAGAGGACGGAGTGGTCGAGTCGTATGTTCTCCACGCGATCGTCGCTACGCCCCATACCGCGAACATCGTGCGGAAGCACCTTGTAATTGAGCTTTGACTCGGTCTTGGAGTCGTTGGAATACACTAGCACATCATCCGCCAGCCCGAATAGCCAGTCCTTCCCATAAGCAAAGTGCTTCGTTGGATCTTTATCGGCCAGCAGCACAACAATGTGAATCTGATTCCGCTCATTCGGCGTCAACGTATCGACAAGGCTCCCCACGGTATGTGCCAAAAACCCCGAGGTCGTGCGATTGATGCTCGGAATACCGATGCACAAGAACTCATTGTCGACTTGTACTTCAGTCCGCTGCTTGTGCGCGACGGGAAAGATCTCGCGCTCGAGGTACTCGTCGACTTGTTTCTCGCGGACGGCAGAGTAGCGGCGATTAAAGGCGATGCGGGACTTGTAGAAGAAGGAGGACGGGTCGTCGTAGGAGTTGTGGTAGGACCAGATCAAGGCAGTGAACCACATCAGCCAGAAGCCGATGTTTGCGTGGGAAGGGCGCATGGCGTCATGTCGCGTGCGGTTTGAAGAGAGATGTTTGGAGAGAGAAGTGATTGAGGAATTGGATTTGGGGAGTGGCCGCTGGGGTTACAGTGGCTACCCCGCTGTACCGGAGACAAGCAGTTTGTTGATTGGTGGGCCCCCTTTTTGGCGACGCTAAGCCTTACGCTTTGATTGGTGATATCATTACACGTGCTGACTCCTTCAAGAGGCATCCGAGGCGCAGCTTTTGCCGAGAAATTCAGGAACACGTCGGTCTGCGTGGAGCGATAGAGAGAATCAGAGTATGAGAGTCTTCAGTGAGTTAAAACTCTCCGCTTAGTAGCAGTGTAGTTAGGTGTAGCTGAGAATGGCCTCGTGGTTTACGCGTCACGCATTAACAAGCGCTGGGCCAGTGTATTAGTCGCGAGTATCTTAACCCTGAGTATGAGCAGGACACCATGCTCTCTGCGACAAAAGACGTTGCTGGAAGCAGGCCAATTGACTGGTTTTATGATCAATAGGATGAGTTTCTGCTAATTGACGGCGATGCGAGAGTGACACAGAAAATGACAGCCAGTTCTCTCATGACAAGTGAGACTACCGTTTGACTGCCTCTAATCCATGCATCTAGATAGAGGTAGACTCTACACCCTAGAGTGATAACGAAGAGAACATATTGCATTTTATCTAGACATGTAATCTTGAACATACCGTTTGTTACGCCGAATGGAGACGCTCGAACAAGCCCTACTAGTGGCAGCTCCTTCAGCCGCCTCCCTGTTCTCATTATCACAAAAGATGATCTAGTACAATGTGTAGGCTGTTGATACTGTAAGTGATATTGAGACCTGTTGGTGACTTGTAGCTGCGATTCATGATTTACTCCTCTGCTCATTGTGTATGCCTGGACAGTTGAATAGGTGAAGGGGAACTCGCGTTGAATGATTTGTAGATCAAGCATACCTAACAAAGACTTCTTCCGCGGGCAGTGACGTGAACCTGCTGACCTTTCCACTGTGACAGACGTTCAATTTGGCCGTGACAAGACTCAACACCGAGGCGATGATTCAAGTGCCAGCAATGTTCCTTGTAGATATAAACTAACGGCTGACCCGAACTCAGCTGGAGAGTCACACTTCAGTAACTACGCAATACAAACATCATCTCACTCCAGATTCACAGCAACATCCAAGATCCAGCAGCTATATAAACTCTTCGCCGCGCGGTACTTGAACCTGAAGCCCAACTCCATCCAGCGAAGCCTGCTACTCAAACTAAGGAATAGCGCCATAAAGCCGACAGCAACATCATCAAGTTCCATATTCTTTCATTTTGAAGTTCTTGATATAAGCATTGCAGAATTATCAAGTCAGGAAAATGGCCAATCAAACATGCGCATGCACCATTTGCAATACCTGCACGAATGTTGTTCAACAGACTAAGAAGAAGCTATGCGGAGCATGTCTTGGGGGAACGCATAATGCTCAGTAATGGGGGAAGGTCATTATAGTCACACAAAGCAGACTGGGAGAGAGGAATTGCAAATTCATATCCTGTTGGGGAGAGTCGCTCCACGCTAGTGAGAATTTCGTCTCTGGGAATGTTATCTTGAGACACTCAGATCCTTTGTTCGAAGCCCTTTTAGCAATTGACTGAACTGTGTCCATGTTGATAGTGAAGCATGATGGCCAACAAATTGTGAACAGTCTCGTGTGAACAGAGAGCGAATAAAGCAAGCCTGTTCAAGTATTAGTGAGAATACAAAACAAACGCTGGCATAGGACATACTAGATGTTTCACTGCTCCCACTGGGAGTAAATAACGACAACCGAATTCCCATTTTCACTGTGTCACTGGCAGATCGCTGACTCTACAACTGGGCATATATGCTTGCTTCACACTGCATACAAGTCTGCAAACTCACAAGACATCTTCAAGCACAAGGCTACAGCATCTTACAACTCAGCACTCAGATCACCATGTCTCAGAACAGCTCAGTCCCAAGCACGCCTACCAGCGATGCTACGCCTGGAGAACCAACGGCAGCTATCGAACCTTCGAACGGCATCAACGGTCCCAAGCAGCATGCCAACAAAGTGTGTCGGTGCGCCTGCGTTTGCCAGGAGGTTTGTCGCACCGATGACTATTACTGCGATCCCTGCATCGCCGCGAGACACAACTACGCCCCTCCTTGGCTTGATGTGTCAAGCTAGGCCTACAGAGCGAGAAAGCCTGATATTTGAGAAGAGGATACTGAGGTGAACTGGGTAGAGAGCACCGTCAGCTTAGTCTAGATTTCTCTAAATATTCTTATCACTTAGGATAGAGGTCCCGAGTTTTCTTGCCACCCTAGCTAGGGAAACGAAGCTGTCGAAAGCTCTACAGTAGTATCTAAGTATCAAAGAGATTACGCATTAAAATACTGCTTGTTCCTTGTGACATCACTTTTAGGCTTACCAGTACGGCGATCAGAACTACTTCCCGACACATCATTTCCCTCCCATCCACGGGAATATTTTAATGCTTGCCAAGTGGCCTCGGCCCGCATGGCACCGTCAGTCCCCTAAAACGTCCAGACCTAAACCCAATCTACTGTAGAATAACTGACGCTTCCATCTTAGCGCCACAGTTGGCATGTTGCCAAGAAAGGTAAGACACGAAGAAACGCCAGGGCCAAACTCAAAGACAAGCCATTTTATTGCCGAAGACCCGTTTGGCGCTTATTATAAGCAGTCGCATTGCTCTTATGCGTGATTTCCTTCTTGTACCCGTCGAAATGTTGTGGTAGTGCTACTAAAAGCGTGTCATCGCGATGAAGAATCCAGAGGCAAAGGATATTCTTGTAAGGTCTGTGTGTTTACGGGAGGGACTAGTGCTAATGGTTATAGCTGTCTCAAATACTCGTCATCATAGCGACAATTCTCGTCATCGCCCGTCTCAATCTCCGTCTCCGAGTCCAAAAGCGAAAGTTACTACTCAGCGATATTTTTATGGTGGCAGCGTGGATATCAGGCGTCATGACAGCTGCGTTTTCGCCTGCCTTTGCGGTCCTTCATGCATTTGATCCGAGTGTTCATACGACGTTGGAGGGCTACCATGGAGGATCTGCTAATTTGGTGTTGATACTGAAGGTGAGTGGAGGAATCGGGATGAGTGACGTAACTAACGTGATGTAGTTGCTCTTTGCATCCAGTTTTCCCTTTTATACGACGCTTTACTTATGCAAAGCTGCGCTTCTTGCTGTTTATCTACAAGTCTTTCCCGAGTTTATGGTCAAGAGGCGGAGATTTCTTTGGGTGACGATTTGGTTTGTTGGTGTCAGCTATGTTATCACCGTTGTGATATTATTTTGTATCTGTCTCCCCATAAGCCGAAGCTGGTATGATCGTCAATTTCATTGTTGTTTAGCGGAGCTTATACTTCTACAGGGATCTCAGGCCTTCGAAGACATGTCCAAAGTGGACATATGCTGTCACATTTCACGTTGGCTGGGGACTGTCATTTCTGGGAGACTTGCTAGGTACATTGATCTCCTTTCTGTTTGGATGATGTCTAACAGGATCCAGTGTTCATTCTGCCGTGGCTGATTGTACCAGCGCTACACGTCAGAAGAACTTTGAGGCTCGGTATATACTTCACGTTCCTCCTCGGCACCGTCAACATGGCCGTCAGTCTTGTCCGCTTCGTCATGATCTGGAAGGCTGGAGCCGACTCGAGTATATCACTCAGTACAATTGGTACATCCCTCCCAGACTATTAGCCTTAATTGATACTGACTACATTGTAGTACTTTGGAGTGCCCTAGATGTCAACATAGGCCTCGTCGTCGCTTGTCTCCCGTCGCTGCGCCCATATTTCGGATCACGAACCAAGTCCCAGGAACAAAGTCGAGAAAGCAACAGCTGGGATTCTACGAAGAAACACTCTGGGTTTGGTAACCGGACGATATGCTTTCACTCTAAGAAGCGTGATAGCGAGGCGTGGCCATCATCATCCGGCAGCCGTGCCAGATACTCGTCGATAGACCAGACTGTAGTTGTATCATGGGATGATACGGATGGATTCAAGGACACGAATGATGTTGAGCTGAGAGTTCTGCCAGGAGCGAGAACGAGGGACGTAAAGTATGGTAGATAGAGACACGGACGATGACTGGAGAACATCACTAATCACTAATGATCTATTTCATATGGAAAGTAGTTCACGATATGTAATATTGATCAGATCAAAGTTATGTACTAGAGAATGACAAGACACAAGTCCAAAGGAGAAATGTCCCGCGCTGAAAAGTAAAGCCCCCATCAGTTTACACCAGACCACAGACATCGTCATAGTTTTCGCATCCACAATCTCTGTCGCATGATCCCTCAACCATGCCCTACAGATATTCAAATCTCGTCTTTCCAAGACCAGTAAGCCTTCATAGGCAGGCTTACTTAGTCTGGACATAGATGGAAGAAGATCCACTGCTCTGGTATCCCTCGGTAGCCAGAATCTGATAGTAGTGGTTTCCAAGTCTCATACCAGCCGACGCCCAAGCATTGAAGATAGTCTGCATGTTGACAGCGCCGCTGCTGCGCTTATTACGGCGGATGGCCCAGTACTGGTTGAAGGTCTGTTGCCCGTCGATAGAGGGCTGGTTGTAGCGGGTGGTTTGGTAGAGATCGTAGGTATCACCGTCGTTGTAGACGGTGCCCTTGTGCTGGCCAGCAGAGCCGGGGTTGTAGGTTCCATAGTTCTCGATGACCTAGATATTGTTAGTCGAGTGTTGATGAGGGAAATGGGGTACGTACGTAGTACTCGACGAGAGGGCTGCGAGTCCAGCCGTAAACGCAGAGGTAGCCGTTGCCCTGAGGGCTGAAAGAACCACCATAGTTGATAGTTCTAGTCCATCATCAGCATACTATCTCATACATCCAAAACAAGTTCAACTTACCGGCCAGTACCAGGGTTCCAGCCCTTTCCACCAACAAAGTTACCAGTGTTGCGCCAATCAACCTGGTAGTGACTCCCCTCACCCATGCGGTAGTTGGCATAGCCACCGCCATCAGACCACCAGGAGTAGAAGTATCCGTTGTGGTAACCCTCGGAGTTACCGGTGACTTGACGGGCTTCAAGGACGGAGGTGGAGTTGCCGTCGTCTTGCTCGTCTAGGAAGTCAAAGGGACGAGCGAGAGCTCCGGTAAGTGCCGAGGCGGCGAGGAGGAGAGACTTGAAGGAGACCATGATGTTATCCTGAAGCTGGCTGGATGGTTGGAGTGTAGATTGAAGAACCCTGGTGAGCTGGAGAGTTAACTTAGTTGGCGAACTGATGGTCCTTTATACACGGTTGAGCACGGCTTCATTTCGTCTGTCATAAGTCGATGCCAAGCATCTTAGTGCTTAATACCAATATCATCAGGCTCTTTGACTCTCTAGCTTGGTGCCCTACCTCGGAACCTGGCTCTCCGTGACTAGCAAAAGCAACTCTTTTGCCATCGTCTTAGAAATTTCAGCCTCTTGTTCCCCACTCGCATGAAGGCCAAGACGGTAAACACTGGAGCCAAGACGGTAAGGACTCAGGTGACCAATGGCAGCCTAAGAACCCCTTATGGCCAAGAATGAGCCTGTGATGCGATTGGCAGGACACTGCCATGAGAACGCGTGCTATGTTTTCTCCGCATTCTTCGATCGGTGGCATCCATCTTCTGTATTCCGGCTAAAATCGCCTTCCCCAATTCCTCTTTTCCGTGGCTTGAGATCGTGACTCGCGATGCCAGCGGCTTATTGCGGGGAGCGGGGATCATGGGGAATGGGGAGTGCACGTGGCAGACATATCATATTAGGCTGCTATGCCGAAGGATAAACATGCGTGCCAAGATTTTGGACGAACGAGTGAGAAAAGCAGGATCACTTGATGTTGCAATGGGACCACTTCTATCAGCATGCTTTCCCTGATGTGTATCCAGGATGCCAGTAACGAGAGCCGAATGTATTGCCGGGATGTCAAGAACATGGCTTGATGGAATGATTGTGCTTGGCATGGCCTGCTTCCTCCTTGACGGGTAAAAGAAGCTCTGAGGCCCTTTATAAGCCTGGAGTCACATCAATTGAACTTCTCATCCTCCTACAGCTGAGCACTCAGTTAATTGCTATTTCCTCTCACAAGCAATACTTTCATATCAGGGTGAGCTATAGGTCGCTAATCAAGCTGATCTCCAGATCGAAGTAGTATCACCTAATGAAACACGGCGTCGACAAACGTCAACAAAGGTTAAATTTTAAACTCACGACGCTTCATCCCGTCGGGTCAATCCGGCTCAGCATACTTGACCCGAAGTAACCTGAGCACCTTGTATCATATGCACGATCCATGCATGCCGCATTCTGGCTAAAGTCCACGATGCTTTTTAACCTCGGGTCATTTCCATGATTGGTGAAAGATCGACATCCTTTTCATTCCCTGAGGAATATATTCCCTATTAAGGTTGCGCATCTTCATGTTTGGCTGTTTAGGCTAATAACCGGGTAAGTCAGAGGGAGGATATAAGTGCCGTAGTATAGGGATAACGTGTTTCATATGTAGTGCTTAGATTAGCGAGGGTAAAACTCCACTTTCTGGAAGGCGGTCTATGGTGATGGTGAATGGATAAAGTTCTCGATGTCATGCATTTTAATGGAATTGTGATGCTGACGAATGAATTCGCGAGGACGAATAAGGTTGAATAGACGATGGGCTTGACTGACAGGACCATGATGTTAAAGAAACAGATTTGAAACTTGAAACTGAAAGAAGGTTATCTATCTTGGACTGTATTGCTCTGGATGTAAGTCAGTAATCATCCATCCGTGTGCATATGTCTGACATCTCAATCGCTACGAGAGCGTTTGACAGGTTCAATTTCCATCTTCTTGATTCCAATCTCAGCTGCAATACTAGATTTAGATGTCTATTCAAGGCTGATTGACCTTGCTATCACGTCCGGTTAAATCTGGAAGTCGAATGGACAGACCATGCACGACGCTGAGGCGTCAGCTATCTTATCACTTTCCTGACAACGACACGTACCTCGTTGGGCGGCTGAACGTTTTACGATACAACCTAAGCTCAGATAAGATGGAATAGTAGGGGGTGGCATCTCTGTTGATCCTAGTATGTCTACATTCCCGAAGTGTTGCAACGCCCCCAGTGCTGATAATGAGCCATCGGGATTATAGCGCGCTTGCCCCGTTCTACAGTGCCACAAATCTGTTTATCGTCTAAGATTTGAGAATAACCGTCCATCTACATGTAATCGGCGCGAGATTACATTTCTCAACCGCGTTATGAGCTTTCCACGGGTCCTCAATAGGTTGCGGAAAGTCCAGGCAGATCCAAGAAAAGATAGCCTACGCTGAGTCTCTAAACATTACGGAGGGACCAGGCGTCTTTGCTTTTGCACATGACATGCTACAACATTGGGGGTATGCAAGGATCTCAGCTCGGGTATATAACACATAATCCAAAGCGCCTGAGCCACGATATGCCCTATTTAACATATGTCACTGGTAGCCCCACTGACGTGATAACAGTGTGACCCTCTGACTCCTGTAAATGGAGGTAATTGTCCTCACTCAATATTCCTCTAGATTACACTGTTCGTTCCCAGAATATTGTTGAAGATACTCTTTGGCTAGTTCTTCCTCTTGTTTGAAGTATGCATCGGCATCTCGGCTTGGCTTGAACACCTCGGACCGGACAATCTTGTTTGAATTTTAGTTAAATTAAAGTCCTACTGAAAGGTGTCTTACCTGTTCGGCTGGGTACTCATGGATGTCGAGCTTAATTACCAGATTGTCTGGATAAAAGTTAAGAATCTGGTTGCCGGCGATAGTCTTCATGACTTCATCATAACGTTCGAGGTCATCGGCGTGGATCGCATCTCGAGCAGTAAGAAGGGCCATTGCCGCAAAAGGGAATATGGCAATGTTCACGATAACGGAGTAAAGCATCATATGGCCCAAGGTTGAACTTCATTCCGTAGAAGGGATGCTGAGAGAATGAGGCCATTATCCCCCATTTTAAAGCGCCTAGCCTGCTTTGTGGAAAGCCTCGGCTTCCGGGATGTATTTACTCCGACTCGCGCTATAAATAACGCAGTCCTGAGGCATGTGTTCAGCTCTCGTGTCTCTGCCTTTGAATGGCTAGACAGGTGCTCCATTATCATTACTTAATCACGAAAGGAACCGTACTTACGCTATGTAGAGTCAAGAACAGGATGAATCTGGTGCCTAGAAGAGGTCCGAGCCATAAGAGTCATACGACTTTTCATGTGAAGCGTTGTTGGTTTTCGAGAAAACACTTCTTGAAGTTTACGAAGGGAGACATCCGATTGGCTAGGACAAGTCATCTTGTTGGTTGGTTGTTGATTTGAGACGGCTTTTCGGCAACAGCGAGACATGCCTAACTCCAATTGAAACGGCAGTCATCAAGCTTTCTAGTTCTGGCTATGAGCAACAGAAGATTTCGTTTTCTTTTGCCTGAGAATATGACGTAACAGATGCTTAATGTTCATGAATGAGTGAGAACAGTCTTCACAAGCATATTACATCTGGTGGAGATGTTATAACCTTTGACTATCAATCGATCAATCAATCGACGAGTAATAAGGCATACCTATTCAAAAGAAAGCCCAAAAAGTCTTTTTGTCCATTTTATAAGCAGGAGAATTACTATAGTGGACTTACCTTCTGTCGCAACGCAAGAAATGTGATTTTATCGCGAGATGTACAGGGTATCTTGAGAGATAAGATAAGATAAGGCCATGACGTCGTTGTGCGGATAACACGGCATACCGTCCGTGAACTCAACATTTCCTGCTCTGTCAGAGGACGCGTCTCCCCCATTTCCCTCTCCAAAAGCACTGCTTCGATCAGTCGCGAGATGTCTTCAACAAGTGTCGAGCACGTGGGCGACTCGCTCGAAGAGCAGCCGCTTCTGCGACGGGGCAAGAGAAGACTTCCGTCCTTGAACATCCAGCATTGGCATTCCCATCCCTTCAGAGGAGATCCATGGAGCGTGAGAAGTACGAAGCAGAAGACTGCGCAGTTTCTTTCATCGAAGGCTGGGCATTATTCTGTTCTGACGCTGGTGTCGCTTGATGTTCTTAGCATGATCGCTGGTGAGTCGATCAGGTATGTTGATGAGCAAGAAACTGATAGCGGCAGATTTCATTCTCAATCTGTTCAAATGTGAGCAAGGCAAGAAGGGCTCAGATTGGGACCTGGCGTTGGAGATACTTGGTTCTGTCAGTCTGGTCTTCTCATGCCTCTTCGTCGTCGAACTCATCGCCTCTGTCTGGGCATTCGGCTGGAAGTCAGTCCAGTTCCCTCCCAACCATATTGTAAAGACTGACAGTCCTAGATACTTCAACTCTTGGTTCCACTGCTTCGACGCCTTTATCGTCATCGCAGGCTTCGTCACAGATGTCGCACTTCGCGGTATTATCGAGGAGGTCGCTTCTCTGATTGTCGTCATGCGGCTTTGGCGAGTCGTCAAGATTATTGAAGAGCTTGGCGTTGGAGCTCAAGAACAGACGGAAGAGTTGAATGAGAAGCTGGAGAAGTTTGAGAGCGAGAATGAAGATCTGAGAAGTGAGATCTCACGGTTGAAAGGAGCCATGAGGAAGGCGGGTCTGGATCAGCAGGATATTGGAGGTATTGTGAGCTGAGGTTGAGACCTCCAGCGAGCAAGGTTACGCCTTTGGCAGCCTAGTAGTAATCCTAAGGGTAGATACGATTGATTTACCTACAGACAGTGATAGTCTGCTTCTGAGAAGCTCTCCTAGTGAGTAAGCAAATCAAGCAGGCATGGCTGCATTCCGAAATCGACTAGGAAAATGAGACAATAAGAGATCGGCTGTGGTGCCCGGAACTATTTCCCTCTTTTGTCCGATTCGGAAACAATACAATCAGAAGATGTGGAGCTCAGAGTGCTTAGCACGCCTATTTCAGGCGATTTCCCCGCTAGGAAGGTGTTTAACATGCTGAAAGATGTAATGTCGATTTGGTTATTGTGTCACGATTTAATTCATCGGTCTTGAATTGCTCGGAAAGAATGTTTTGATTGAAGCCTGGGGTAATGGTATAGCTAGGCGGGTCGAGTCGTCTCCTATCGTTTCACGCATACCCGACTTAGATATGAAGGCTTCACATCATTAGAGACAGAGCACTAGGTTACACTAAGCCAGTATAACTTTGGAAAGCTTTTGGGTTTTCGCACGAATCAACATATGACTGTATTGCCTAGGTGTCAATAACATGGGAATTCCCGAACCATAATAGCTGGTCCATCGTTGACTGGCCGCTCGGGAGTCTTGGCTTTCTCCGGATACGCAGTAAGAGCAATGAGCTTATGTCAGATCGCCGGAAGCGTTCGAGTCTGATAAGAGGAGCGCTCTCATAGGACCAGTAACTACGCTGAACCGTCTACACTCACCGGTTTTGATCCTACTGTAAGCACCAGCGTTACACAACAACATTACCCCACGATCATGATCATATTAGCCTAAGCCTGTAAGAATCCTTCCTCCAGAACAGTATAGCTTAGAAGTATCCGGTTCGTGACCTTGTAGCTAATATACATCAGAATGCGCTCTAGGTTGCTATGCTTCTTCCCAGCTTCTGGTAATTCAATAAGTCCGACGAGTTTCTCAGTTTATTTCCAAATCTTTGACCGATAACCTCGTCATATTCCTCAAAGACCTACATTTTGGAGTGATCAGGCGTCAGAATGACTCCCGAAGAAATCCAGGGCTACCTCCGAAGTCTCGTTGCCCCTCTGCGTAACGACATACCCACACCTCTACTCCATCGACCCAGCGAGGTCGGGCTTCAGTACGAGGAAGTCTTCTTTCCAAGCGAAGACGGCATTCCACTTGAGGCCTGGTATATCCCAAAACCCGGCTCAAACAAGCTTATCATCGTCAATCACCCCCTTCGATGCAACCGGGCCGGATTCCCCGCTCATCTCGAGCCCTGGAAGTCCTTCCTCGGCGGCTCCAAGACCGGCAATGATTTCGAACTTAATTTCATTCCCGACTTGAAGATACTGCACGACGCTGGCTATAATGTACTCAATTACGACATGCGTAATTTCGGTAACAGCGAGCAGGCCAACGGTGGTATCTCCGGTACTGGACATTTTGAGTCCAGGGACGTGGTTGGCTCGTTGAACTATGCCCACAGCCGAGAGGATACCAAACACATGACAATCGGGCTGTTCAGTCGTTGTCTTGGCGGCATAGCAACCTTTATGGCCATCCACCGTCGGCCAGAAATATTCAAGGATGTCCGCTGCTTACTCGTACCAGAACCACTCTCGTATCGACCTTTTGTCGAAAGGGCCCTCGAAATGGCGGGTCTTGACGACTACTTCGACGAGGTGAACAGATTGGTTAAGATTCAATCAAGCTTCGACATTGACGAGCTCTCCCCTATATCGATCATGGAGAGTGTCCGTATTCCAACTTTCATCTACTCTGTACGCAACGATATTCTGACAAAAGAGAGCGATGTACAAACGATGTATGACAGAATCCCTGTTAAAGATAAGCGATTGCACTGGGTTGATGGAACAGTTCGGATGAAGGGTTACACGCATTTCCAAGAGAACCCTCAGATATTTATTGAGTGGTTGGCCCAGCACATGACCTGATTCTTTTGGATCATGCGAGACGTTGTGCGGAGGAGGGCATGGGTAACTACTCGGAACGGATTCCATGTTATATCTATACACTAAGATTCCATGGAACAAAGGGTATCAATCGCCTAGTCCAAGAAGTTACTATGTGTTTATACGTTCGGTTTCCCATCTACTTAGACAATTGTAACCAACAATGAATCTTGACTTGATAAGTATCTGACCGGTCGGAGCCGTGACAACGTTGATGAAGGTCTATAGCTGCAAAGTCACAAAAGGCTTCATGTTTTCTTTCCTGCATCGAGAATCCGATCACTTATCGACAATCGCTTCAGCCTCGCCCATGCATCTTGCTTCTGTTTTACATAAATACACGTTGGAATTTACGCATAGCCTATAGACATAGTTGGCCAAGTGTCGAGACTTTGGTCGACCCAATATAATATCCACATATCCATTTAAGGCAATTTTCGCCGGCGGGGTGAAGATACTCTTTTGGGAACCTTGGACTTGACGGACAGAAGGCCGATTTAAACACAGATCTGAACCAACACAACTTTCTTCCTTTCTTTTCTCGTTTATGATCTTGTCCGAACGGAAGAACAGGATTAAAATGGTTCTCATCAAGCGATTCCGGACAGTCTGGGGCGTCGAGTCTGGGAAGGACTTTGAGAACTGGATCCCATGGTTTCCTGATCTCAAGAAGCAGGGCTTCGGTAAGTTTACCTGAGAGAGGTGAAAAAACTGTGATATTGATGTGGTGCAGCTGGTGTTGAAGTAGATATCACAGATCGTGATGCCGACAACCTTCGGCAACTGCGACAGATCCTGGATGATGTTGGCCTAGAAGCCACTGTGCTGTAAGTTACTCATCACATATCTGCGACGATGGCTTAACCCCGTAAGACTACATACGGCATGGGCGGGCTACGTTGGAGGTCGGCCCAAAGATCTCACGCCAGATGTCCACCTAGATATCTACCGCCAGAACCTCGAGCGCGCAAAAATCTTGAAGCCTGTTAAGATCAACGCACAGTCTGGAGGGTAAGTCTCGACATCTATTGAGCTCCATTTAAGCCTCACAGGAGTAGCGATTACTGGACTCTCGACGAATCAGTCTGCTTCTATCAGAAGACCATTGCTATCGACAAGGAGCTGGGTCTTACCGGACTCGTCAGCCACGAAACGCACCGCAACCGATCTTTGTTCACGCCATACGCGGCCAAGTACATTCTACCAAAGGTTCCAGAGTAAGTGCATGCATCATGAGAAAAAGGCGTAACCTGAATTGGTACAAGACTTCGAGTGACAGCCGATGTCTCTCACTGGGTTGTCGTATGCGAAAGACTTCTGGATCTCGGTGAAGAAGATAGAGAGATACTGGATCTGTTGATCCCAAGAGTAGGAGCTTATTCCATCAATTACCTTGCACAGTTACTAACATATATCTAGGTCACTCATATTCATGCACGTATGGGAACGACCCAGTCATCCCAATGTCCTGAGCCGGAAGATCCCGTGTTCAAAGAGGAGCGAGAGTTCTTCGAGAGGTTCTGGCTACGCATTGTCAAGGCCCGAAGCCAGGACAGCGATCTTATCACCTTTGTACCTGAGTATGGGTAGGTTGAACTTTCTAAGCCACAATATCAAGATTATGCGTGGCTGATAAGTTTAGTCCATATCCTTATAACCCCTACGGCAGCGTCAGAACACATGGCCAGGTCGCTGATAGTGAAGGCGCGAGGTTGCAGAAGCTCTTTGAAGACAGTCTGAAGGAGTAGAAGATTACTAGATGCACAGAGCAGAGAAAAGGATGTTTATAGACACGTATGAATGATCAAGAGACTATAGAGGTAGATCCTATTGATATCAGTTTGTCTCTACCACCCGCTCGCTCTAACCCATACGTCAACAATCTTTGTTGCATCTCCTTCCGTAGAGTCAACCACAAGATACCATCCGTATAATGCTCCAGCAACGCAAGCATGGTTCGGGAATATGACGACATCCTGTCCAACCTCCAACGGGATCGGGAGCAAAGATGATGCATCCTCGCCCTCAGAATGTTCCCATGCCGCAATGGAATGTTCCTGGCTAATCCTGTCAATGATCAAACGCCTTCCATCTCCAGCCTGAGATTTGTAAGATGAACGACTGATAACACCCCAGCCTGGATACGCTGCACATGGTTCGCGGCCAAGCCCAAGACATCCGACAGCGACCAATGCTTCAGGCTGTGATCTCTCTTTATCATTGTAGACACTGCAAACTTCAGCGACGATGGAGATGGCAATCTCGTCTTCGAAGGTTCCTAGTTCTCGCCTCGAGTTGGTTGAGACTTGTTGCATGTCGAGGATGGAGTATACACCAGCGTGGAGCTCAAGCCTCGTCTGAAGTCCGCCAGGCTTGCCCGCTGTCACGGCCTGAATTGATTTGCGTAGAGACTCAGCTGCGGGCGACAGATCTCCCTGCGAAGTCACGAGGTTCTCGATGGCTGTGACCTGGGGAGAGGCTCCAACGCTGATGACTAGTTTCTTATCCTTGGCAAACAGGTGAGCGTGAGCATTTAGTGCATCAAGGCAGCCCTGTATCTCGCCCTCGAGGTTCGCCATCGCTTGCTCAGCCGTACAGTCCTTGTAGCTCAGACTGCTATGTGAGTACAGTCCGAGCAATTCAGCCTCGCCGTTAGCTTCAAGCTTCGCAAGTACCTCGATCAGACCGTTTTTGTTCATGGCAGTTGGCGGCAGTCCTGCGCGATGATATCCTGTGTCAACCTTCAGGAAGACTCTCGCAGGAAACTTGGCATGTTGCGAGAATGCCTTGACAGAGTCGAGCTGGGATGGATGATCGATAAGAACAGAGATACTTCCCTGCCCCAACTCTAAGCCAAGTGCTGCCAACCTTGAGATCTGCGAGCGGGGTAGAGGAAGGCCGTAGAGAATATCAAGACGACGACCTGCGTCTTTATACTCTTTGAGAAGAGGCAGAAGGTGCTCGATCTCCGCTAAAGTTGATACAATGAGCTTGACATCGCCGCTTCCATGGCCTATCTGGAGACGTGTTGCTTCTATCGTCTGAGGCTTGTTAGCGCAAGCGGTTCATATGGATTGACTGTTTGTGACCTTGTGAGTCTTGACATGCGCTCGAAAGCCAAGGCCAAGGGTTTCAACAGCCTTAAGCATAGACTGGCAATGGCGGTTCACCCTAGCTCGGTCTAGTATGATCGCAGGCTTAGGAACATCATGGATGCTTTTGCCGACATAGAATTGACGCAACTCCTCGATCGGAGGGGTTTGCCGTTGGGGGATCGCCATTTTAGGGTTTAGACCAATTGAAAATAGAAAAGGAAGTTAATACTTCTCCAAAGGAAGTGCATGAAGAAATACTGGTTGGAAAGGAGGCTCACGGACTTGTTTTATGTCAGCAAAGTTGTCAGAGGGCGCGGCGGACTTAGAAATGTGCGCCTGTGGAGATGTGACGCTATTCCCGGAATGTAAGGTAGATTCCAGCATGAGCCAATAAACGATACGAAAGCATAAAAGGATTCAATTTGAGGCCCCAGTTGATATGACGATAAGGATAGAGAACTAGTATATCGTGCGGTTCCGAAATGGTGCGAGAAAGGGTCTTTTGGTAGTATCATCACATCTACATCTGATGTCTGGGGGCTACAGACATATCCCAATTCGGTAAAAATTAGCTGCTGGCGTAAGTTTGGTCGTCGCTAATATACTGCCTTTCAGGCTCTGCACCTCCAGGTGTTCTGCCAGCTAATTAGTTAGCCAGCCTTATTGAAGCGCCAACCTAAGCAAACAGGACAACCCTGAGCAGAGTAGATGGACAGCTCCGTCGTCGGCCAGTTTATCTTGCCAGGATGTTACTGGCTGCAATGCAACGCAGCACCCACTGATTGGTTGACCTGCGGCCCCTTGTCTAGCTAGGGTTAGCATTGTTGAGATTGCTGATGCTTGAGTTCTAAGCAGAACCTTTATCTATCTTTCTAAAGCAGCATATTATGTGAAACATGTTATGGAGTGATTAGATTTCATAACCTTCTTTCAAATGTTTATATTCGATCACCGTGTGACTAGGCGGACCCTGGAGGTCAGATTGGAAATCTCAGTCAGCCTTGCCTGACACAGCCACCGTACTTTCCATTAAATTCCCCTCTTTTCCCAGAGCTGACGCCGTCGCAGCCCCGAATAAACACAAACACCTATCCCAGGATTGTCGCGATGAACCAGCAAGAAGAGAATTGCAAAAGGCATGATTTCATGGTGCTATCGGCCAGCGAGGCGTTTATGAGAACCTGTCTGTCCTGCGGATTGGTTGAGGACGTTCAACTATCACAACAGAAGCAACAGGTCGATCCGTGGGAAGGCTGGCTCAGAGCTGAAATTAAGCCGCTGTCATGGCCCCATTGTGTTCAATACTCTGATACTACCAATGCCACCCTTACGAGGACTGCGAGAGGAGATGAAGATGTCTACAGCTACCGTCCAAACGTGCAAACCTCGTTTCAGAACGAAGCTCAAAGAGAGGTGAGACACTCTTTGCCCTTATATATGAACAACCTGCTAAGCTATTTGGACAGAGGAACCCTTATGTCTACTCTGATCTGCCCAGAGGTTCCTGTATTCGACTACTGAAACTCTCACCCGGCAGCAGACTCGAGATACTCAGCGGCCGACTTTTCGAGGTTTGGTGGGAGCAAGAAACGTGTCCTCCATACTCTGCCCTGTCCTATACCTGGACAGATGAAAATGGCGACACCTCACTTTCAAATCTCATATTCCTCGACAAAGAGCAGAAAGTCCTACGCATTACACGGAACTGTGATCGAGCGTTACGAAGCCTTCGCCACAAGACCAAGTCTAAAATATTATGGGTTGATTCAATCTGTATCAACCAGTCATCTCCCTCCGAGAGGTCTCACCAGGTCGGCTTGATGAAGACCATATACTCCAAAGCAACCACTGTTCACTCTTATGTCGGAGAAACAGTGTGCGGAAATGACTTGACAGGAACAGAAGCTATGGCTTTGTTAAATGATCTTCAGGTTAATGGAACTTTGAACATGCTATCTTCCAAAAAGACAAGCAACATCTCCGTCCTCGACAAATTCTTTGCAAGGTCCTACTTTGCTCGGTTATGGGTCGTCCAAGAGCTTCTTCTCGCTCAGTCAATTACTATACATTGCGGAGAGGTCTCACTCCAAGTTAGCAACGAGTCCATCTCGCAGCTGCATGAACACGGTGTCAAGGTTCCGTCGTGGGTTCGATTTGCTGGAAGGGCGAGGTCGAGCGCAGTGCAAGCCTCTTTGGACTTGAGAGATCTTCTTGCTGCAACCAGTGTCTGTCGTGTTACAGACCTACGTGACAAGATATTTGGGTTGTTGGGTCTGATTAGCAACGTTCAAGCTTCAGAGCTCAGCCCCGACTATGAATTGATGGTCCGTGAGGTTTACATTGGCGTCGCTGCATACCTGATACAAAAGACCCATTGTTGCGACCTCATTCAGCACGCCAACCCCTACTGGGTTAAGCAGTGGCTTAGAAAAGACCCCCGATTTTGCATAAATGACTATGGTATTCCCTCTTGGGTCCCTCTTTGGGATACAGATGTACCGCTGCAAACTTTTCAAGGACTCTCCAGACATATGAAACAGATCGAATTGGACAGCAAACGCCTTTTTAGCGAGGAATCACTCGTCGACTGTTTTAAATTACTTACCATCGATGGCTGGTCTCACGACGAGGACTCAGAGTGCGATAAAGCAGTGAATTGCTGTAAAATGGTGGAATCCAAGTCAGGCTTTCTCAGGACCAGGATAGAGACGGTCTTACGGCTGAGCTCGTCATTTGAACCTGTTCTTAGAACTCGTCGGGATCTCAACGGACTGAAGGACGGCGAGTATTCCACAGGGTTCTGGGACCTGAAGGGTGGTCTTAAACTTGCCATCAGGAGTTTTGCATGGGCATTGAAGTGTGCGTTCCCCAACAACAATGTTGATCTGATCCGGGTCGAGGGGTGCAGTCGTTTGTTCTTGGCACAAAAGACTTCTGAGAGCCGAAAATATCGGCTCATCGGCTCGTGTGTTGCAGCCATAGTCTGCCAAACACAGGAGCCCAGTCCTGCCGAGATCCTCAAGTCCGATGACCTACACCAATACCTACGATTCAAGCCTCTTACACGCGAAATGATTCACTTCATGGCAAAGTGGAGTAACCAAGTACTCGAGCTCGCAAGATCAGACCCAGAAGATAAGAAACGCATTTTGCCAATCGAGGACCAAAGTAGCCACTTTGTCTCCAGAGACGAACCCGAGACATCCCAACCACGTTGGAGAAGCTGGATCCCTTTCTTAACTCTAGAAACTAGGAAGATTGTGGAACATGACTTGGAACTACAGAAGCAATTTCCAAATCTAGTTCACTTCTGGCACGAGGCCCATATCTTGTATACTACCGCTCGAGATTGGACCAGGAGTGCCTGGCAAGTCTCAAACCACGGTATTATGTTGCAGTATCGATTTCCCAACGATCTGATAAAGGTTCTGGAAGACCATCTTGGAAAGTCGCTTGCATTGGGAGAAGCGTTTGGGACGATCACGGGTAACAAGCCTAATTTCCAGAGCCTGCATCCTCTTCAGCTGCTACTCGATCTCCTAGCAAACCCTGGGGTGTCATGGTCTGGTGATGAACTCTTAGGCTATCCACATGGATTGAAGGGGCTCTTTGAGGATTTTGACCGTCTTCTTCTAACCCTGGATAAAGATCAATTATTCTTAGATCAAGCTTTTCCACTGGACCTTAGCGATAAGCACCCTGAGTACAACAGTATCAAGGAAGCCATAGGATGGAAACCAGCACTAGAAGGGCTGGTGAGGAAGAATACGGAGGCGATGGATATTTATCTTATTTAGATACTACATTGATATAGTATGCTAGAAGAGGTATCAAATGACTTGTTGGCAAGGATGTAATAGGCTAGTCTTCTAATAATTCACTATACATTTGACTACGAGTAGATTATCACACCCGTTAGTTTACAAAATTATCCAAGTATGTGTTGATTAGCAAGGCATAAAATTTAACCTAATTGCCTCCATTCTTCGGTGGCAGCGATTGTGTTTGCTGGAAGTATTCCACTGCCTTTTGACTTTATGCATCTTGTGAAAAATCAGGCATCCTGCCACCTACCATATGGTCATAATATCGATGCGATATGTACTGAAAGTTACAAATAATTCTAGAAAGCAACTGCCAGTTGGCAGAGGGGTAGAAGATTGATCTTCGCGGGTAGGTATGTCTCAATGCGGTAGGGAGACATCATGTTAGTGAGCGCTAATAACTTAGAAGGTAGGGCTGATGGGATATTGATAAGCAAAGCCTCTCGAGCTTTGGTTTGGCGGTTTGTTGGCGAGTTAAGATTACTTCCTTGATGTATTGCTGACTTTGGCTTTGCTGACACATTCTTGGCTCATCGGCTTCGTACCATCATATTCGACGATGCAAGACTAGTTGTTATTCTACCTAGAACCTGAAACGTAAAACACGAAAGGCCTAGATGAGTTCTCAAATAATTGCAGTGCATATCAAGAGTCTAGTAATTGGAATGCAGTATTGATCTTATGGAATCTCGGCTCTCGGGGATGGTCTTCGTTCAGCCTTACCCACCGGATCTCAGCATCCCCTCTGTAAGATCAGCTAGCTCATCAGGTGGGGAGTAATTCTCACAACTTCGGATAGCGTCGGTCACAAAGTACCCATAGGAACCCGAGACAAGCTACTAACGCCTGCGACTGCTCGATGTCAAATGATGGCTCTGGCCTCGAGCGAAACCAGTGTTTCTTGGGGATGCAAATCGATGGGAGAGCAGGGATTACCTCAAACCAAGCTAGGCTCTGGATCTGAATATGGGAATAGTGCATGAAGTTTCCGGGGCCTAGTGAGCACTAGTTCTTAGTGATTGCACTGGTGTCTGAGGCCAAGAGACCAGTCTTACCTAGGCCCTCCACGATGCTGACTGTCGTAGCAAAAGGCCCAAACGCTTAAAGAGCGGTGACTTGAGCGGCATATCGGCACGGTCTGGCATAATCAGAACCGCCAAGCCAGCTTATCCTCCATTACAATTCTGGAGGCCCCCAATAGTAAGCTTTCCCCAACCCTCTACTATCGCCTGGGACTTATAAAGGGCCGGATATGCTCATGACGCATATTAACTGTTTAAACAGGCTGCATAAAAGGAAACATTACCCGAAGAAAGCCCAAGCGAGAGATACTTCAAGGCCAATGCGGCAACCATTGAGATTCTTACCAAAGACTATTGGCCAACTTATAGGCAACCTTCAATATTTGGGGTCCGTTTTCTCACTTCGCCTCTCAAGCTACGTCATAAACGGGCCAATTTGATCTCCGTAGCACCAAGATAAGTATCTACAGCGCTGCATTGACCCCTTTTCATACCTTAGCTTGCCATCCCATATGACGAAGCTTACGCGGATCATTTCCCAGTTCGGTCGTTATTCGGGCTGTCGGGTGATGATTGTCAGCGAGATCCGGTGTAAATGGGGTTCTTTGGTGAGATTTGGTATCCGACAACCGGGGAGCATGGTTGTAGATCCTTTGGTCTGACCTGCATACACTCAGCCCACGAGAACTTGGATTTCTTTGGGGGGATGGATATAAATCAGGTTGGGTTCCGCCATGTAATAGAAGGACCTTTGGCGCTTGTTCGAGTAGGTTCATCTTTATCTTCTGTCCTAGAAAGTGACCGATTGACAATATGGCTACAACAAATGGAACAAACGGCAACATGCCGCAAAAGACTCGCGAGGAGAGTAACCATCACATGGAGTCCTCTATCTGGAACGATTTCAAGTTTAGGTCTGATGATATCATCATCACTACCTACGCCAAGTCTGGCACGACGGTAAGCGACGTTCTCACTACTTTGTCACTTCCACTGACTATTTTACCAGTGGATGCAACAGATTGTATCCCAGCTCATCCATCAAGGTGATCCCACTGTACCAGCAGGTGCCGTCTCACCCTGGGTCGACATGCGTATCGTCCCCAAAGAGGCCATGCTCGCACTGGTCGAGTCCCAAACTCACCGCCGCTTCCTCAAGACACATCTCCCTCTTGATGCTCTCGTCTGGAGTCCCCAAGCCAAGTATATCTTCATCGGACGCGACGGTCGCGATATGGTTTGGAGTATCCATCATCATATGTATCACGCCACAGATACCTTCTACAGCTTCTTCGAGAACACGGGCTATGAGGGTCAACTTCCTGTGCGACCAAGCGAGAACCCTAAAGACATTTTTGATGAGCTTGTCAAGAACGATATGCCAAATACCCTTGGCTGGCCGTTCTGGAGTCATATCCGTGGAGGGTGGGAGCATCGCGATCAGCCGAATCTTCTTCTTGTTCACTTCAATGATCTCAAGGCGGATCTTGAGGGGGGAATCAAGCGGATTGCTAAATTCTTGGAGATTCCTGATATGCCGGAGGACAAGTTTAAAGATGTTGTTGAGCATTCTACTTTTGATTGGATGAAGGAGCATGCGGAGTTGGCGGCGCCGCCTCAAGCTGAGGTTGCTTGGGCAAATGGCGCGAAGGACTTTGTATACAAAGGAACAAACTCGAGATGGAAGGATGTGCTTTCCGATGAGGATTGCATGGCGTATGAGGACAGGGCGAGGAAGGAGCTAGGTGAGGAGTGCGCGAACTGGCTGCAGCACGGAGGTTGGCTGAAGTAGGTCATAAGGAATTCTTGATTTATTAGGTATTAACAGTTTTGAGGGCTTAATATACTCAGAGTTTACTCCTCTTTAACGTAAAATATAGTAATTTATTATCTCTTAGTTAATACTATATTAATAAAGAACTTAAAAATAAGGAAAAACTAAAATATAAGAGCTAAATCTCCTAGATATAGCTATTAACAAATTAATATAACTATAGTATAAGAGAGTAGCTAAAACTATATTTTAGTTCCCCCCAAGAGCTTACAGAGTGCTGCAGCCGTCGCATCATCACCCTTCTGAGCTAGACATATAAGAGGCCATGCAGCCCGAGAGCCCATGCCAGATTCAGTATCAATGTTCTCAACTCGAGCACCCTGATCCCCAAGGTACTGAATTAGATCGAAATTGCCAGCGTGAGAAGCAAGAAGTAGGCCATTGCCGAATTTTCCTGCTGGAGCGTTGACACCAGCGCCTTTTTTAACTAAGAATCTAACGATATCCAAATAGCCACGTCGGGAGGCAGCTTGAACGGCAGTACCGTGAATTGATTGAGCGTTGACGTTAGCACCATTCTCCACTAGATACTCGACAATATCCAAACGCCCAGAGTAGGAGGCAGAATAGAGGGCATTTGAAAAAAGTGACTGAGCTTTAACGTCAGCTCATTTGTGTAGCAGATATTTCACAATATCTGAGCGATGAGATTTACTAGCAACCTCAAGAGCATTTCCATATACTACTTGTTGGGCGTTGACATCTGCGCCGTTTTTTATCAGTAGTTCAATAATATCCATATGACCGGCTGCAACCGCAGTACAGAGGACATTATGCATCCTTCCTTCGGTATTGACATTAGCACCTTCTCGAATAAGGAGCTCGACAACGTTGGAACGGCCAAACTCAGCGGCAACAAGGAGAGCATGGCCAAGCCAGCGCGGTGGAGTATAGCCCATGACGCTTGCGTCTATTAGTTTCATAACGCAGCTTTTGTCTCCAGACCAGCTTGCATAATGTACTTGATCATGCACCGGTGACCGAAAACCTGGCCCTGAACTCTTAGGATTGACCTTCATCTCAATGAACTTCCTCCATCGTTCGAAGAGCGATTGATTCGAGAAGAGCTCCATCGACAAGTGTGTAAAGGTACTGAGCCTTGACCGAGGGCGGGAGGCATCATGAATCCAACGTTCTATAGCATATAGCAATAGGTGATGTGTCTTTATCAACTCTTCGTCGGATAAAGAATAGTCCATTTCTAGGAAGTACACCAGGCAGATTTCTGTGATCGTTAGCCTTGCAGTAGGCTCAATCAACAAGCTGTCGAACTCAGTCCTGGGACAGGATAAGATGAACTCCTTCACAGACGAATGGGCTAACTGGAGCACCAAGGCTTGTGGGTTAGTATTGCCAACTGAGATAAATAATGTAGAACAAAATGAGGATATTTCAGCTGGAATTGGCATACGGTCTTTGATGATGAATCGGGAACCAGGCGGTGCTGTAAGATTTATTGCAATAGCATCGACAGCGCCCTCAAGCGTCAATGGGATGTCCGAGTATGCTAAGAATTGAAGGATTCGGATGACATATTTCCTTCTGGTATGTGTGAGTTCGTACAGTACGCGATAATATGTCTCCTCGAGGGTTGTTGGAAGAGTTTGAAGGGTTGTATTGACTTCCTCTTTGTTGATGCAGTCTTTTAAGCGTTCTAATTGCAGAGCGACCCAACGAAACCTTTAGAATAATTATCAGCGTTTCTAGATAGCATATCAATTGTTGGTGACCTTACACTCTATCCGCCTTTGCAGTCAAGCTGTTTATGATCTCATCCTGTATTGCTGTATGCTCGTGCCATCGACGTAGGCTTGTGGAGTTGGTCACAACTTGACGAATATAGTCAGAGATATCCCTACTGATGTTTTCTGTTTCGAGACAGATGATACTGTAAGGGTCAGCCCAAGTTTCGATAGAGGTCTTGACATCGTGTTCAGGGCGGCTTGTGACAAGGAGATGGGTCTTGAATTCCCCATTGCACAAGCTTTCTATCCAGCTCAATAACTCATCTCGCTGAGTACTTCGGTTCCGATATTCGTCCAGTGCATCAATTACGATGTAAATATCGCCTGGAGATGACAACATGTCGCGAAAGGCATATCTCAACTGTCCCACAGTTGCTTGGCTACTCCCATCACCACATTTTGAGTAGAGTGCGTCGATTGGGGATCGAGATTCCTGCCGGCTTCGGTAAAGCTGGTTGATCAAAGATCTAAGGATAGCTTCAAGAGATCGTTTTCGGTGGTCGGCAAACGTTATGTAGAAGTACAGTATCGCGCAGTTACCGGGCGGGCTGTTACGTATGTCTTCAATGATAGTCGAACTTAGAATAGTCTTCCCTTGGCCAGACTTTCCCTTCAACCAGAGGAAGGAATTCTTCTGGGACTTCCAGGTGATATACTGAGGGCTGTCTAACAGCCATCGTCCAGTACCTGAGTGGCAGACTTCACGAGCCTTGTTGTGATCGACAGAAGGATCGGCTGGATCGAGCCATGCCGATATACTATCGTCGCGAACAGTGGACGAAAGGGACTTTATGTCACGACTGCTTTCCGTGGCTATATGGCGAATATCCTCAACTTTGCCATTCACTATTTGTGCGTATCAGCCTCCAATAACCACCCCCATGGCAATATCAAAATGTCCAATTACTCACGTTGTCCCAAAAGAGTTTCAATTCGTTCCTCCTTCAGCATACTACTTGGAGCTATCTCGAGCAGCAAGTCCCTAGCGTAGGCAGCTGCGGCCATAGCCGCATATTGTTGCCATTGATCGTTCTTGTGCGAATCAGAATAGTCGCATATCCCCCTAATGATAACGCACGGAAAGTGATTCATGAGGCCTGAAGCTTCCATCTCAAAGCACAAGATACCATGCTTCGCTGCGAGCTTGTCGCGCAAAGGTGCATCCTTCATCAAAGAATTGCCCGATGCGATCAAGCCGCGATGAATAGCAGGATTATTTTCATCATCGCCTCGTGTGTCTCGGTACACCAGCTTGTCATCACCGCAAGACTCGCCACAGGCTACACCCTCGCTTCCTTGATGGACGAAATCTGCTTCGTATAGGCGATCGGTAGAGACAGCGGGTCTTTTGTATTTGTTGCTCAGTCGCTTGTACTTTTGGAGGGCCTTATCGATGTCGCTCTCGATGCTGTGACCTTCCATCTCATACGTAGCGTGTAGTGCACTCATGGCTGTCAGGAACGCAATAGGCGGCTGGTTCAAGTGACTAGTAACTGCGAATTCCTCGCCTTGGACTGCCCTTCCGTAGTCGTACTGAATGACGCCACTGTTGTTTCGACCTGGAGATCCAACAACGATGTCGCTAAGACGGATGTCTTTTATGCCTGGGGCGCCACCACCAATCCCGACCATGAGCACAGCTCGCAGGTTGGAAAACGTGCGAGTCATATCTTTCAAGGCGGCTGCTGCGTTGACGAGACCGTATTGGCCATACGGCAAGACTGCAATGACAACATTGTGCTTGCCAATGCTGCCCAGTGTGTATTTGTTGTCATCGTTGACCGCCGCGTTATTGACAGAATCGTGGACAACATCGAGAAATGCTTTGGCTGCAATGAGCTCTTTGGTCAAAGCGCAGATCCAACCAATTGTATATTCCTCAACCTCAGGCATGGTATGCTACTGAAAAGACGTGCTCGAATGTTCTTCAGGAATACCGCGCAATGTATGAGGAATAAATAAGATGTGAAGAATGAAGGGCGGTATGAAAAGCATCACAGCCTGCTTCTTGTTTATCGCTGGCGCGTAAGCACAGCCCTGAATTGTGGCCGAGCCTGCATATCATGGCGTTGCCAGGCGCTAAATTCAGTAGGCCACCGCACGATGTGACCATTCAGCCGCGACTTTGCACTCGCATGTAATTTCCAAAACAGCCTATCACACTTGGCCACATATCCCGATTGCTGGAAATCACTGTAGCCCAAGTTGTTGCAGAAATCATGGTACCGCCTCTTGACCAATCACTTGCGCTGTATTGTTAGGACTTCCATTGCCTGCTGCAGTAAATGCAGCAAATCTTGGTCATTGTGAAGAAACTAGCAAGTGAGAGAACGCGGCAAAGGACATTGCGGCAATAATTTGCGCCACTGTCCAAGGTCGTAATATGAGTCTTGGAGGGCTTACTGGGTTGAAGAAGCTCATATCGATTACCCCTAAATTAATCATCATTATTCCCAGAAATACCGTTTCAGACAGCCTATCTGGCCTCAGCCCCAAGTACCTAGCCCTGCTGCCAAAGAACAGTCTTGTCTCCAACAATGCTCACCTTGTCAATCTCAACTATCTCACTATCCGTAAGCCTCCATCCGAGCGCCTCAATAGCGCATTCCGCCTGTTCAACGTTCCTGATTCCAACAACTGGCAGGACGCCCTTGCTGATGTTATAGTTCAGCGCAACAGCGGCAATGCTCTTGCGTCGTCTCTCAGCAACCCTCTGTAAAGTCTCAAGCACTGGTTCAAGATCTTCCATCTTGTAGCTGCTGAACCGATGTGATTTGGGCGGCGGGTTGTCCCTGGTGTACTTGCCAGTCAATCTTCCTTGTGCAAGAGATGAGTATGACTGAAAGATCATGCCGCTGGCCTTGCACTTCTTGATGTTGCCAGTGAGTTCGGGGTAGCGACGGAGGATGTTGTACTCGCATTGATTTGTTGCGAGAGGAATGTTGAACTTTGCGAGCTCATCGTTGATCTTTTGAACATCTTGGACATCGTAGTTGGCTACTCCTATTGAGTGCGCAAGACCCTGTTCAACGCATTGAGCCATACCCTCTGCGATGGTAGGGATGCTCTGCGGGTGGATTGGTCCGTGGACAAGATAAATATCGACGTACTCGAGGTTCATGCGTTGAAGACTAGCCTTGAGACTCTTGACGGGGGCATCAACAGGATGAATGAAGTTGGCGGCCTTGAGAGGAGTGCTGAAGTACTTCGTTTGTATGACAATGGTCTCGCGAGGAATATCTTTGACCAGTTCGCCGATAATCCTCTCGCTTTCTCCGTTTCCATAAGCTTCAGCTGTATCAATGAAGTTGATGCCAGCCTCATAGAGCGTCTTCCAAGCCAGCATAACCTGGGGTAGTTCCTTTTCATCCCATTGCCAAGTCGACTTATCACCCCACGACCAAGCCCCAATACAGATGTGAGAGGCCTTGACGGGTTTTTGAGGGCTTGGAAACTCAACGCGAGACCTAGGTTGGGGACAGTATGATGTAGGAAGAACGTTGGCACCGGCAGTTTCTGGCTCTGCCCAGTTTGGCTTCTTGGAGTGAAAGCCTGAGACAGCGGACATACCTGCTGAAAGGCCGGCCTGTAGTGCTTTGTCCATGGTAAATGAGTCGTGAATCTTGGTGTTACGTGGGTAATAAGTGGGAAGAAACTTGGCAAAAAGCACCAAGACAGAGATCAGGCGACGTTTTTATTATTTCTGCCATTGTAGAGCCTGTATTGTGACCCCGTCGCCTTCACTGATGGCGTTATGATGAAACCGCATGATTGTGTACGCAATTGAAGATTGTCGCGGTCGTTACGGTCTGGCAGGGATGTTTGAAGTCATGATGACGCTACTCCTAGTCTGCTATGACTTCTCATCATGGTCATTCAGTAGCATCAGATTAAAACCAGGTATAGCAAACCAAGATGCGGCAATTATTAATACGGATCAGCAATTCTCGCTTACAGTTCAATGACGCGTTTGTTTGCACATATCTCATCGCGTAGCGACAACGCGCGTAACAGAAGGTCGTGCGAGTATTATTGACTTGGCTGAGATCGATGACGTCAAATGTTTACATCCCTATCTTCACATGTCAAACGCAGTATTGCATTCCAGCAGCGACATAGAATATAAACTGGTTCATATTCCTCGCTTTCGATATCTCTCCAACAAACTTCAACCCACGTTCGACATCACTAAAATGGACTTCGACGATCCCAAAAACACAAAGTCTTACTCCGATGCGCTCAAGGTCGATCCCAATTCTATTATTACGACTTCGATTGATGCAGTTCCCATGACTGTCGAAAGAAAGCCGTATCAGCCGGGTGTTGACAAGCCCCGATTGGCTCATGCAGGTAAGCGTCCGCACCTGGGACTGCACACGCTCGATAGCTCATCACATCCAGGCGTTGCGAGAGCCAATCTTGCTGCTACCCATGAGCGTCCCGAGGGAACGAACGAGAATGACTGGGCTCAACGGCACCAGGATCAAACTGTAAGGATTGAACATATTCTGTAGACCTTGGTGCTGATCTTTTCCAGGTTCTGCAGCAGCACTGCGATTTCTTCGACAAGGTACAATTCCTCTCATTCACGCCTTCTAACCCCTTACTAATGATTCCAAGGACCACGATGGCGTGATCTGGCCGCTTGACACATTCCGAGGCTTCTATCAACTAGGCTACGGAGTTATCCTATCCTTCATCTCGGCCCTCGTTATCCACGGCAACTTCTCATACCCGACCCAGTCCTCGCTGCTCCCCGATCCTTTCTTCCGCATCCACATCGACAACATTCACAAGGATAAGCATGGCAGCGACACTGGGACCTATGATACTGAAGGGCGATTCATTCCACAGAAGTTCGAGGACATGTTTTCCAAGTATGCAGAAGGTCGGGACTACTTGACGATATGGGATGTTAGCAACTTGATGAAGGGCCAAAGGCTCATCGCTGATCCCATCGGATGGGGCGGTGCCTTCTTTGAGTGTAAGTGATTGATATGCCGTGAGTCTCCAACATCTACTATAGCTCACTCGCGATCTAGGGTTGGCCACTTACATCTTGCTTTGGCCGGATGATGGGCGTATGATGAAGGAAGATATCAGGGGGATTTACGATGGTAGTCTCTTCTACAAGATCGCTGCCAGGCGAGCCTCAAAGTGATACCTTCCATTCGCAGTTGAGACTCGTGGCTGAGACCTTAAATTATAAAAGAGAACTTGGACTGGCTATGATAATATCGAGAGATTAAAATAGACTTCAGACCCTAGAACATAATGGCAAAGAACACTAATAAACATATACGGGCAATTTACTCCTTGCGCTCACCACTTCTACTGAAATACCAGGACTTAGCTATCCTGCGACAGTCTAGCTATTTCTAACTTAATTAGTGCTGCTATATTTTAACTTAGACACGTGAGAGCCTTGGTATTCAAGCCAAATTCAATGTTCATTCACTCCCTCACCAGATGTCCCTTATTTACATTTTCAGCCCCTCCAAAGGCATAAATTACTAATTATAGTAACCCTCTGCCGAGGCTGCATACAAGGCTGACACGCAGGGGCGCAGTGCGGCTGAGCAACTGCAACCAACATCTTTCAGTGCTGGTACCCCACCTGAGTCATTTTGCTATATGCACGATTTGTCCTGCTACACAAACAACGCTTCTCATGGCCCATACATCCTGCCCTCCTTAGTTCACTATGAGTACCCCAGTATGCCTATGGAAAAAAGCTCGTGAAAATCTTCCAAAGGACGTGAAAGACTGGTTAGCCTCCCTCGAACAAGGCATACAGCCCAACGCGACTGGGGCCGAACAGATCGATGCGCTCATTGAACAGACATCTGAAAAGCAAAAAGGCCTCGAAAAGTCAAATCATAAGTTCAGGAAGTATTTTGACAAAGTCATTCATTGGTTGGATAAGTTCAAAGGCATTGGTGATGTCGTTTCTTCATTTGACCCCGTTCATGCGGCCCTTCCATGGGCTGCTTTCCGATTCGTATTGGAGGTAACATATCTCCAAATCCTGATCGCGTTATTCCAAAGTCTAACCTTATGTAGGCTATATTGGCTGAAAGAGAACAGGCAGATAGCGTTCTTGAGCTTCTAGCCTCAGCCCCGTACTTCGTTTTCTCTGGCCGTGTTCTGGAGATGGTCTACACAAAGGAGTCCATGAACATTGGAGGAACTCAACACGAGATCAAACTCAGTCAGCAGTGTCTCGATAACTTGCACGAGGAACTGATCAAGCTTTACTCCGAGATGCTCAGTGCCCTTCAGTATTGCTATGTGATTTCGAACCAACACAAGGTCAAACGCAAAGCAACGGCCATTTTTAATTCATCCGAAGTTATCAGCATCCATAAAGACCTGGAATTCCAACATATGAAAGCCATGGCTTGTGGAGAACACTGTCACAAACTCCTGAGTCACACTGTATCACGCACATCTCTCGACTTGTTGCAGAAGATCCAGCCACATGTCACCGAGCTAGGGGATCGTGTTCGAGAACTACTAGTACGAATCGATGAGTCCGAACGACTTAAGACTCTTGAAAATATCTCAGGTATCCTGTTCCGAGCTCACCATGAGGAAGTTAGCGGCAAGCGGACGGCGGGTACTTGCGAATGGATATTGAGAACAGAGAAGTTTACTCAGTGGGAGGAAAGGTTTTCCTCAGTCACCATTCTGTACGGAAATCGTAAGTGCACGACTTATTCGCTTAATTCTTGTTTCAAGCTGACGAGTTCTAGCTGGAGCTGGCAAGACGTTTCTCACCTCCAGAGTAGTCGACTATTGTATGTCGAAGGCTAAATCGAGCGAAGCATTGGCCTTCTTCTATTGCAAAAGGGACGAGGAGAATCGACGTAACCCTCGGGACATTCTCCGCAGCATTCTTCGTCAGCTAGCCACGCCAATCAAAGAAACTGGAGGTAGAATGATCCACGTCGCTCTCAAAGATCTACCGCAAAGACTTGCACTCAACGGTACAACCCTGGATGTGTCAACCTGCGAACGGTTGATACGGGAGCTCATCGAAGGTTATTCCAGAACTACAATTATTCTCGATGCACTTGATGAGTGTGACCGAAACACTCGAGAGGAGCTAATTGGGGTCCTCGGTAACCTGACGAATGGGAGTTCAAAGCTTCGCGTCTTTATCTCTAGTAGACCTGATGAGGACATTCTACGCCACTTCAAAGGAACACCTACCATGGAAATAGAGGCAACAGACAATGAAGAAGACATCTCATCATTTGTGAAGGACAAGCTGTTCAGAGACACTCGTTGGACCGTCATAAGTCCCGACTTTCAGGAAGAGGTCAAATCTATATTTCAGGAGAAAAGCCAAGGAATGTTCCAATGGGCAGCACTACAGGTTGACCAGATTCGTCGACTGAAACTCTGGAGCGAAAGGAGTATCGGAGAACAGCTCAAGGCCTCACCTATTGGACTAAAAGGCGCGTACGATGTGGTCTGGAGTCAGATCCAGGAGATGTCCCCGTATGAAGAGCAACTGGCTAGAAGAGCCTTGCAATGGGCCTTGTGTGCATTCAGACCATTAAATACTTCTGATCTTCTGTTAATGATGCAGATTGACCCCGACTCTGGAACGATAGAGGCTGATACAGCTTTTACGTCGGAGACTATCCAGAGCATCTGTGGAAACCTGCTTGTCTACGATCGACAGTCGAATGTCTGGCGGTTCTCGCACTTGTCGGCACGGGAATACATTGAGAGGCACCATTACAGCATGCTTGAATCACATCACCACGCTGCCATTTCTTCTATCAAGTTCCTCGCAAGAGATTTAGTCCCGTTGCCGCGAGATACGAAGCCAAGTAAAGACCTTAAACCTCTCTGGGTCATTGCAACGAATCGATCTCATCCAGATGGTCCTTGCGTTAAATTCGCAGTTCAGTGTCGCTATATAGTTAGTTATGTATTTAGGCATGCACATAAATTGGATTTGCCTGAATACAGATACTCCGAACTCTCAAATCTTCTCCGGAACATCTTCGAACCTCTTTCCGAAGGAAGCTCGTCTTTTACGGCTTGGAAGCGTCTCTTGTGTGAAACGAAGGCCTTGGGACGTCGCGTAGAGGAGAGAACTGCAGGTCAGGTACCTCGTTTGGATATATCATCAACACCTCTTCAAATTATGTCCATATACGGACTCTTTCATACTCTACGAGGCCTCTGGGACAGGGCTGGGGGCGAAATCGACGTATGCCGTATGTTGACGCCATCTCCACTGACACTGGCCATTATGTATGAGCATGAGTCTATCTGGAAGTTTATATTGCTCTCGAATGCAGAGGTTAACAAAGGCGCCCCGGGGCCTCTTACAGCAGCAATAGAACACGACAACGTGGAAGCTTTTGAGGCTTTGCTTGAAGCTGGGGCGGATGTGAACGACGTTCATCCCTATTATGGGTCTATGATGAGTCAAAAGGATCCTAACACAGTAATTGCGGATACGCCCTTGAGGGCTGCGTTATGGCGTTCAAGGAAGCAGCATCGAAGATACTTCATACAGAGATTACTTGATGGAGGTGCAGACGTCAATCTTAGGTCACGACGTAAGACTACTTTGCAGTTCGCTATCGAGTATGCCGATGAAGAAACCGTTAGAATTCTTCTCGATGCAAATACAGAGCTGCATAGTCCAGACTACCTGCTTCGCCTCGCGACTCGGAACCGCAAATTCAACCTTGTTCCACTATTCGTTGAGATGGGCGCCAACGTAGAAAAGCCATGGGAAGGAGTTTTGCCATTATTATGGGCGTTGAGGGAGGGAAATCTACTGGTTGTTCAGTATTTGTTGGAGATGTTGGGCACATCGATTGACCTGTCTTGTCAAGGTCATAGGGAGGCAATTCTCTCATCCCTTTGGTTTAATGAGTGGGAAACCTTCGCTTTTCTTTTTGGATCTAACCCTCATATCAACTGGAAGGAGTGTGAAACAGATACCCTGAGGAGAACCTTAAGGTCATATCCCAAGTACGAGTATGTACTCCATGGTCTCGGCTTCGATGGGTATAATTTTTCGCTTCAATGTCTTGAAGGAACACCACACCATCAGCTGAGCTTGGTGGATCCTTTACTAAACGCTGGAGCAGACCCATCAGTCAGCGTCAATTTCGGCTATGGGAGTACTTTGACCGCAGCTGCTTTTCATGGTCGATTACATCACGCCCGTGCTCTTCTGGATCAGGAGATGTTTCGCATTAAACAAGAACAGAGAGCTCTGTTCCGGACTGCTTTGTTCTTTATGCTGAGCGGACATCTAGGTTTTCCTCATAAGCGGAAGAAGCCCATTGGTAACGAATGCCTTTGCCCAAAATATCTCAAGGTTCTTCTACGCCTGTTTGAAGAAGATTTGAGCGCTTACATGCCAATCTATGACTTCTTAGATCCGTTGATCCCGCTAGTATATATCGATGGAGAGGGATATGAGATTCACAATTCATGTCACTTACACGCGAAAGGCTACTTTGGATACTTTTCTCGACTTTGGTTCTCTATTATATGGGATCTACAAGATAACACATCGCCTCAGCTTCCTCTTAGCTCCCAACTCCGACAATGGCAGTTTCCTGAGATATTGCCACCCAGTTGTTCTATTGTCACAAAGATGACTGCACTTTCTAGAGCTCGGCCAATCTATTTCATCAAACTTTCCATTCGGGGCAGTTACTCTCAGTTCAGTATCGTTCCGACAAAGCGGGCGGCTAGAGGGCCATCTAGTCATAGATTCGAAGGCGTACGATGGGCGAAGTACAAGCCCGAAAACTTTGGTGTCACAAGATTTCCAGACCCGGATTATGGGACTGAATCATCTAATACTGAGGTTCCGGCTGCAGCCGGCAAGTTCGTTTCTTCTTATGGGAACATGTTTGCTTTGGTTCTCGCAGCTATGGTTGGGTTGACTTCCTGCTTCATTGCTCTGGCACTGTCAGCGAGAAAGCATAGTTAGTGTTTCGATCATTTTTGCATGTCAATAGAAGGAACAGTAATCACTACGGGTCCCCCATTCCCACGGTGTAATAAAACATCTATCATTGAATAAAGGTGCCAAAACTACTCAATCCATGGTCTACGTAATCTACTAAAGGATGCCCAAGCTTAACTAACCTATACCTTCACTTATCCTAAAACGCTTGGCCTCACCAATCTTGATCTTTCGCTTCACGGTTCCTCGGAAGATCAAGTCATGCTACCACCGCTGGCCGATTACTCATACAAAATAGATCCCCGGTGTGTATCTGACTTGTGATTGTACGCAAGGCTTTGCAGTGCGGCAATTGAATGATTGTCGGGATTCCTCTCGGTGATTTCGCCTCGGCGTATTCGAAGTCATGAATAAGCAGGATTATTCCCGTGCTACATCCGATACACCGGGCAAATGTGGATAGCGTCGCAGAAATACCCGAGAATACGACGGACTGTGAGGTTCAGTTTGTAAGCCATGATATACGAAAATACCGACATGCCATTTGATTTAGGGTGCTAGTTGAACTAGCGAGGTGATACTAAGTATATAAAACACAGTAAGGCCCTTCAACAATGGCACCTCATCAAGCACAACAAACAACTACAACTGCACCTGTACTCGTAATAACTCTTCACTTTTACCATAACTTCACATTTGACAACAATCGAAATGGCCAGATATGCTAAGGACCAGCCGGCCGGCTTCACCAACTTTATTGAGAGAGTGGCAGTTGTCGGCGTAAGTACAACTCGCCTTTGTCCTGCCAAACGGCACTAACAAATAGTCAGGCCGGCGGTACAATCGGTTCTCACATCGCGAACGCACTCCTACAAACTGGCAAACATACTGTAACCGCCCTGACTCGTCGGGGAAGCACCACTAATCTTCCAGACGGCATTATTGTCGCCCCGATCGACTATAGCGACGAATCAACACTCATCGCTGCGTTGAAGAACCAGCAATTCCTCATCATAACATTAGCTCCAAATGCTCCCAAGGATACACATAGAAAACTTGTCCAAGCAGCCGCTAAAGCTGGCGTACCTTACATCATGCCTAATGGCTACGCTGGTGACATCGAACAGGTCAAGCTTGGGGAAGATACTCTCCTTGGACCGATAGCCAAAGCCAACAGGGATGCGATCGAGAGGCTTGGTATGAAGTGGATTACTGTTTGTTGCGGGTTCTGGTTCGACTACAGTCTTGCTGGCGGCGAGAGTCGTTTCGGATTTGACTTTGACAACAAGTCACTTACGCTTTATGACGATGGCAATGTGAAGAATTCGACTTCTACGCTTACACAAGTTGGGAGGGCTGTTGCGAGGGTTCTGAGCTTGAAAGAGCTGCCCGATGATGATAATGATCTCACCGTTTCGAGTTTCTTGAACAGGGCTATTTACTTGAACAGCTTCGTCGTCAGCCAGCAAGACCTGTTTGAGAGTGTCAAGCGTGTCACGGGTACTTCTGACACTGACTGGACTGTTACTCACCAGTCAAGCAAGCAGAGGTATAAAGAGGGTATGGCGCAGGTCAAGCGAGGGGACATGTCTGGCTTCAGCAAGTTGCTATACGCCAGGGCTTTCTTCCCAGATGATCCGAGTGACCTGTCTGCGAAAGCGCAGAATGAGCTTCTTGGCTTGCCGGAAGAGGATTTGGATGAAGCTACGAGGGATGGGATTGCTTTCGTTGAGGTCCTGAAAGGTCGCGGTGAACGCATGAAGCATTAGTTCAGGCAAAGGCCATGAATATGGGTACTTTCGTTCTATTTAGCCACTCCGCTCAATCTCCCACACTTTTAGTACTGTATCAATGGCACATCTATTCAACTGATAGCATTTATCGCATAACATCATAGTTACAAGACTAAAGAGTTTGGAGAGAAGGTAGGAGTTCATACACCCAAGCTGGTCAGCTGATGGAACAACTGCATGCCTTGAGCATATGTTTTGGGTAGCTAGCAGGCCATTGAAGTACCGTAACGTCTTCCATTATATGGACTCTTACCTAAAAGCTTTCTGCGGTCAGTCCTGCAAATCGCGGGCGGAGAGCCAAGGGGGAGACTTCATTTATCAATCCTCTTGCAGCCAAAACTGGCTGGCCTCTCGTCTATCTAGTCTTTGAGATCTATCACCAACTCATAACTAAATATCCTTTATTCCTCATCTTTCTTTTTTTACTTTCGCCTGTGGCAGTCGCCTCCGTTGTATTGCGACGTCCAACGTTCAAGGGCTGTAAGTTCCAGTGGCACTGGCCTTGCTGTACCTGAATCATTGCCCCACAGCTGGCACTACTCAGCTGACTGCCGTTCTCATCTCAACTTTTGGCCCCGCAGCTGCTTTTCTCACCTCTTCCCTTCAACACTCACAACAAGACAGAACCGTATCTCTCATCTGCCCTCTATTACTCCATTCATTTTATCCTTTAGCTATATGCTAGAGCTGAAGTCTCTTTGATACCGTCTACCTCATCATGGAAAGCACCATCGCGCCTTTGAGCGCGTTAATGCTGGACCAACCGTCGTATCTCGACGCTCTTTCCGGCCTCGTTCATTCACCTGAATGTTTGGCAGCAAAGAGCTTTGTGACAGCTCGTCTGTCCGACGCCGATCTCGAGAAAAAGAGACGCTGTGCGAGATGCAACATTTGTAAGAATCCTTTTGCCCTATCCCGGAAACCAAGATCTAACATGTCTAGTGCTTGTCAAGAAAGAACGAAGAAGTCGACAGAAAGTCCTTCCCAAGAAAGATCCCGCTCTCTCGACTACTCCAGGTTCCTTGCAGAGTAAGATGGTGGATGAGATTGTTTCACTGGGAATGGAACAACTGAAGCTGGAGGAAACACGCGCACCGGAAAAGCGTTGCAAATTCCACGATGGGAAGGTCGTCAACAAGGTAACGTCTCTAACCTTTCCAATATGAAACATATTTTGCTCACACTTGGGATAGAAATGGACATGCTGTGACCAGCATGTGATGGGACCTCCTTGCAAGAAAGAGGACGAACACAAACCTGAGAAGCGTACCCTCAAAGAAATCTCCAGTCGCTGGCAGTACTCCGTAACACCCTCCATCACGACAAAGGATACGCGCAAAGCTGTCGTTATCGACTGCGAGATGGGAACGGCCGCATCTGGTGACACTGAGCTGATCCGCCTGACTCTTATCGACTACTTCTCCAGCAACGTTCTGATCGACAAGATTGTCTGGCCTGATGTCCCGATGCTACATTTGAACACCAAGTGGTCAGGCGTAACATGGAAGATGATGAACGAAGCTCGTAACAAACGAAAGTGCGTCTTTGGCTGGAAGAAGGCCCGTGCTTTGATCTGGAAGTTCGTAGGTCCAGAAACAATCGTCATCGGACATGGTGTCAAGTCAGATCTCACTTCTTTGCGCTGGATCCATCCTCGACTCATCGACACGCTTATTGTTGAGGGAAACAATCGTGAGACAGCGGCTGGGCTTTCGTTGAAAAAGCTGGCTGAGGAGCGGTTGGGGAGAGCCATTCAGCAAGGGAGAGGTCATGACAGCCTTGAGGATGCGATTGCGACGCGAGACCTTCTCCACTGGAATGTTTTGAAGTTGACTGGAGGACTTACAGAGGTTTGAGTGGGGTAGAGCTGTCGCTTTGAGACAGCGGCTAAGGTTTTTGAATGTTGTGTCTGGTTATGATCTGCTGCGGCTGCTGGAAGGTTCTTGAAAAGTACTTTCCCGATTGTGGAATTCGGTGCATGGAGCCGGGTAGGGCCTGGGCGTCAAATGCCATATGCAGCGAAGGCATGTTGTATATACTTCTCCGGCCTGAGTGGACTTACAAAAGCGATCAGAGTCCTGTTAACTTGTAGCAAGAGCCTCAAAGAGCTAGAGAGCCTGATGAAATTATAATGAGCGGCCTTCTTTGTATGTATTAGGTCATTGTACCTCAATTTGTCCTGTTTGTTGTCGATCATGAGAAATCCAACGTTAGTAACTCGAGTGAATATATCGATACTCATCTGAGGCGGGATGGCATAGCTTGCTTCGTCGCGAAAGCTTCAATCATAACTTAAAGTACCCATGTATGTCTTTTGTACCTTGTGATAAGAACTCACTGCTCTTCAAAGGCACTGTTCACGTTGATCAAGGCTATCTGACAGTATGATTTGAGTTAACACAAAGCTGCCTAACCTGTACCAATCCACGGGGCCACGGATGAATCACGTTGCCACAAGTTGGATATTTCTGAGCAGTTTACTGATAAAGTATTAGTGCTTATTCTGATATTTTTGAAAACAGCAGTAATTTGGTAATCGACTAGCTAGTTGAGCTAAATATTCATAGTTACGTCCCTGCCGAATCTACCCATGGCGAGATGAAGAATAACGCAATGACATTTCAAGTAAAGTATCAAATTTTTAAGAGGACCTTCTTATAGAACAGGGTTATGTTTTATCTCGGATCTTGTTCTGTTGCCCGCATTTCAGATTTCGTACTGCATGATCACCGCATACCAGGTCTCGGTCACGTCAGCGCGACTAGCGAACCACCAAGCTACCCCGACGTTACAATCGCGGATGCATGACTCCTGCTCTCGGCCTTATCAGCGCAGATCTAATTAATTTCGGAAATACCATCGCCAGATATGGGGTATAATAGATTGACGCAATTGATGTGCAGAATGAGCAGTCCTTTGTTCAGCCTGTCATTGGATGGGATGCAGCATCCTGTTCATGCATCTTGCTCGCCACGCAGGATGCTACATCGGTTACATCGCGACGAGATTACTCAAAGCAGTAGATCACGAAGTCGCCCGGGAGATAGGCCGGTCGGGGTTCAAGGTCGTAGTGCCATCTATGAAAATAAGCTTAAAAGAAAGTTTTGTCCCCGACCAGCCACCAACCTCAACCCTACCCCAATCCCGATTACACAGTCGCCATGGCACACAATAGCAAAGATGTCTCGACCGAGAAGGTCCAAGGCACCGCAGAGCTTACTCAAGGTTCGGACTCAGATGCGCCAGTTGTAGCTATCTTACAAGAAACACCCAAGAGGAGTTGGAAGTCGTATATATGGGACACCTTTGACAAATCACCTGAGGAACGAAAGTTTCTCTTCAAGCTTGATGCCGCTCTTATGACGTTGGCGTCTTTGGGATATTTCATTAAGTATTTGGATCAGGTGAGTCTACCCGATTGCCAGAGAGAACGTCGACTGACCAGGCAGGTGAACATCAACAATGCCTTTGTGTCGGGCATGAAAGAGGACATGAATCTGTTCGGCAATGAGCTGAACTATATGCAAACATGTTGGACTGTCGGATATGTCATCGGCGAGATCCCAAGGTAACTTTCTCCCCCCTTATCACTATCAATAGTATACTGACTGCTCAGTAACATGCTACTGACGCGCATCCGACCCAGTATCTGGATCCCCGCCTGCGAAGTAACTTGGTCCGTCCTCACCATCCTCCTTACAAAATGCACAAACGCCACTCAACTCTACGTCCTTCGCTTCTTCATCGGTCTTGCAGAAAGTACCTTTTACCCTGGAATGCAATACATCGTCGGGTCATGGTATCGCAAAGACGAACTCGCCAAACGATCGTGCTTGTTCCACGCCATGGGAAATGTCGGATCGATGGTATCAGGCTATCTCATGGCTGGTTCGCACAACCTCGATGGCGTACATGGGTATCACGGCTGGCAGTGGTTGTTCATCACCAACACGGTAGTGTCCCTCCCCATCGCCATATCAGGTTTCTTCTTCCTACCAGATCTGCCCGAGATCACGAGGGCCTGGTACTTCACACCAGAGGACATCGCCCTCGCAAAGAAGCGTATGGAACTTGAAGGTCGAGCCCAAAGATCACCTTACACGAAGGCCAAGTTCAAGAAGATCTTCACAAGCTGGCATATTTACACCCTGGTCCTTCTCTACATCCTCTTCAACAACGGCAACGGCGGAAACTCTCAGCCCGCATTCCCCCTCTGGCTCAAATCAGAAGGCTACTCCATCCGCGACGTAAACCTCTACCCCACCATCGTCGAAGTAATCAGCGTCATAACAACGCTCATCTACGCCTGGACATCAGACAGTCTCTTCCGCGGCGCGCGCTGGCCCGCCATCGTATTCTCCGGCTTAGTCAAGATAATAGCCTACGTCGGATTGACGGTCTGGAAAGTTCCTACGCCGTTTACGTGGGTATGCTTCATGCTCTGCGGTTTTGGCGGCGGGATCAGTGGCCTTACGTTTGCGTGGGCGCATGAGATTTGTAGCGATGATAATGAGGAGAGGGCGCTGGTTACAGGGGCGATGAATCAGATGGCGTATGTGTTTCAGGCGTGGTTGCCGTTGATTATATGGCAGCAGGTTGAGGCGCCGAGTTATCCGAGGGGGTATCCTACTATGGTTGGGATGGCGGTGGGGTTGATTGGGATTGCTTTTACGATTAGAGCGTTGCATAAGAGGCAGATTAGAGGTCATAGGCATGCTTTGGTGGGTGAGGCGTAGAGAATGTATATATGAGTTGCGTACAATATGTAGTGAAAGCCTCTATATCTATCGCAGGTTGTACAATCTTGTCAGTACTCTCTTGTCCGTGGTATCATACATCCAGCCCAACCCTCAAGTAGACCCTTAAGTAGATGAATATCCTCCATCAACAAAGATAGTCTGCCCCGTAACAGCAGCACTAGCATCACTTGCCAGCCAAACAGCAACACCCGCAAAGTCCTTCGGCAGCCCATTCCTCCCAATCATCGTCCGCGCAGCATGAGCGTCAGCCTTGCCCGGATCAAGAAACGTAGCTCTGGCCAAAGGTGTATCAACAAGCCCTGGCGCAATAGCGTTACATAAAACGCCATGCTTTGACCATGCCTCAGCCTGTGAACGTGTCAGACCCAGAAGGCCTGCTTTGGAAGCTCCGTAGGCACCGCTATTTCCAAAAGCTCGGAAGGATTGTTGACTGATGATGTTGATGATTCTTCCCCAGCCTTTCTCAGCCATCTTGGGTCCGAATGCTTGACCGAGAGTGAAAGGTGCCGTGAGATTCACAGCGATAGTCTCATCCCACGCTCCCTGCGATAGATCATTCATATGAGGTCTATAATTAACCCCCGCCGCATTGACAAGAATATCCGGTGTCCCAGCATTCGTTTTAATCGCATGAATCGCATCGCGCACAGAAGCTTGGTCTGAAAGGTCAGCGACGATCGCTTCAGCTGTGACGTGAAGATCCGCAAGATGATCAATAGTATCTTGAAGCGGTTTCGGTCTCCGCGCAACAAGAACAATTCGACAACCTGCGCGACCAAGAGCAATAGCCATTTCGCGGCCTATGCCTGATGAACCGCCAGTTACGACGGCGACTTTGCCGGCGAGGCTGAAGAGGCTGGATAGATAGCCTGAGATGGCTTGGGGGCTTGGAGCCATGGCTGTGAGATAACGCTAAGTATGGTGATAGTTTGAGGTAGTAAAGAATGAGGGTTTGTAAGGAGAGTGGTTATATGGGCGGTAAAGATAGTCGCGTGTTTGTTTGGCTGGGATATGAGTCTTGTGAGCGAAATCGGCTGACGGGAATTGGTGCACGAGATGTACTGATAATTGCACGTATGCGGGGTAGATGAATCGTGACTCAACGTTATTGACTAAAGCGGCATTTCACGATAAAACAACATGATCACAACAAAAACATCAAATGCCTCCATAAAATGATCGAGAAAAATAATAAAAAATGCTCATTTTTACTCCAGGCAACATCACTCAAGCAGTAGCTTCTATCCTCACCAGAACCAACCACCAGGTCTCGGCCCCAATATCAACAACCCCAGGCCCATTGACCTCCAGATGAGCAATATGATCACTCAGCGCACTCAAAGGTCCCAAAGGCCCAGCTCTCTTATCGCCTTCTGCTGAAGCTTCCAATAGCGCTTTCACAGAAACGCCAACGACTTCTGAGAGTTGCTCGGTATTGAGCAAGCTCGCGTGCAGGCCTCGCTTGTTCAGCCAATCGTGATTCGCGACAACGACATATGCGACCGCGCGTTCAGCGGGTGTTTTTGGCTTTCGCGTAGCAGCTGCGATTGTTCGTCCTGGAAGACCAACGACTGTTCCTACAGCACCGAAGACAGCGCCTAGAGGGATTGATATAGCGCCTCCGACGACTCCAGCTGCTGCACCGAGGATATTTCCGCGCTTGGTGTTGGCAGCGATGTTTTTGCCAACGCTCTTAGCATGATTCTGCACATTTTTGACGTAATTCACAGGTTGCTGGCCAATGTTCTTTGCAACGTCTCCAGCGTGATTAATAGCGCGCTCTCCAACCTTGGCTGTCATGAAGGCGGAGATGGTATCGAGGAACGAACCCCATGCTTCTTTTGTAATCCCATGGCCGAGAAGAGCGGGTGCGTAAGCTTTTAGGAAGGGAGATGTTTGGGTGGTGTTCTCTTGGGGGATGGCGATGGGGGGTTCTTGGGCGGATGAAGCCTCGGAGTAAGAGGGTAGAGGAGATGCGGAGGGGAAGTTGAAGGGGTTTTCGGCGGTTGGGATCTTATCAGATGATGGCTCGTTTGCAGATGAGGGGCCTGCTTCGGCTTGGTAGGCTGGTGAGGGATCTGAGGGTTGGGAGGAGTTGGCGAGATGCTCTGCTTCTTTGGAGGACGACATGATGAGAAGAAGTTGTAGATCAAAAGCTGGCTTTTAGTAGAGAGTGGGATGAGAGGAATTGAATACGATAAATAAATCAGCGGCCATAAGATCTTAAATAGCTAGTAAAAACGGCTTAATAAATGCCACTTCGTCATCGGGTATAACGGCATCGTGCTCAGCCCTAAGATCTGGATTAACCCAGATACTGAACCAATAGGAGACTCCGACAATCGCGCGGCTGGATTATCTCGAATGGCTTAACGGAACGGGACTAGTGCGTCAGCCTCAGGGTAAGCGAGAGCGAGGGGATCCAGTTGTGAAGCTACCTAATGAGGCTGTGCTGACCTCGAATGGATTGCTATCTTTTGAAGGTGAGGATTTTGAGGAGATCTTGGAACAGATGACGCATAGATTGATGTTTAAGATATCATCAAGGTCAGGTAAGACGTTACATTTCTTGTATGCTCATTATTAGGACTTCGCTAGGGGAGCATACCAGCCTTGATCAAATACGTAAACATCCTCACTAAATCGTCAAATTCTCCTCATCTCGCCGCCACTTATTCGTCTGATAATAATATACCCCCCCTTGCTGGACAAAACTACACTGCTCCCTCTTCCTTCCACTCCGCCAAAGCCTCTGCGAATCTGAACACTGAGAAAAATGCAAAGCAGCTTCGTCCTCAGAGTATGATCGATCGCGAGCGTGGAAAAACGCATTGGACAAGATGTTTGCGCTCGATATGGAAATAAGCGTTACGTCGTCTTGTTTCCATACGTTTAGGTGGCAGGCTATACAACTCACGCCCGTCTTGAGCTGTCCCGTGCGAGGATTGAGGCAGGGAAAGATTATGCTTGCTGCGAGGCGGTAATGTAGCCAGCCGGGGTTTAAGAGGGCTTGTCCAGGTTCGTCCATGTTGCTGTCTACTTTGATGTAGACGGATAGTAAGTCCTTTGCTAGAACGCCACGGGTCTTGGACATTTTCTTAGGGTCATCCCAGTTGTGAGTCTTAAAGGTACGTATATCAGTTGACTCTAAGGCGGTTGTGAGGGTATTAGTGTGGTTGGCGTATAAACACTCCCATTGCTTCCTTTTACTGATGTGTGCTTCGTTGACGAGAGCTGTCTCTGGTGATGTACAGAGACACTTGAAACAGCAGCGTTTGGCAGTAGGAAGGAACAAGAAATCCCCGAACAGTCCGCAGAACGCACACTTAGTTGTCGTGAGTGCGCTGTAGACATCGGAGTACGAAACATAACCACTAAGATCTGTCCGTCTCAATGCATTGAGGGCGTCTGGGGCATGGCGCAGAACTCGACGGTACGTGGTGATTGCAGTGGAGAGGTAGCGTGCCCTACGACTGACTTGTCGAAAGCGGCGGAACGAGTCGATGTCTAGCTGCGAGACGATACCTTCGAGGATACCTTGAGGGAGGCGTGCGAGAATACCCAAGTTTGGGACTTGAGTCTTGGAGCAGCGGGAGAATAACCTGTAGACAGGCGGGGAGAACTCTTCGGCTTTGGGGTCGTGATGGGGAAAATAGTACTTGGTCCGTTTGTAGAAGCAAGTTTCAAGAAGTTCTTTCTTGCTGATTGTTATGTTTTGTGTCGTGCTAGAGAGACATAGCACTGAGTTATTGGTTGAGTTGGAGGCCATTTTGTTGATGTGTTGAGATGGAAATTAAAGGAGGGAAGAATGTTCGAGAGACGAGAGTGATTGAGAGGAACATAAAACAAGAGGCGAAGACTTTACTTATTTACCGCAAGTATTGAATTTCTAAATCCCCGCTTTTGTGATTCGTAGGCTTTGGTAGGGTTAGAAAAGGGCATTTTGACAGTGGACGCGGAGTACGATAAGAGGTACACCTTATTACCAGTGTCATTTGGGCAAGTTTGCGTCATGTGCATCGCAAGGAAAGTTATGGTTTGTCAATGCGATGCTTCTTGATCCTCGATAGGATCTAAGATAAAGTTGAACGAGAAATCAGAGTTACGACGTCTAGGCATGAATCGAAATCAGAGTTGCCCTTACGGATTCACCAGTCACAAGGTTAGGATACTGAACTCACGCCGAACTCACTTTGGGTAGCTTACGCGGCACTCGTTCTCAGTCCTACAGCTACCCAAGAAAGACAGACCTTTATCGCATATGTATCAAGGATCCTAGATGTCAAGTGTGTATGTGAAGGTTAAGTTGATTCATCTATCAAGTGGGACCTGAGGGTCGGCTTTGCGTTGGCCGACGTCCACGTGACCGTCGTGCCCAACACTAGACATCGTGCTTATCGAAGGTTTGGTGGCTTTCGGATACATAATCAGTATACTTCTATCAATACAGTATGGCTGGAAGTGAATGTACGTAGCGTCGGCACCTTTTGTCAACTGATGCACGCGGAAGAGCACGTCTTTGTCGTCTCTATCTTCAACGACCAGATGTATCACAATTTCATCGAAGACAACTAAATTACAAAACTTATACATATTTGCTATTTACCAGCTTTTCCGCTCTCCCATAGACATAGACCCAATCTCATTTCCATTTCGTCAGAGCCGCATACGATCTCATCCAAAAGTCAAACTAGCATATACAAACCCACCAAAGTCATAATAAATCTCCTCCAGTCTGGTCAGACACCTCCAGAACTAGCCGCGATTATGCCACATAGCATGACCAACGAGGATGCAGATGTATAGTCCAATTTGAAAAATTACAGCGGTCAACACCTAGAAGGCCTCGTTGTTCAAAATTGGCATGTCGTCTACAAATCGGCGACAATATTCTACTCGCTCGCTAATCCCCCAATGCATGCCCCCATTCGCAGCAAACCAAGACTCGCGACCGAGGTTAGCAAAGCGATTCTTCCAGATCTGCTTTGCATGCTCACAAGTCTCGTAGTGCTCCTGGAAGTCTTTATGCGAATAGCATCGGTCACGCTTTTCAGCGTCAGCGTTGATTCTCCCGTCACCAAGCGATCCGTTTGCCTGGACGTGTCGGTTCTCAAAAGCTTCATGGCAGCCTCTACAGCTGCATCCTTGTTCGATTTCACGTGTAGAGGTGTTGAAGAAGGGAAAGTGGATGGTAGCTGCTGTTCGGTAGTGCAGCATTTCGCCGTAGAAAAGCTCCTTGACAGGGTCAGAGGTGTCGATGCCCAGAGTTGGATGGCTGAAGACATCGTCCACCAAGACGGCTCTGGTATTCTTCAACATTCTGCCAGGATGTATATGGTTCCGGACTTTGAGTGATCGCATGGAGGAACGATCGATCTTCTCAATGAGGCGTGGGCGATTGTCGTCAGTTCCGTAGATGGAGAATCGTCCATAGTACGGAAGAATTTCCTCTGTTCCAATGACAGCCATACGAGGCGATGTCTGCAGGCACTTATGGCACGTTCGTGTGCATGTGGGGAGGAAGAGCAACGATCCGTAGCGAGAGCAGAACCCACACTTGGGAGAGGTGAGAACACTGTGGATGCCGCGTATGGTGACGTAGGGACTCAGCCCGGTACGAACAAGGCTGACAACTGCGGCACTGCCATGAGCCATGACCTCTTTGCAATCCAGAACCGTCTCTGTCAAGCTGTGCGCTTTGGCATTTACGTTCCGAAATCTGAGGAAAGATTCGACATCAAGAAGACGAAGGATGCTGTTCATGACATCGCTTGGCAGCTTCTCGAAGAGATTCAGATCTGCGCTTGGTGTGCCAAGAGGGTTGGTCAAACCCTCAGGGACGGGTCCAAGATTCTCCAGCATCGGGAAATACCATTTCCTCCGAACGTAGGAACACTTGCGGCGTATCTTTGCCAAGTCTTCCGATAGGCGTGTCCAGTCGGTACCAGGCTTGAGGCCATATCTGCGAGCGAAGTAGATATCCAACTCGGATGTTCCAGGAGGAGGAGCTGAAGGTTCAGCAATTATGTCGCGATAGTGCATTTTGGGGTAGTGTATGAAATACGCAGGTTTGGGATTTGAGGGCTGATATGGCACAGATATGAGTTGCGCGGCGTATGGGTTGATGGCTTTCGGTGTTGTTATAGTTCGGATTATTGAAAGAGGGTGTATAGAGAGATGGAAGGGTTCTCTGACGGTCTGAATAGCCACAGGAAGTGTGATAGTTCTAAGAGATGTTCGCTGCAGATGCAGAGGGATCAAATATGAAAGACGCGTGAAGAGTCGATTTCGCTGCTATGCTGAAAGGTTGGTCAAGGGCTCGGAAAAGGTGAGATATAACGGAAGAATAGAATGCCAACCTTGATGGGAGTGACTAGGAATCGTAAGTCAAGAAGGATGAAAGCTGTTTTGACAGCCAGCGATGACAAGGTTATGCTTGTTTGATGAAAGAAGTACAATGTCTCACAATATCGAACAAAGTTGTGAGTAGTGTCTCGGGTACGGGATGTTGTTATGAGAAAAGGGTGTTGAGATGGGAAGAGTGTTACGGAAGGAGAATATTGTGGTAAGAGCAAGAGAGATGGAAGGTCAGGATACGAAGCAAAGGGCATTGCCAATGTTTGATTGACACTGGCAGAACAAACGCTCATGGCTATGATAGAACGCCCTGGCATGCATGGTTCTGTGGCACTGGCAGAAGGTTGGCAGCTGGCATTGCGCGTATCATAGCTCTACGCGTTTCTACGAGGGCGGCGTTCTAGATACGGCGAACAGTGTTAGCCACTCTAACTACCAGTGGTCGAGCTACTGGTTGGAGTCGCATGTGTCTAGAGCTGGCGCTGATCATTCGCCTTTGGCTCTTGCTCCCACTATATCGAACACGGACTGAACTTGCGTCAAAGACGGAATAGATGCGTTGTACATACACGAGGATAAGCTAGTTCGAAGCGAGTGAACAGAAGGATCACGCCTGTCAATATTACCAAGGAGACACCAACGAGCAACCGAACCAGTACGCCGAGCAAGAAACCCAAAGGACCGAAGTTATGGCCAAACCGTCGAGATACGTCTGTGCCCATCAGGCAATCTTCTGCGTAATTCCTGACCCTTTCATGCGTGGCACAAGAACTCTTCCATTGCGATACTCATACTCCAACTCCATCCTCGAACCACGATCCTCTTGGAACGAAACTTGGATGATCCGCATGATAACTCTGAGAAGGTCTGCACACTCTGGATACTCCTGCTTGACGTCGAGTTTCACGAGCTTGAGGCTTTCATTATCCTTCTGAGCGTCGCGCGCGAAACGGCTGATGATGTTCATGTCACGTTGTGTTGCGAACCCAGTGGGCATGTTGATCCAAAGAACGTTATTGGCTTTGTGGAGGCTTTCATATTCACTCAGAGAGCTGGATCCATCATCGAGAACGATGTAAACGAAGCGTGAGGAGATGTCGTCTAGACGAGTCGGTGTGATGGTAGAGGCTGTACCGTTCTCTGCGAGTGTGGAAGCCAGTTGGTCCGCAAAGCCAAGCATACTACCCTGAGAGCCCGGTAGAATATTTACCATCAGGCGCTGGGTTGATGCAACTGCTGTAGAGATAACACAGTAGCAAGATTGACCGATGTAATCGAACATGTTCGTCGCTGGTTCAAGACCGCTGAACTGGGTACCCTGTAGTAGCTTGTTCCATTCATCGTTCGAAGGATATGGCAATTGTTCACAACGTTCATCTAAATCACCCGTCAATAACTCCCGATTGCCCATGTGAGTAGTAAGACACGTACCTGACCACATATTCTCGTTCATACCCAAGATGAGGCTGTACGCTGGAGATATGTCCGAGAGTCCGACCATGGCCAAGACACCACCAGGGACGAGGAGTTTGCGCAAATTTGTTAGTGTTTCTGTAAGAGAGTTGGCTGTATGGAGAATGTTGTTGACGAGGATTAGGTCGTAGGTATTGGGGCTGAAGCCTTGCTCAATAGCATCGCGGTTAATGTCAAAACTCTTAAGCTTTAGGAAGTCTTTGGTGATGCCCGACTTAGTTTGCTCTAGTACTGATAGCGACGAATCGGTAAGAGTGTAAGAGATATTCTTCTGCTCCCGAAGGGCTTTAAAGATGGTCTCTTTGTTGTTGCTCGTACTGGCGCCGACCTCAAGGACGTTGAGAACCGGTTTCTTTGTCGCATATGATGAGAGATACTGTTTGAGATGGCTTCTCATCTTCTGCAATAACTCCATGCCGTCTTGCATCTGATTGAACCTGTTGCCTTCCAAAAGCAGTGGGATTGGATCAATAGTCCCCTGCAGAATAGCTCCCAAATTCGGTCCAATCTTGGCCAAAATCTCGCCCTCAACGCCCATACGCGTAAGCGACGATAAGATCTCAATCATAACCGTCATCGTCACATCGCCCAGCACAAGCTTACTCGCCTGAGACGAGTTGTAGGCTTGCATCCATTGATACAATTGTTTTCGGAAGCCTGTAAGTTTAGAGGCATCAAAATCCGGGATATCCAGAGGGATGTTGTTGAGAGATGCGCGAATTATCAGAGCTGCGGCGCGGGCTAGAGTGATCTGGTGATCGGCTGTTGCTTTACACAGTGGTGTTCTGGGTCGAAGTTCAGAGCCGGTGAAGAAGTTGGCATCAGGTTCCCATTCGACGTGGTACACTGAGTCCCAGTCGTCGTCGTGGATAACGAGTTGGTCTCGGATGATGGGCTGTACTATAGACATGACTGGAATGTGACTGTTGTGTTGATCAGAAAGGATAAGTGAACAAGTTTGTTGGCTCACTCTGTACAAAGCTATGAAGTAGGAGACAGAAAGTGTTGGCGCCAAGCAAGGCCTTATATCCCTCCAAAAACCCCAAAATCTCACCACTTCCGGAATGGAGAGGGGGCGGGGGGCGATGACATTCGTATCTCCGGGGCATACCCCAATATTTCTCGGAGCCGCAAAGCATGTGAGACCCTTTAACCCCACGGGGAAATAAACGGCCGAGCTTCCGATACGTGCCCGCGTTTGGGGTAAATGGTGCCATGACATGTTTCTGTGACATTTTGTCTCCTGATCAACGTGGAGTGATGAGATTGAATCGGGAAGTTGGGGAAGACCCCGCGTTTGTGAACCGATGAGTGAGATGTTGGTTTTGGGGGTTAAATGACGAGATTCGGGTGCAACGGATGAGGCGTGTGGAGGAGGGAGGGAGCCGTTGATCCCGTCGCGACAGAAGCCATTCAACTTTCAATGAGCCAATACTGTTCGTAATCCTGCTGAATAAACTCCACTGTTCCCGTCGGGGTCACATTGAGGCTCTATAAAGAGCAGATGATCATTGAACTAATGCATGTGATTGCGGGAAACTCCACAAATCGCATCCGCAATACCACTCGAGATCGGAGCCGTCGCATTCGTCTTCTGACACGCAGTATAACCTGTTCTGACGTAAAGAGGGGATTTCACAAGCTGAGGGAGATATCTCGGACCGCCGGTGTTGGTTCCGGATGATCCGGATTTGGTCGGTGATGACATAGTGACTGAGGGGTTTATCACGGCATTACTATTCAGTGTTGCACTGTGTCTCGCCACACGCTGTAAAGTCTGGGAGGTTTCTTACAGGTAAGTTCTGTAATTGGTCCATTTCCTTCTGTGCCGCAAGCAGGAGTGAGGCGGCTGTACGTTAGGGGAGCAGATGCGGCATTAAGTCACCAATTGCAACACCTCGATTCGAGCGGCAAGGTTCGCCTTTCAGGAGTCTACTTCTGTCGTGATACAAAGACTTTGGAGATTCCCCTGGTCTCCTTCAGCTCAGCAAACACGTATGTATAGTTCCTGGTAACGGAGTCGCGCTGGCGCAACGAATCTCTGAAACTTTTGAGTAGATACGGCAATCCGTGAGTCGCCTCCACCCTCCACCAATGGTTCTACGTGAACGAGGTAATTGGGTTGAGCCCAAGGTCGATTCCTCAACTGATGGAGAAGAATTGGAGGCACCTGGGCTACGGGACGTGTGCTGATAAACCCTCATGTGCATTTCATCCATATCAACTGGAGAGAACGGCTTCGTTACGGGTGGCATATACAGTGTTTACTTGCGAGTTCTTCATGTAGCTCTATGCCATCAAGAATGAAATGGATACACCTTTATCCTGCCAAATGCTGGAAGATTACTCATGGCCCGGTTAGCCCCAAACAGCCCGATCTTCGATTTCTCCATGGAGGATATACCATCAGCCTTCAGCTAAGCAAGTGGGTAGCTGTGTCCCAATGGTATATGATTCGTTTTCTATTATGCGTCCAATTCCTTTTTGGCGTACACTACGAGTCATACTAGTAGCCTTGAAGAACGACGATGCATCGTGGACGAAAGTAATTTGGTATAGAGGGTACCTGGCATGATTCTTCAGATTTTTTGCAGCACTAAAAGCGGTTATGCTATTATATATACCTATAAATCGACTAGCTTTATCACATGCGTCGCTCACCGTAGATAAAACCAACAAATCCTTCTGTCTCTGATAGGCAAAACTTGGGTCTGGGAGACCCATTCCACCAAGGCTCCAATCGGCTTCTGCAGAAGAGGCATATCCTGCTTCAGCACCTTCAGACATGCTCTTACCATTGACTGCAGTGTTCGAGGTCTCGAAGGCTGACATAGTCAATGCTCCCGATGCGGGTGACTCATCGATCTGGACACTAATTTCAGCGGTGGACTTATCTAAGGCTATTAGACAGTAGTCTGAAATCACCTCCTCTGTAGACTCTCTTCACTTTCCGATCAAACATTTATCGTCGCGATTAGGCAATTCACAGTACTCGTAGCACTTGGGGTTTCGCTGGCTCAGGCAATATCGCTTTTGACATCCGTCAAGAACTGACACTGAAGCCTGAAGTCAGTTGGGCTATATACACTCTCGACTTACCTGGGATTTCCTAACTGTAAGTGTACACCTTGGTCATAAGTGCACGAACCCAGTTAATAGGAATAGGAAGGCTAATAATTCTCACGTCGTAGGCTAACGTAGTGATCAAGCCCCCGTATGGTTGCATAAGTTCATGAACTTACTGTGAAGAGGATATCCTGTTCCTCTTAATTGGGTTCGTTAACTTCTGACCAAGGCGTATACTTGTAGTTAGGAAATCGCACTCTAAAGACAAAAATGTTATAGGTAGTCTCTACATGCCTGTCGATCCGCTGCTCTTGTATCTGCTTACATGGTAATGAGGACTTGAGGAGTATTGGCTGCCTGCTTTGAGGCATTGCTTGCGGAGCGGTTTATCTTAGGTTAACTGTTAGTTCTGGGAAATCTTCATTTTAAAGATCCGAAGAACTAAAATATATGTAAGCGATGCACAATACGTATCAAAGCGAACTCTATCCATACCTCGGGTTAAGAGCCGGGTGAGAATCAGTGATTACTATGTCGAGTTTGAGGCTATACATTAGAGATCAGACTTCATGCTGCATACAAGTTGCAAACATGCTGCACAGGTATCTAACGGAAAGGAAACCTATTGTCATGCGATCTGTATTAAGTGATGACTTGGCTATTCATCATTACCGCGTCTGGTCGAGCCCAGAGCATATTTTTCAATACAACTGCAACTCTACAATTGATTAAAGGTCGTTGTTCATTCAGACATTCGAAGCTATTTCTTGTTCTGCTTTTCCCTCGTACTTCGTTGCCCCGAGACATCATGGCCATCCCGCCTACATCGACCGTGGACCATCCGCTCTCCAGAGCCTCTCACCCTCACTATCATAGATCTCCAAGTATGGAAACTCACTTGAAAACACCAGCTTGCTTTTATGGGGAGAAAATTTGATCCTGGACTCACAATATACCGGTCCATCGGTGTTCGAAAGGCGCAATCTGCCGTCACAGCAGAATTCTAACAACGGGGGGGACTGACCTGTGGGTGCCTCTGTGGTGGACCAAAGGACTTTGGCCTGCTTGTCAATCACATGAAGTCTGCCATTGGTCCGGAGGACAAACTCGACGCCATTCTCAAACTGGAGAAAGGCTGTCTCAGAGGGACTGACTTTCAGCGTGCCGGGCTAGAAGGTACAAGAATAGCCTGGTAGCGGCGTTAGTGATATTATGAGGTTAGGACAGCATTTGACTCACCCTGTGCCTCAATACCATTGTTTAGAGTGACCTGGTATGGCTTGCCTTCCTTGCCGTTCTTTTTCGACAAGCTATCTGCATCTTCTTTGCGTGTGTCGGCTCTGTTAGCCAGCTGTCGTTTATCCACCAACATGCACCCTGCGTTCCCCACGGAAATAGCGCTCTGAACTCCATTTAGTCTCGAGTACGTATAGAAGACAACGCCTCTCATGCCACCTCCACCGAAGTGCTCGTCTTTGATAGTTTTGCGGTTAAAGTGGATAAAAGGCCAACCACCGGGTGAAATACACTCCACGAACGGTCGGAGATCTTCATAGGAGCTATAGACCTTGCCGCCATATGTTACGCCGAGTAAATAACAGACACCGCGCGTAGCCTGAACAGATGTGGCATTCTTCGACTCATGAACAAATGAGGCGCTGTCGGACTCGTGGGTAATCTCCAGTGTTTCAGTTGACTGCGCGTCATGATCAAATGAACAAATACGCATGGGCATATCAGTGTACTCATAGATGAGTGACAGGTTGGTCGTGGCCCTTGGTGCCAAGCCCCCAAAGGAATCGGGTGTCTCAAGCGTTTTGATGTCTTTCGCGAGGATGAGCAGCCGATCTCCGTTTTCTCCGGGACTCACCCATTTCTGGAGCTTAGCAGTCACGTCGTAGGTTCCACATACAGCAGCAAGAATCTGGAGTTTTTTGTACTTGACGGCGGGTGCTGGAGCGGTCTTGGCTGGCTGGCTGACGAGACTGGTCGATTGATCATTCTTCACTGGTAGCAAGTCCGCCCAAACTTCAGGCGGGACCAGCTTTCGCATTGCCAGATCAGTGGAGGGCTCTGTTCCATCTGACAGTACAGGGGATCTTCCACTGATGCTGCAAGAGTCAAGATCAGAGGTACAAGGTGTATGAAGCTCCTCGACGCCGCTGCTCGACTCGCTCGGCGCGTAGTCCGCAACAGAAGGCAGGAAAGGATCTTCTTGCACCATGGTCTCTTGTTGTGAGATAGGTCGAGAAGATTCCTGAAGGGCTTCGTTGAGGGTCTCTTGCACGAGGTCGTCCTTGAGATTCGCGTTCAGAATCTCGATCTTGGGCAGAAGCTCTGGGTGTCGAGTCAAAGTATTCACCTGGTTCGTAGAGTGTTAGAGGATGGAGGGAAGACAACAAATTGAACGTACCACTGCAACAATGCTGTTTATCTCTTTATCAATCGCACTGCGTACAGCCAGGAGAGCGTTCAGTTCAGGCGGAATAGCCCTGGGCTTGTCGACCTGAGCTAGAAAATATGTGTCAGTTCGCTGAGGTACCATACCAGAATAGCTCAAGGTATACAATACTTATCTCGTTGAGAGATGATATCCTGAACCTTTTTTGGCAAGCGATTGTACTGCATGTAATTGTCAAAGAGCTTAGAGGTGTATGACGCAACACCATCATAATCGAGCGGTTTCAGTATCTCATAGCTTGACCATTCGTTGAAGCTACGATTTGCCTTGTACTTGGTAAGTATGGCTCTTCTCTCGATTAGTATGAATTCAGAACAATAATGTTTAAAATTACCAAGTTCTCTGAGGATCCTGGGCAACAAGGGCAGGAAACTGGCTCGCAATCCTCAGTATAGACGCTACGTCTGCGGCGCGATTCATGTCCGGGACCTCCACGCCCTGGATGACAGATGCGATCGCAAATTCTTTGCAAACATTCTCCAAGTCCATGGTGGGCTGAGTTAAACCCTTCTTGACGCTATCGAAGTTAGCTTCATGTGTGACAATTCGTTAAATTCTTACGCTTCAATTAGCTTGTCCTTGCGATCCGGGTCAGAGGCAATGAAGGAGATGATGCTGATGAACAGCCCGCCCGTTATAAAGCCTGCCATTGTCAGATTGCAGCAGCAGAATGTGTGTATAGTTGATACGTACCAGAGATATAGGAATCTCCAAATGTCTCATTGAATCTAAGCGACCCAGCCTCCATGCCATCGATGGGAAGGAATCTGGCGGAGCCTTTCAGACTTGTGATTTCGCTCATTACACGAACTGATGCCATCAGACTAATGTCGGCATCGTCAATCTCAGCGCTGTTAAATGCACTCATGTGCCCATGAACATCCATCCTGCCAGTCGTGATAGTGGCAGCGCGCGAAATATCCATCGTGTCGGCGACCTCTGACAGACGGTCGAAGAGCATAGACGAGGTCGTGATTTTCGGTGAGAGTTTCTCCGAAGTTATCATGGCCTCATCTGTAGCTTCGACGGCGCTGTCGATGCACATTGTCTGGGTGTACGAATTGAACCCCATGCCCTATGGTAGATGTCAACGAATGATCACAAACAGCGCTCCGTATGACAGAATGGTTAGCCAGTCCTCACGGTGAGGTGCAAGAGCTGTCATTTTTTATGAGCGGTGAAAGAACATACCAGACGCATGGCATCATTGTATGGTGCGAGTAAGAGCGGCATGGCGACCTTGGAAAGTGCGGTGCGCGGTAGAGATTATCGCAAATATTGAAAAGATTGAAAATGTATAGACGGGATCGCAGGTGCTTTTTTAAGTCGTGGCAGGGCTTGTGCGCGCTTTGCCCTATTGCTTGTCAACTTAAAATATCGTGTTGTCATTCATCACCTGTGTTTGCAGCCTAAAGCTTAACCTTAGAAGAACCAGCGCACCGCATGACAGGTGGCTTTCGCCTTCGGCGCCATGCAGAGAGGCTGTTAGGGAATAAGTCTGAGAGGTCAAAAAGACGTCAAGCATGAGGATACAGGCTGTAGGCTAGTTCATAGGAGCCACAAGAGTTTCCAGAAGGATTCAGAAAGGAGATAGGTAACAAGACTACCAGCACCAGAAACTTTGCCTCGATGCTAGTGTTTGGCGACAGATTGCTGCGTTCTCATGAAGCTTTTAGACGTCGCGCAAGACAGCCAGCGCCCATCGATAGTCTACCATATTGAGCTCAGGCTTAGCGGTGAGTCTTGTATCAGGGAACGCAGCGACACAACCAGCGACCATAATGTGATGCAAGACATGCATAAAGATTCTGCTCGTTGGCGAGCTGGCTGGACAAAAGAAATATCTGACAGCGCTTTTACCAACAGTGAATGGTAGAATTGTAGATATTTCATGTTTTCATATCAAGGTTCCTATCCTCCAATCCTCCTTTTCTCCTATCTTCCTATCCAACTTTCTATCAAAATCACGTGACGATATTTTTTCAGCTTCGTTCATCACAGTATCAGGCAAATGTTATTTGGAAAACACCATATGTCGTTCGGTCCGAAGGAAAACAAGTAATGCCCAGTCTTGCGAACAGCAAGGATAGGAAATTTTAATTTTAACATTGAGGTCAAAATCAGTAGTCACATGATGCGGGGTGAGTCAAGTTTTCCAATCCCTGTGCAAATCTGTCAATGTCCAATCTCCCAGCCCCACAAGCTTAAATTGACCTCGGTCAGGAACAGTGCGCAGTTACCCTGTAGCAGGCGCACCGGGAATGGCATTGGAAACACTTTTCGCAACACATCAAAAAATGGTCGGATAGGTGTTTGGAGCATTTGCAATCTTTACAGAGGACTGCAGAAACTTCTCAGGCGGATGCTTGCAAAGTGGTCGCAGAAAAGCACATGGCAAGCTTGCTAACGGAGTGATGTCGTTGTAACACTGAATGGACTATCGAGACTGTATATTTAACTCTTGGTCGCTTGGAATAGACTCCTTGAGACAATTTTACATTGTATATGACACTGTCTTCTTCACCACATGCTTACCCTGCAGCTTTCTGTCCATAAATGCACCAACATGTTCCGAACTCAATCACGTAAATAGCACTCTAAACTGCTGACAGCACTAGCCAGACCGACTTGCTAATTCTTAATATACTCTACAGAAAGTCTAGCAGTAACGTACTCGTACGTTGCCGATTAAATGTCGATTGGCTGTAACTTCGTCCAAGTCTAACTTGCATACCCTGTAGAGGCCGCCGGCCCATTCCGACTACCAGCATCAGATGTCTGGATCAGACAAAAGCGTTCATAATTTGAGTAATAACCTAGGCTGTACATTACACTTGCATGCACCGTGTCTTTGAATGCACTCTCAAACCGTTGTCAAGCAGTTGCCCGTGGTGACCTTTGGCTGACGTTACCTGCCATGTTGTTCGGCACTGCACGCCTATCTTCACAATCCCACGCATTCAACCTCCAGATTGATTGCTCGTGGCTTTTCATTCTGTCCCTCATAACCCATGTGATATGCTTTTCCACTTGGTTGTCCATATGCTATACTTGTCTACGCTGAACATCCATCGACAAAAGAGCTAAGCCAGCGTCTACTTGTCCAAGTTTAAGACGTTACTTCTACTGACCATTCCGGGGGCGCATCGTCAAGGAAATGGACATCTAAAGTGTTTACAAGCCTTGTTGGGGGTTCTATTGCCTTTAGGCTGGTTGACGTCATCTAGATCAGATACGTCCATTAAATGATATCCCAGCAATCTTTGATCCAAACAGAAACATTGACTCATCCCAACACTATCTGTATCATTCATTTCCCCCCCTGCTTATCTGCCGGCTCAACAAACACTGACCCAAACTTCTGAGCACAAACCTTGTCCTTCAGGTCTGGAAACATATCGAGGTACACACCAACACACTTCGACACTCCACCTGGCACCTTTCTCGCCGCCGGGATCCTGGAACACTGTGACGGATAAACTTGGTTGGGATCATGATCATAGTCCTTCACTCCACTGCAGTCCATCTGCATTCTCCGACTATCTCCTACAATGAACTTTGACCGTTAGCTATGTTACTTGGGGAGGTCAGAGAGAACTTACAGAAACATGAAGAATGTCGCCGCTGGTGACTGTTGTCGCAGATCTAGTTAATGCGCCTGTGACCTCCTCGTATCGTTTGACTTTTAGGGTCGTTTTGACTCCCTTGGTATAACCACCGCGCCTGGTCTGGTTATCTTTGTATGTAAACTCCAGGCCGCACAGTCCCTTGGTGTTGGGATTAAAGAACGCGGCTATCTGGGACACACTCGTCCAACCTCCCTTTCCGTCTTCTATCTCCCAGAAGACCTTATCGTTCTTTGTACATAGTCCCTCGCGTATGTGCGACCTGCTCGAAAGGCATTTCTTGGCCAATGGTGTAGGTTTCACCTCGACGTTGGTAGAGTCGGTCGCTTGGAAAATATCCCAAACAAAACTATCCTAAAACAGAGTTAGCGTTTGTTCCTCTACATCATACAGGACTTACCAATCTCTCGAAGCGATTCTCCGTGTAGGATAATTCGTACATATTGCCTTGTGGCCCAGGGTGCACCTCGACAGCGTTGGGTCTAGGACCAGACCTTTCGATCCGGACTCCGCTGTACTTTGTATTTCTAGCATTATGGTACGCGCAACCCTGCACTGCGTTCCAGAAAGTGATGCCTGTAATTCTCTCACCTTTGCAGACGTCGAGATGACCAATCTCCTTGAACCATTGACCAGCATAAACGGGTGGACTTTGGTCCCAGAAGTCGAAGCGGAAACCTGATACATGTTCTGGACGTCGGCTGCGCCCCTCTCTTCCACATGAAATTCCTATGCGCTTGACGTTGTTGAGAAGAACAGACGTTGATTGCCCTTCATGGGCTTTGTAGTAGTTGAGCGCAGTTGACGGCGACACGGGCCGAGATGAGTCTACATGGTCGAGATGTACAAGTCCCAGGGATTCCAGGTACCCAAACAATGGAATCATCTTTCGAGATACAAGTCAGTATCTCAAACATATAGATAAAATAGAAAGGTGGTAAGACTTACACGAACCTGTCCCAGAAATCCAGTTACAGTCTCTCCATGAGGCGAAACCAGGATCTCCATTCCAGGGTTTTCAGGATCTTCCATAGGCTTAATCCTTTTAGTAGCCGCCCCAAAACGGGTAATTATCTGAATTGGATATCAGTTAAATCAGCTGAAGTCGTCTTGAAGATGATTCACGCTACGTACCCTGAAGAAGGAGGCAAGCGGCGCAGAATAGCCTAGGCCAATGATTCTCTCGCCAGCCGGTCCATCGATAGGAAGAGACAGTTCAATGGCCGTATCTCGATGTCGGTAAGTAGTTAAAACTTCACGGAAACCGAACTCCTTCTCTGTTCCGTCAGTGTAGTAGAAGCCCAAGCCTCTGACAGTGTAATTTAGCTCATCGTGGAATATGGCGACTCGAGTGAGGAGTGGAAGCAGGGAGCCACTTGGGCCGCCAAAGTCCATGTTCAACATGAAAGCAGTTTCATCGACGGTGGGAGGAAACATAGTAACCACGTCAGGTTGAGGGGGTGCAGGGTGCCATACATGTTGTCCAGAGGTCTTTGGTTTATCCATAGTAGTGGCGTCGCCTGGCTTCTCGACCAGCTGGATAGTAACGACTTTGCAAGCCTAAACTCGTTAGTTGCTCCCTGTAAGCTATAGATCAAGACTTACATCGAGACCAAGCAGCAAGCCCATAATATAGGGACCGTTTTGCGGCTTTAGCAATTTGATGCCAACATAATCGTCAGGTTCGTCGACTTTACCCACGATCTTCCAGTCTACTCCACCAAGCTCATCCTTGATCCTAAAGGCAAGTCCAACAATGCCACCAAAAGTAGTCGCCACCTTAACAGCGGTTACCTGGTCAGATGGTTTGATGAGAAATCTTGTTTCTGCCTTGTTAACCAAACCAATGCGAAACTTCTCAATATGATCTCGCCCCATTACCCGAAAGCTGCATATGTAGGGCCTCCCATCGAGTTCCCCTATGCTAACCGAGAACCATGCGCCGCCTCGTAGGTTCAGGTATCGCGAGCCTTTGACATAAACATCCCCGTAAGGATCTGCGCGCGGCTCTCCTCCAAACCCTTGTACTTTCTGGGTCATGTCATATCCTAATGACACTAGCTCCTCTCTACAACTCGCTGTGTCTTCCAGACGTGGGCTTTGTTCAAGCATGGCGACCATACAAGGCGCGATGACCTCAAGACCCTTCCAGATACGAAGCCGATTTAGCGCGTGTGCTGTTTTAGATCTATCTTTAAGAGCATGCTTCATGCTAAAGTACAGATCTCGCCATGTCTCCGTTCTGTCGTATTCCAACGGAAAGAATCTCATTTCGTGATCACGGCTGAAGCGGCTTGCCCAAAAGGTTTGAGGTAAATCAGCAGGCTTGGAGAAGTTTGCAATAGTCTTTGATGCAAGCCGAAGGTTGAGAAAAGACCCATTATTTAGTAAGTTGATTATCTCATGGTTCAACTCGGTAGAAAGCTTGGAGAATACGTCCGACGATACTTGCGTATAAGTCCCTCCATCAACTAAACGATACACCGTCGGACCGAGGGGAGATATGCTGGGATCAGCTTTCAAGAATTCCCAGCCGAAAGAGCTGCGGCCTGCGAACGTTGCAACAGACAGCGCTGGTTGATTATGGGGGCGAAGATATGATATCCAACCATCCCCATTGCTAGGCATACTCTGTCGGAGATCAAAAAACACCTGCAGGATCTGCTCGTCTTTATAGCGCCGCGGTGAAAACAAGAACATCTTGTCGCGGTATATGGGCCAACATGCTTGGTGGATGAAGAATCCTTGGTTCGGCTGAATGACTGGGTGCGGTTCCAAAGACCCATCTTGAGAATATCCGAGAGGCGTGAGCGAAAAGTGCGACTGGCCTTCTTCACGCTGGACTGGAGAATGAATGTCAGCAGATTTTCAGCTACACGTGAAGTTCTCTCATGTTACCAGCGAAGATCATGCGCCACCATGGCCGTTGCTGTTCGTCTGCTAGTAGCTGGTGGATGCAGGGGATGCTAATTCCACAGAGAGCACATCGGACATGCATTACCGCCAGGGATCGATTCGTTATTTCCTTGCTTGCTTGTGACAAAGAGTGGCTATACCGATGCAGTTTCTCGTCTCGTGGTTCGGATTAATTGGGGCCAACGACGAACCCTATTGATGGAATTGCGAAGGATCAAAGATCAGGCAACCATCAGCCATCTCGTGGGTGTATCTAGCATTTTATAGCTCCTGAAGAAGAGGAAAACGTCATTAGATGACTAACTTCTTCTGCCTGTTGATTTAAGCTCTCAGCTACGAGCCTCAACCGCAAAGAGTACATCTACCTCACAACTTGGACAGTATACCCAATGACTAACCCATTACTACAACGTAAAGCTGATAAGGCCATAGGATAAGCCATCTTCTACATATTGTTACTGCAGGAATTTCTCAAGCACAATGTCAGAGTCCAAAGGCAGATCAATATCCTTTGCAGTTGAGATCTGTGGCTGAAAGTACATATTGTATGGATGACTGCGGCCCACAAGGTTAAGCTTTAGGCTGCGAACACAGATGATGAATGACAACACGATATCTTAATGCCACGTACTGCTGACGGTGAAGCAACAGTCTTATGCATGTGAAGCGCGTACTGTGAGCATCAGCTGCGGGGTCTATCAACTCAAATAACACTCTTATAAAAACAGCTCAGGGAGTATACCAGCTACCAATACAATTTGCCCAAGTTAAGCTTTTCACATGTTTACGAATGGTCGCATTGGCCTCTCCAACACAAACTTCAGAATATGCATGGTGACTGATCAGTGGCATTGGCTGTTGATAGCTATCGAATTGCAATAGCGAGTCATTTTGCCTCTCTTACCTTTACGTATCAACCCTCTACGTGATCAAGCCTTCTTTACCCTGCCCCTCAAAGCCTCCCATTCGTGCTCCAGCATTCCATAGTCAATCATATCCCACCACCGCCTATCAAACCAAAGCGCCTCCCTACTCCTCCCCTCCTCCACAAACCCCAACTTCTTATACAAGTGCTGCCCCCGCTCATTAAATCCAGCTGTCCCAATCCCAACCCGATGATACCCCCCAAACCTAAACGCCCAGTCCAGCGCCCAATTAATACTCTCCCCTCCATAGCCCTTATTCCTAAACGCGTCCGCGATGACAATACCAATATGCGTAGCCCTATGCTGTTCGCGGTTCTTGGGCTTGCCGCCCCAGCCGATACAGATAAACCCAATGGGAACTGGTTCTTCGCTCTCAATGTTTTGCTTCTTGGCTTCGTCGGGGGACAGACAGAGTACAACAGCGAGAACGGACTTTTGAAACTCTGTTAAAAAGTCTGCAACGTCTTTTTTGTTCTTGGGACGAAGAATAGAAGGGTCTGACAGGGCTTTTGCGACGGGGTCGTTCTCGATATGCTTGAAGAAGAATTCCTTGTCTTTGTCGTTATCTTCTGGTGAGCGGTAAATTAGGCGCTCCGATTGGAACGCCTTGGTCACGCTTGAGATGTCCATGATGACGATGATGAACAGAAAGAAAAAGAGAGGTTGTTTCTATGGCTTATGTAGTCGTAGATAATAGTTTATCGCATCGGAAATACGGCACATATCTAAGCGCTAAGCGACGGGTAAGCAATGCGTGGCCCCTCCACTTTCACCTTCCTATTTGGTGATGGTTCGTGAGTCACGGCCCAAATTCGTGATAGTCAAGAGGTGATCAACTCTCGACACGGGTTAATTGTGCCTGAGCCATGGATTGACTCACGTTGAAAGACAAAAGGGCTTCATGTCTAATCACTATTCCTCAGGAATGCATTATTATCTTATACGAGAGCCTGTCGTGTATAGACATGCAGCTAATGTAAGATTGCCGCATACCCGATCTCATTCGGGTCATCTCATGACTACACGATATCTCATCTTAGTGACTCAGCTTGACGATCCCTCTCGCCAATCTTGACACAGTCTAGAAGTGACACGTTGCGTGAACGAATTGACCAGTCACTTCGTAATGGCCTATCTATTTGCTTGTCATATCTCGCGCATTATTCGCAATGGAACCTTGATCTGACGAGAGCGGGATCATGGTCAGTTTGCAACATAACCGTCCCTGTGAAGAAGCCACGACGTATTTGGCGCCATCAGACTTCAGTCATATGAGATTCAAACAAGACATGCCACAGGATATCGGCAGGTAGCATGCTAATTAATGTCATGATGGCCCAAGACCTTCATCAGCGAATCTACTGAACCTGTAAAACGACAAAATACGCATAAACACCAGCCCCAATCCTCTGATGTTCTCTCTTCTTCCCAACAATCTTCACCCTCCCCTCCTCAGCAAGTCCATTAACCTTATCCTCATACCCCTTCACCTGCCAAACCGACTCCCTGATCGTCGAAACAATAACGCCCCCAGCATTCGTAACCCTAACGAACTCATCAAAAGCCTCAGGCCCAACATGTCCCTCCGTCATAGTCCCAGCACAAATAACCGCATCATAACTCCGCGAAGAAATATCAAGCTTCTCAGCCAAATTCGCAACATTGAGCGATTTGTACACGCCTGTCCGCTCAGCGACTTGGAGCATACCGGGACTTAGGTCGATGCCGTGAATTTTTGCAGCACCGAGTTTTGTGAGCACTTCGCCGACGAGACCTGTTCCGCAGCCGGCGTCGAGAATCTTGGCGGAGGATATTTGAGTACCGAGATGGGTGATTAGCTCTTGAGATGCGAGTTGGGGAGCGACGTATTCTTCTTTTGCGACGTCTTGGTTGTAGGTGTTTGCCCATTCATTGTATGTACTCAGCGTCTCTGAGAGACTGGTCGCTTTGAGGGAACGCTCGAGTTGGGACATGTTGATTGATTCGAATAAATTGGGTATTGAATTGCTGGCGTGTAAGTGTCAATTCTACTTGTTGTAGCAAGAGTTTGGATGAGGCATTGGGGGAGGGGGCCGACATTAGTGTCGCGCGCAGCCAATGACGTAGTGGTCTGATGTGACAAGATGACGCCGGACAACGTAAGATAAGCATCACAACAAATCATTTGCTCACGCCCAGACTCATCAATTACGCGAGTAATGTAACGATTATGTGTATTTTTAACGAGCCATGACTATCAAGCGCAAGGGTTATTACCAAAACCATCAATCGCCCACCAAAACCTGCCTAACCTAAATACACTCAAAATCCGGTATCAACAGCCCCGAGCGATGCAACCCAAACCGCGGCGAAATCTTAGCCAGCTCAGCAACAAACCCCGGCACACCACCCGGAATCTCCATGTTATACCATAACTTCGGATCATCCATCGCCAGCGCCGCCTCGTGCATCTGCACAATCTCCTTGCTATCCCAAATCCCCTCACGTCTATTCAACCTCCGCAGCAGATCCAGCGCCCTATCCCGATGCGGCCCCTCAGTGCACGACCATACCACCACCGAGAGACCAGAGACCAAGTCGCCGTCGAGGGAGAAGCTCGGCTGGCCGGGTGTTATCAGCCGCTGGGCGAGGATCTCGGCGGCGTTGAGGAATGCCTCGGCTGTGTCGGGGGTTGGTTCGGAGAGGTCTTCGGGACCGCAGGACATGCCCATTCGCCAAAAGGTTTGCTGCATGTTGAGGTATGTGAGTTGGGGGGATGCTAGGTCTTGGTACTCCCACGTCGCGATGTGTTTCTTTGTCAGTTCGAATCGCGAGTTCCAAACCTCAAACTTGGCGTCCATCTCGCCCCATTTCCTTTCGAGTTCCTCCTTCTCGGGTCCGTTGAGGGTAAACATGTCGATCTGGCCGTCACCGTTCATCGAGCATGAATATGGCGTCTGCGCGATAATGTCGACGGTCTCGACGTCGAGTCTGCGCAGGTAGCTCGCTGCTTCGTCGAGGTCCTCGAATGGCTGGTCCGAGTTATCCCCGCACTGCAAGACATCAAGACAGCCGGATTTGATATCCGGGATGATGGTGTCCTCCATAAACATCGAAGCCTCAACGCCAAGGTTCGCAAACACCTCTGTAAGCTTCCTCGTCATCTTCTGTTCCTTCGAACTGTTGATCAGAAGGGGCGACGAGAGTAGTTTCGTTCCGGCACGGATATGTCGGATCGACTCTGCATACCGACCAGTGATACCCTCAAACGCGACAAATAACAAACAGCATACTAAAGTACACTGCAGGTCAAAGGCAGACTCCATCGACATGTGGGGTATTATCCGCTGGATGGATTTGTTGTACTGCTGCATAGCCAAGCTTTTCAGCTGCTGTAGCGGAGAACACGTCTCTTGGCCGGCCATGTAGAACCGGTGCGCAGCACCAACAGCGATGATGGCATGCCGAATAGGTTCGCATGAGTGCGCAAGAGGGAGGACATAATTGATGTAGAAGTTTGATGAGCCGGGAGAGCAGGTGAGTTGGTTGGACGTCCAGTGATGGAAGTGGTGAAAATAACAGTTCTCAATGGATGTTTCGGCTATGCGAGGGTTGAGAGACGAGACTGTGTATCCAGCGACGGGAACTGAAGCACGCTGCTGGATCTGGTTCTTGTTAGGCGTGGCATAGCCGTCGCATTTAACACGGCCATCGCGACAGCGGCGACACGTCGGCTTCTCCTCATCGCACTTCAAGTGCCTGACTCTACAAGAATACAGTGATCAGAAGCAATTAACCACCCAATCAAAACATAAATACGTACTTGCTACGTTCAAGTTAGTTAGTCTCTGATTCGTCAATTAAGCATGCGGCGGAGAGAGACATACCAGGTTAAGCAACCAGTGCGAACTTTTGGTCTGGAGGCACGCTGCCATTTGACCTTCTTGGGCAGGATTACGAGCTGGTTCTTCGAAGTAGTCATGATATGTTCCTTTGCCTTGGTCTGTTACGAGAAAGCTTGGTCAAAAAACGAAGCAAAGGCAGGGAAAGCGAGAGAATTTTGATGCCGTTGGATGGTGCCCTTGGTACGGGGAAATATCAACATGTCGCAGTCTCCACCGCCAAGAGGCGCAGTCCAGACGCTAGCAGGGCCTCGAACCCTGCTTTTACGACGCAGCCAATCACACCGAATATCTCGGCTGAAACGTGGGTCTCACAGCATCTGGAACTGTCCGTGTCATACCGTCTTTGACAGCAACTGCGTAAGCCTCAGATCAACTCTATGTGTTGTTTCGCTGCGATAATCATGCATTCTTGACAGTGCCTCCCAATTCACCTGAAACGGAGCATCTTGGCATCCACGTTTTCGGCTCTTGAGTGCCGATAAGGCTGAATTAGAGAGGTAGAGATCGAGATGAATTACGTGGCTCCCAGGGGCTTTGCAGGTTCGAGAACAATCCCAATTGTAATTTGATGCTGGAGTCACGCTGGAATATGAGGTATCGCTTCACGGCGAGCCAGTTTGGGAAAGATATCCGTGATGAAGAGGATGCGCGACTAGCGGAACTGTTGTAAAACATTACATATGACACTGCACTCATTGACGAAACAAGTCGTCAAGGTCGTTTAAGGGCTGATACCGCCAAGAATGAAGGGAGTATCATGATCTGCTGCCCGTTCCGCCCTTTCGGAACCAATCCGGAACCCGGAACGCTGGCCTCGGAACGGTTGTAACGCTGTATTCACCATACTTGAAGCTCTCAAATCTGTCTGGACAATTACGATCATCGACTTGATGGCGTTTAAGCATATGTACAAGCCTGTAGACAACCATAAACACTATCCCGTATAAGATATCTGCCGCCAGAGCTATACTAGTCCCACTTCAGCTTCGTAACCCTTGGGAATCACCATCAAATCCCAAGGGATGCTTTTGAGTTTGGTCGCTAGACCAAGCCCAGTATAGCCTTAAGAAACAAACTCACGAGATCATTGGGGTGTTTTGTGTCGTGGCGGAGCACGTGGCTACGCGGACTACGGCTGGCGGGAAGGCAGAGCGGCTGTACAGCGTTGATATCGCTAGAGTCAAATGAGCCAATTGAGAGGGCCCATCAGGAATATCACTCATTTCTCTGTTCAACAGGCTATTAGTTAGCCTAAAACTCTAAACGGCGGCCCCTTGTTAGGGGGCACAGGGTCATCCAATAGACCGGAGCAAACCCCTCAAAAGACTACAATGGAACTTTCTCCTCGAATGCCGAATAACACCTACATTCCAAGGAGGAGGTCTACAGGATAACTCGGCCTTGGCAAAAGCATATTCTGCCTTCCTCAACTGGCTGCCTAGAGCTCTTTGACCTTCATCATCTCGGCGGCATTACAACGCACTGCGATGCACAACCAAAGTCCCAATCACATGTACCACCACGTAAGTAGCCCTATCATGTCGTGTTATAAGCTTCGTCTTGGCCTCGCTAATCGTGAATCCCGTGAGCCGCTTTTCCGGGAAACCGGCAGTACACTGCCTCGACTCCACTAAAATGGGTTTTCGGGAATGCCGAATGCAATGCGCCTCAACACCATGGAGTCATATCCGCAGGCCGAGCAACCCGCGCATCGCGGAGGAATAAGACTTCGGGAATATTAGATGATAATGAATGTTTGTTCAATAGGTAAATCATCTGCAGATCTTGTCATGTGTAGAATGAAACGTTGCGTTGTACCGCCGGTGCAGCCCTAGGAGGGCATCTACTCCGACTACTCGTCATGTTTCGCCGGCAGTGAAGATTATTCAATAACATGGATGCTAAGCTTGTAACCCAAATGCCATGAAATCTTCAGCCCTGTACTCTTATCATATCCACATGTCCCATTGAGGTCTTCCTCTGATCTCATGGTGGTGCGTCCACTCGAAGATCATGACTGAAGGATCTAAAGGCATTACCTAGAGACTGCCGCATTAATATCGGGAGGAAGACGTACTGCCTAAAATCTTTTACATGTGTTGTTACAGTTATTCGACTCCGCTGCAATGAGAACTTGCTGGTATTTAGAGGGCGAGGACATCTTGACCGCATGGATGGTTTGAATGGGCCGTGATCAAGGAGTAAATGCATACTTAATACCAGTGCATAACGTACAGTTCTTACCTGTTGATGTTAACGCGCTTCCAATAAAATAGATTTTTGTCCTTCCTTGTTATGAGATTCGTATGTCAAGTTCACTTCTGTACTCGCAAACACCGCGGCTTTGCCAGCTCTTCAGATGTCGGTGAGGCCATAACGCGTCCAACGGCACCCATCAATTAGTTCAAACACCAAAAATTTATCTTATCATTTACTCCGAACTAACTAATGTGATTGATTGCAACGCTGAGATCCATCGGGTCAGGCCCGCACCTCGGTACTCCACAACTTCGTGATACAGAATGCTGCCGTTCTTCGGTAAGGCTAGACTAGTGTATCCGAGCCGCGGAAACCCGAGGACGGATCTCAACAACTCTCACCAACATGACATGACATCATCTTCTCACCGTTCTGCACTTCCATCATGACTTCCAATCGCTACCCAGTCTACAAAGTCAAATCGCATATGGCCCTCCCAGATCCGCACATGCCGCCCGGTCGCTTCCATCACGCCATATTCGTCGGAACCAGCAAAGATGGCTCTGGCACTCTGTACCATGTCACCGGCGACGTCACGTCCTCAAAAGGAATGAGCTACGAGAGCAGAGAGTCACCTGATCCCGCTCACTTAGAAAACTTCCATTCTAAAGAACTGCTGGGCTATACCGGCTCCGACGGTCATCCAGAACAGTGGAATGCGCTTCTTGCTGCACTGCCGACGCCGCCGCAGCAAAAGGCTTCGAATCCGAGGAAGCAAGGCCGCGTCGAGCCTTTTCAGGAGAAACTTGGAGACTACGAGTACATCTTTTATCAGGACGGGGAAGAGCGCAAGCCGCTTTGGAAGTGCACTGAGTGGGTTGAGTGGTACGCTATTCCTGCTTTTCGCAAAAACGGTCTTATCCAGAGCAGTGATCAGTGACCATCCTGGAACCGGTTCTCCTTGTTCATACTTGAAGTCTTTTTATTCCTATTGCATCTTGAGTGTATGATACGCATCTCGTCTGCTTTGCATACAGCAATGAACGTAGCCATCCCGCCAGTTTTCCCTCAACCGAGACAACGGATGATCACGGCGACAATTCCATTATAGCAAACAGTCCAGCGCATACTGCCGCTAATGAAAGCTTCGCGCCACTCATACCGCCCTTCGACTCAGCTGGTGCATCAGTACTGGCCGTAGAACTACCTGTTTCCTTAGAAACGGATTCGGTAGCCTCAGCTTCACCTGTTGTCGTAGTGGTAGTGGGATACTCACTCTCGAGCTTCTCCAACCCCGCGGTAAGCGTGACGCTCCCATACTCAAACGTTGGACCATAAATCTCTCTCATATCCAACTCGTCCTTGTACGTCTCCGGCCCAATTGTCGAGGGACTATTAGCCGGTCTATTGATCACAGTGCAGTCCTTCGCAACAGATCTGCTCATCTCGCAGTGGAGCGAGTAGAACCACTTTGTACCATCCGGTAGCTCCGTGATGGCTACGTCCATGGCTCCTGTTGGGTCTGCGCTTGCGGCAAGTGTTTTCTCAGCCCATGGACCTAGGGTGATTGTCTGGCCGTTTCTGTCACAGGCCTCGTCATTGGAGGGGCATTCGAGGAGGTATGTTGTTGCTGTGGCGTCTGCGCCTAGGACCTTTCCATAGAGAGTCATGGCGTCTGAGGGATGAGGAGGAGGTCTTTGACTGATGTTGACATTTTGGCGGTGACTGAGGCGTTGGAGGATGGCGATGGTTGAAGTGCATGCAGCCGCAGTTTTCTTATATGACAGTGAAGAGATTTGCTGATAGTAAGATCATGTAGTGAGTGAGATGATTGAGCTTTTATCTGGTGAGAATTAGAATGAGCATGTGCATGTCAGCAAAGTGAAACAGCGCGTCTTTTCACGCGACCAAGTCCGTGCCGCATCCTTAATTTCGCAGAGTGGATTATAGAGTACAGAATCTCACCAAACGATATTATTCAAGTCAATGCGAAAATTAGAAGCGCGCAGAATAGTATAACCCAGATACAGAGAATGCGTCGCGACATCTTGTTGCATACGAGACCTGCTTTGGGGGGGCTCGTGCATACTCAACCCTGCCAACCCCTCCAAGAATCAGCAATTCTCGCTCTTACACCAACCCTTCACGATGTCAGTCCTGTTTGTACTTATCTATATACTAAAAGGTTTGTTGACCTATAACTCTCACAGCAATTAACTAATTCCGATCTCTAGGAAACGCCCTCCGCCGGTGCTTGTCAAAAAAGCTCAATGCAGAGGATGTCGCGTTTCTCGAGCTATTTTCTCGCATTCTCATTGGCCGCGACAATTGCCCAGGTGAGTCAAACCATCGCGTCATGCAAACATTCTTTAACTCAATCTCAGATGAAATATCTAGTGCACTAGAAAAGGATATTCAACTTGAATGGGAAGATGTCGACGTTTTTGTCAATCCTTTCGACGACACACGAGGTCGAGCTTTTAATAGTGTTTGGACGTTCGACCTCGATAAGGATGTTCTCTTTCTCACCAAGGATGATCGACTCTGCTCTGCACCTCTCAGCCTAACGCGCGATCGGCTACTTATTTTGGATGACTTTGAGCGTGTAAAGTCTCCGAATGCGTCCATCTCAGAGGGCCTGCCTGTGCCGGGGCGATACTGGGATCTTCAGCCTAAATGTAATCCTCGAAAAAAGGCATTTCTCGGCCGTATCCTCCGCGACTTTGGCCATACATGGCGTCATATACTACGGAGAGAAGCCAACAACGTCATTTTCATGAAGCTCGCATATGCGGTTATCTGGATTCTAAATCTGGACTTCACTATAGTGGAACGTGCGGGATTCGATCACGTTGCTGGCCGCGGCGGACCATATGTCGGAGTGGTAGACTTGCCACGATGGGATGCCCCAGATGAAACTATTGTACGAGTTGGCACATGCTGGTTTGTCTTGGCACAAGATATCCCCAAGGGAATCCAGATGATTCGAGAACATATGGAAACCCCGGCGGCGATGATTGATACAACGACTACTTTTGCGACGTACGCAATACTGACCCTTAAACAAATCGTCTGCTGCAAGGTCCACGATGGCGAGCTGGCTCTTACACAAAGAGAGCCACTATTCAGCGACTTTGCTCCCTCTGATTCCGCTATCAACCTAATTCTCTGGGCATCGGACCTTCACCAAGCAGAACCCAAGGCTTGTCGGCTCAACTACCTTCCTGTTGAGATCCAGTACAGAATCCTTCGTCAGGCGACAGCAAGCAGTGTCATAGCAGCGAAATGGGGCATTGAGCTTGCTTTAGGACCGCCATTCTCCTGGACTGAGGGATCCCGGAAGATCAGGTTGGAAGAGGTACTCAGACATCGAACAAAGGCATCGCCCGTCGAATCTCAAATCTTTCTCAATGGGGTGATGAGTGGCTTGTCATATAAGTGCGAGGCATCACGTGTAGGTTTCAAGGTCGACATGAGCTCGCTTCCTGCGCCGACGCGTCTCGAGGCTGCTGTGCCGCCGTCGTAGGTATATACCGGGCACATACTTACAGTTTCGGCTCGGCTGGACCGGACCAGCACCATGATGCGCAAAGTCAATTGTTTCTTGAGGTCGTCGCCAGAAGTATGTAGCACTGATACACAATGATTTCCGAATTAATTATCAGAAAAAACTCTTCCTCATAAATCTGTCTTACGGCGTTCTTCTGCGGCCGATCCATGACCAGCCCCCGCCCTGGTGACGAACAGCTTCCGAATATGGCATCCAGTACAACCCTGTGTTGGTCGCCCGCCGCGTAATGATCTGATCAAATCAGCGCCCGCATCTTACCAAAGACACATTATTATCGCGCAATTATTCCTTCAAGTCTCTGAAGCAGGATAAAAAATGGCGCAAGCAGCAAGTGAACACGAAGGCCCTCTTCAGGCAGACGTACGCTCTCCAGGGAAAGGTTTGAATGGTGACTGTTTACTGATTCTGCTAGGATGCTGCATCTTTAAGCCATGATCCTGCATTAGCTGCCACGTGCGTTCTTCATGTGGTCAGATTGATACCCGCTGATCTGTTGTCCAGTCTTGAGTCAGGAAGTTATCTGACGTCCCTCAATTCCAGCGTTTTGAACTACAAGTACGTTCCATTCATAAAAATACAATCGCGGCTGATTTTTTACCATAGATACGAAGTGCGACTCAAAGGGAATTTTTGTACCATGAGTTTGACTGACCAGATTTAGAATGGGCGGCGATATCATGCATTCCGTGAAGGCGCTTACCTAGTGGTAAGTCGACAGATGTCTCAACACAAACACGCACTAACGATCGTAAGCCCAACGATGACGAGGAACAGGACAGAATGGATCTGGGTCATCATATCTACCGTCTCGTCCTCGGCGGCGATCTTTTCCTCGCGCCTATGGGCGATAAAGTCAAGCGTGTTCTTGACATCGGCACAGGAACAGGTATCTGGGCCATGGACTTCGCCGAGTAAGCATTCCCTCATTCCTCGTCCACCATATCTGATAATTCCCAGCGATCACCCTCAAGCCGAAGTCCTAGGCACAGATCTAAGCCCCATCCAACCTCCATGGTACTCCCCCCTCCCCTCCCAATCACTCCTCTAACATCCCCAGGACCCCACCAAACTGCCTCTTCGAAGTCGATGATTTCGAATCAGATTGGCTCTTTCGCCAACCCTTCGACTTTATCCACGCGCGCGAACTGGAAGGCTGCATCAGCGACAATGCGCAGTTCTTCACACGCGCTCTGCAGAATCTAGTGCCAGGTGGATATCTCGAGATGCAGGCTGTTCACTCCGACTTCAAATCCGACGACAACACGAAAGATAAAGCGAAGAATGCGTTGCTTTGGATGAAGACTATGGTTGAGGGGTCTTCTAAGTTTGGGAAGCCGTTGAACGTGGCGCCGGAGTGGAAGAAGGAGATGGAAGATGCTGGGTTCGTGGATGTTGAGCAAAAGATTCTCAAGGTAAGTACTTTTGTCCTTGGTGGGATGTTTACTGATGGCGAAATAGGTACCTATTGGATCTTGGCCTAGGGATCCGAAGCTCAAAGAGATTGGCAAGTTTCAGTCTGTTCAGGAAGCGCAGGTCATTACGTCGTATACTCCTGGTATATTCTCGCGTATTCTTGGGTGGAGTGATGAAGAGATTCAGGTGTTCATGGCAAAGGTAAAGAAGGACCTTTCTGATCCGAGTATTCATCTGTATCTTCCTGTCTATTTCATCTGGGGAAGAAAGCCAGAGTGATGAGTTGGGTTCAGTCAGATAGGTGTCGAAGCGGATGTCATGTCAGATCAGCATTGGTCCAATTCAAGATCTCATGATGAAGAACAATTCTGTTTTCTTCTTGACGTCAAGAATGTTATTATATCAATTTCTAAGCCGTAGCCCTTTATGATTTATTTCCTTTGGTTCGTATTTCGTTGATTCTGACTCGTGATAGTAATAAGATAAGGCTTATCGGAGCTCTCTGGATCTCGATTATCGTAACTTCGGCTTACCCGGGACTTGGAGAGCTGGTCTTTTGTATCACCCTGGTGATCCATTGAGAGAGCTAGTGGCGAACAAAACCTGTATCTAAAAGTCAGCTGGCTGCTCAATTTTAGTTACTGGATACCATTCGACTTATAATTGTTGTTCGTCATCGCTTCCACTAAAGAGTGTAGGTGAATTGGTTCATCATAGGCCTCACCTTCCGCCGTGGCGCATTTCCAGCCCCCGTATGCTGGGTTCTCAACTTTCCTCGCTACTTCACGTAAGCCATGCGATTTCTACTTAGGTCCTTCTGTGCATAGGCCTCTTTTCTGTGTTTCTATGGTTTACATTGAAGTATGCTACCAAAACAGAGACATTGAGCTCATGTCCAATAAGCGTAGAAGCTTGAAGCTCATGGGGATCACCCCAAATGTTCGTGGGGGTTTGAACGAACATTTCTTGGTATCGATTGTTGACTTCAATTGGTCAGCAGCATTGCCGTTTAACATTATTACGCATAAAATGGGTCGTCTAAATGTCTAGTATGCAGCTTTTCGGGCTTCAAAATAGATATCGCTGACTAAATTGGTGCTGGTGTTACAAGCCTCTTCGCCCTCTGTATGCTACCATTCGTTATTTTTGGCGATTGACAGTAACTTGGAATATTGATGTCTTAATTGATTTGCATCAAGTCTACAGGCTTTCTCTTCTAGTCGATCAGATAGCGCAGATGCAGGAGCATTACGCCATCCGCGACGCGTAACCGGACGTGTCCTCAATCGCCGCACTTGCAGACATTGGGGGGACAATCGTGGGGGATTGCGCCATCAAGAGGCTCAGCAGACTTAAACGTGATTAAAACAAACCAAAAGACAAGCTTAATACTTTAAATGACCGTCCGATAGGTGGATAATCGTTCACGACTGTCATCGTGCCAAGCTCATTCGTATATGCGGCTATCAATCTCCCCAACGGTGAACCGTCAATACTTCCCAATTCAGACCAGCACAAATGAACAGTTCGGATGAAAACCCAACGGGCAAACATTACACTTCGCTGATCGTTCATTCCATCGTATCCAGTTGGCGGAGAATAACGGTCCGCCGGGATAATCCGCTGTGGATGTAACTGTAAACGGTAATTGACCTAATGTATATGAAACCTCCGTCTTCCAAAAAAAGATAATGGATAAGCTCAGGATTAGACAATTAAGCTTATTGGTTAGACTGTCTGCTAGACACGGAGAATATTCCCTTTCCAAAATGACAGTGGATCGCATCGAATGTTTGCGACGCTGTTTAAATACCTAGTCCAACGCCCAGGTAATTGAATCGGTATCGACTTCGACAATCTCATCGCTCACCATGAAGTTCCAGACCCTCCTCACCGTGGCCTCGGCCAACCTCGTCCTCGCCAATAACCTCCTCGCCAAGACCGCCGACTCGTGGATCCGCAACAACCAAGAGACCCAGCGCGCATACTGGTACGGCCGCGCAGTCGTCTACGAGGGCATCGAAGCGACCGTCGAGCTGACCAAGAACAAGACCCTGCTCGCATGGTACCGCGACCAGATGGACGATGTGGTGTACCCCAACGGCACCATCATCGGCTATGATTTGACAAAGTACTCGCTTGACAACTACCGCATCGGTATGAACTTGCTGTACTGGTACAAGCAGACCGGCGAGGAGAAGTACAAGATCGCTGCGGATTTCATCCGTGATAGGATCAATCAGCATCCTAGGACGCCGACTGGTGGGTTCTGGCATCGCTCGCCGACGTACCCGGATCAGATGTGGCTGGATGGCATTTTCATGTGCGATAGCTTCTACGCTGAGTGGACGGCTGAGTTCGATGCCAAGAACACTACAGCCTGGGATGACATTGTCCTTCAGTGGGATAAGATCCAGGAAGTCACCATCGACAAGGAGACCGGTCTTCCCGTGCACGGCTTCGATGAGAGCAAGATCGCTGTCTGGGCTGACCCCGAGACCGGCGCTTCACCTATCGTCTGGTCCCGCGCCGTCGGCTGGTACATCTGGTCTCTCATCGAAGTCCTCGACGTCTTCCCCAAGTCTCACCCCGGCTACAAGCGCCTCGTCACTTACTACAAGGATCTCTCCTCCGCTCTCCTCCGCGCCCAGGGCCACGAGTCTCACCTCTGGGAACTCGTCATGAACAAGGAGTACGAAGGTGTAGAGGGCAACTACATTGAGAGCTCCGCCTCCGCCATGTTTACCTACGGCTGGCTGGCTGGTCTTCGCCGCGGACTCCTTGATGAGAAGACGTACACCAAGCCCGCTAAGCAAGCTTACAAGCGCCTCATCCGTGACTTCGTGACTGAGAATAACAACGGCACTATTACCTGGGAGGGAACCGTCGAGGTCGGATCTTTGAACAGCGATGCATCTTTCGAGGTAAGTTTTGTGTCTTGTGATTTTATGGATTTGACTGACTTTTGTAGTATTACACCGAGGTTCCTGTTGTTCCTAACGATACTCGCGGTATGGGACCGTTCATGATGGCTATTTATGAATGGGAGCGTCGCAGCAAATAAGCGCATGAGGGAATGATCTTATAGACGTTAGACTATAGATTGAGATAGAGTTGATGACCGATAACCTTTAGTGTACATATTTAATTCTAGTGCTCTTCCCACGTACATTTACTCACTTTACGTCCTGAATTCAGTGTGACTCTTACTGTGTTGATCCTGTATAACTTTTGCGTCTTCAGCATCAAGCCATCATGAGTTGGTGACGCGTCATTAGCGCGTTGATCGTTGGGTTCTACGCGACAGATTGGCATATACCCGTTTATTTCCGGAGACGCAAGAACAGTTACGATTGGCTGGCTGCCGTTTTCGCTATTAGACTCTAATATCATTCCATACTGAATCTTGAGGCGTTCACATGTCACTAACGAGCATAATGTGATTTTTGAGTGTCAAGTTTCAGATGCAACATGAGAATTGGTTCTGACGTCAGATTGAAGAGTGAGTGATAGCGAGCTATCAATCGCAGACTTGCATCGCATCTCTCGGTAGAAAACAGTACCAAAAACCATCAATTGTTTTCTCTTGATAGGCTTCTACTAAGTAGTCATTATTGAGTTGTCATAAGGGACGCAGTCGATCTCATTCCGACGATTATACATTCCATCCTTCCAAAATTACGTCATGGCCCGCATCCGTCATACGTCATGTCTTGCCGTCATCTTTCAGCCTCGTATATGTCAACTCCTCTCAACAACACAATCTCACCAAATCATCATTCACAATGGCCGAAGTCGCAGCAGGTGTCATCGCAGTCGAACAAGTCGTCTCAACCGGCCTTGAAGTCGGCGCCGCTGCGACCGTAGCTCGTCCTACGCAGCCGCTCACTGCAGTCTTGAGCCAAATTGCTACGACCCCGAAAGAAGATAACTCGTAGGTTCAACAACGCTGCTGTGAGCGACGCTAACAGGAACAGTCTGTCTCTTGCGAGATCTCATCACAGCGTCAGTGTCATCGATGGGAAGGCTTACATCTTTGGCGGCAAGAAAGATGACGGTAAACTTTGCAACAACGACATCCACGCTGTATCCATCGACGATCACCCTGGCGAAGGCGAATACGCATGTTACCCAGCCGTAGGCGACGAAGGCCAAATCCCCTCTCCACGCACCAACCACGCTTCCTGCACGCGCCGCGACACGCTCATCATCCACGGCGGCCAAAGCAGCGATGACGAATCCGTCGACGATGAATTCACCCTCTGGGAATGGGAACCCAAAGCCGCACGTTGGTCTTCAATAACCGCTGCTGGAAAATCGCCCCAGTCTCGCTACGGCCATCAGATCTTCTACGATGGCAAGAAGGACAATCTTGTTCTTCATGGGGGGTATGAGAATGGCCAGCGGACCAAGACGACGTGGTTGTTTGACTTTACGACGCGTCTTTGGCATCCTTTGCCCGATGCGCCGGCTGAGCCTTTGGCGGCGCAGTTTGTTGAAGGGACGCTGTACTCTATTAGCGCAGAGTCGGATGTTCATGGATCGGTGCATTACATCAAACCTGGTTCGATCCAGGACGAATCTCTCGAGGAACTTCCGGAGTGGACAACTGTCGATTTCCCCTCCAACCCTCTCGTTCCCGGTCCTCGCCCCCGGGTCGGTAGCGCTTTGATCCCCGTAACAACCGGCCACGGACGTCGCTACCTTCTCTACCTTCTCGGCAGCCGCCAAGACGCATCGATCTCTAGTGATAAAGCCTACACCGAGGAACACCCATTCTACTCCGACATGTGGACCCTTCAACTCCCCTCCGATGGATACAGTGCTACACGGGTCAAAGACGCTATTCGCGAGACCATCCCAGGTGTTCAGTCAGGAGCGTTCAGTTGGCATGAGCTTGAGATTGCGCCGGCGGAGATGACGCAAGACGCGGGTAAAGTGCACCCAGGACCGAGAGGGTTCTTTGGCTCTGATGGGTGTTTGAATGGGAAGGGAGTGCTGATGTGGGGAGGCGTTAATGCGAAGGGGGAGACTGAGGCTGATGGATGGTTGTTGAAGATTTCTTAAAGGTCATCACGGTGAAGACTGGGACAAAGCAAAGAACGATGGATGAGCGCGGATATAAGTTCACAGTGCATCTTATGATGGGAAATAAAAAAGATTATACTTGAAAACGATAAGACATGCTCTTTGAGACGACGTTCTCACATTCTTTAAGTTATATCGACGACTTAGGAATGAATGACTGCATTATGCCGTCAGTTCCAGCCAATGACGTATCATCTTAGTCATCACAAAACCCACCATGAGACTCTTGGTGGCCAGACTTTCAACCTTGATCATCTCATCCATCGAACAACACTACGACATCAACCAAATGAAGCGCGCTCTGGTCACATCAAGCCTCCGGGCAAATGCAACAACAAGAACGCTTCACACAATCGCTCTACGCGCTTCACCAAATGCACCTGACACCACGACACCTCGGCCAAGTCAAGCTCAATCAAGGGCGACAGAAGAGTCAAACAAAGATGCTTCAACCACAAAGATGACGCCTCGAAAAAAGACGAGTGCTGAACTGGATCAGGAATTGAGGGAGAAGTTGGAGGGTATGTCTGGCGATGGAGGGAGCGCGGGCGTAGAGTATGAGAATGGCAAGGCCGAGGGATTGAAGAGAGGCGTCAAGTCGAATATGTTCCGGGTGATATGATCATTGCGACTACGGATATCATTGAATTCCGAAGAGGTTGGCTTTCGGTGGTAGTGAGTCCGAAACTGATGTACTTTGGGGCGAAGGTATACTAGAATAGGTCTTCAATCGAGTCGTTGATATTCGTCAAGACATGTGTGGCAAAAATCCCTGAGTACTCGTTCTGTCAATACCACTTCAACCTATGCTGTGTGCAAATGTACCGTGATATTATGCTTACTGCTTATTATTCATTGCTGAGACAGGCTGAGCGTTGCCTTTGCCTTTCCGAAGAGAGTACCATCGGCGTGTCTTTTGCGACGATGCCGTCGTGGTATCTGAACTGAAGACGTAGCTTTTGGCTCCGAGGTTAGCGGCGCGCTTACACAAGGCTGCATCGAAGTCGTCGATGGCTTGAGTGAGCTGAGAAGTCATGTTGTCGATTTGCACGGCGTACAAGAAGCCGAGGAATACAAAAGCCCAAAAGGCAAGCTGCGACTGGCCTAAGCAATCGTAGATCCTCTGGTGGCCCAATTGCTCGGTTAGTACCTGTAACAAGGCTAGATGAGGATTAAAGCCCGGCGGTGCTTGAGCTTGTAGTCCCGCGCTACCAGCCGTCTGAAGGACCCAGTCTCGTGCGGTGCGGTGTAGAAATGTCACGATCCCCGTTGTCGTTGAGTTCCAAGATCCCCCTTGTAGAGCTGTCCAGACGCCTTTGCAACACCTTGTTAATGTTGTCTTGCATCCCTTCCGTAAAGGCGTCGCCATCTGGAAGCCTTTCTCCATCCACCATCCAGAGTGTCACTGCATGTAATGGGCTGAGAGCAGCAACCATAAGCTGATAATAGCGAGCCGAATTTCCCATGTCCTCTGGATCTACCCTCTCTCTGATCTTAGTGTACAGCTTATGTAGATCAGTTGGAAGATCATCGACAACCGCTTGGAGATCACTCAGGCTCCGCCCTCTTTTCCAGGGAAGTGCAGGCTCTGTATAATTTGGCTCTGAACATTCTCGTCAAGCTTTGTGTCACCCACGTAGTCTGGTAGGCTAATTTTCAGATGCATGTCGGACGGTGTCCAATTCGCATCCCAGAGATTGCTGAATAACCTCCGGCGCCGAGCCGGCCCCAGCTCATCTTTCGAAGTCGTTAACTCTAGCTCTCTGAAGAAACCATCGAGCTTGGTATTATTCCGATCGACAGCCTTTGAAAGTTGATTAATTTTGGTATTCAATTCCTGGTCGTCTTTTGTCCCCCGAAGTCTGTCTTTTTCCCTATCAGGATCATAAGACTCGGTTCGATCATGGCATTGACTATGACTATCTATACTCACCAAAGAGCCACTAGCATGGCCATAGTCATCTCAGACCGAATCTGCTGGAGTCGCTGCTCTAATTTAACAAGCTTGTCCTTGGACCAAATCGCCTTGAGGGCGATGATAAGGCTTGTCTTGACATTTTCGACTCTGGAAGTCCCCGTCGCCTGGAGAGAATTCAATGCGTGCTGGAAATCCGTAGCTATGTCTTGGCTCTCATGGCATAGTCTCATGAGTGTTTCATCTGATGCCGTCGTCGCCCGACGGTTGGAAAGGTCAAGAGCTTGTTTCACGCGATGACCAATGTCAGCAAAGTCGTTGATGACTGTCGAGAGGTCATTGACTGTGGCCGGTACACCATCGGGAGACCTGTAGATGGAGCGCGCCTCGGAGATTAGATTATAGGAGAATTCGACGAATGTTACCACGGTGCCAGCGACTTGGAACGCTGTAATTGGATCCATTCTCAACGGCTTGGGGAACCCTAAATTTCCAAAGCATTTTCTCGAGGCGAGGCATTTGTTAAGACCCCGCTTCAGCCACGAGTTCTGACGTGGCAGCCTTCACTCTTGTCCCGTGTCGGAAATCGATGTCAGGTGTTATCCGAACTTACAAATTATTGTCAATCTCAAGATAATCAAGGCAAACCGACGGGAATCATTTATCTACGATATCTTTACTAAGCACTAGGTTCAGGGCAATTAAAAGTGAGATCGTGTCGTATAGGTGAAATGTTTCAAGGCTTGTTTCTCCATTGGAGTCATAGTACTGCCCTGCACAGCCGTGATTTCCTGTGCGATGAAAGCGATGAAATTGTTAAAGACGACTATTAGTTCAGATCAGCTAATATTGACACCGTGATCTACGTCAACTTGATTTAAGATATGTACATGAATGGAATAATGAGGGAGAAGACTTCTCTATCTGGAGCATAAGAAGCGAAGCTCCAGTCTAAGGCTCAGTCGGCTGAGGTTGAGCCGCAAGCTGAACCGGCGTGAGATTGAGTCCATTCGGTCCCAGAACAAGCCCGTACCCAGAAGCCCCAGCACTCTCAATATAAAAATAAGGATAAACACCCCTCGCACCACACGAAAGCCTCGGACTGTAGTAGCAGAATTTGCCCTGGGCCTGACAACTAATCTGCCCTGAAGCGCCGAGCTCACAGTCGAGGGGTGAGTAGCGAAGATCGGTCTCGTCCTCAGGCGAGCATGCAATAATGTCCGCATACTGCTCGCCCCTCCCGAAGAATGCGCACAGGAGTTGGTTTCCGTTAATGAGCTTGCCGTGGCCGTTGAGGACGAATGTACCAGTAACGTAGTTATCGTTGGGGTTGTTGAAGTAGAGTTTGCCACCCGGGGAAGTTCGTACTTTGAGGGGGCCGGTGGCGGGGACGCCTTGGTTGGGGTAGATGTTGAATTGGGTTGAGCCGGGTAGCTCGGCGGTCGTGGTTGTAGCTGCTTCTGTGCTTGTCGCTTCTTCGGTGGTGGTAGCTTCTTTGGTGGTGGTAGCTTCTTCGGCGGTTGACGTGGCTGCTTCGGTAGTAAGGGTAGTCAAGTCGCTGGTCGCAGTCAAGAGAGTCGTTAGATCGGAGGTCAACGTAGCTGTCGTGGCGGTCCCAGTCTCAGTTTCGGTGACTGACACAGCAGTAGACTCAGTGCTTCCGACCAAAGTGGTAGAATCAACAACACCACTCGTACCCGAGCTCACAGCCACTGCAACACTACGTTAATTCCATTCACGCTTCGAAGCAATTGACTTACGCGAAGTTGTAACAGGCTTACAAGGACCCGCAGCCACGGCAACAAGGCCAACGGCTAACAAAACCTTTGCAGAAATCATATTGTCTGAAGAGCGACTGAAAGCGTGAAAACGGTCGGTGAAGAAATAATAAATCACAGCGGGGGGTTGTTCTGTATTTATCGTGACCCTTATCGCAGTGGTTTAATTTCCCCCGAGTCAATAGCTGGGTTTTCAGCGCCGCACTAACGTCGATAGTCTGTCTGTAATGGGCATAAGCTTAAGAGTTACTAACTGCAAATGTGTATTTTGGCGCCTGTCTGGTCCAACGGTCGCAACAACTCAAGTCAAGCCGGCTTTTTCAGGGGCTTGACTTAGGGGGGGGGGTAAATTGAATTAGGTTGTATTTTAAAGGTCGGGCTTAAATTAAATAAGCTAACTTATATAATATTAGTTAAATAGCTATAGGGAATAGCCCTACCTATTTTCTATAACTAGCTT